TGCCGGTTGCGGCACTATCGCCGGACTCGGTTCGTCGCGAGTCACTGCGAAGGACGCGTCGAGGTACATTATCCGTAGGAGCTACCATAGCGTAATTCTTGTATTGGATAAATGTAACTGTAGTACTTACGAAACGGACGACGTCCAATGATAGGATAGACCCGGGTGATCAATCCGAGTTGGAACCTAAATCAAAGGAAGTCAGCCTAGAGACGATTTGATTGTTTTACTCACAAGAAGTAAACGGTCAAAAATATGTGACGACGGGTAAGCTTTGTAAGCGAAGTGTAGTCACACGGTTAGAGTTCCTCAGAGTTCACACAATAGACCGGGGTAAGTCTCGTTGAGTGCGCAGGAGAAAGCTAGAGTACATGATCGTTTGTACTCTACTTATATACTACGGAGGCCCTACGTGTCAGTCATATTTTATAGGGCGTAATACGTGTCTTTCGGTGGGGGTTTTATCACGACTCGAGTGCACGTTCGTCAAGAGAGTCTCTGTCGGGGCGAAGGTCCGATGGTGGCGCTACAGTTACGCTCGATCGTTGGTTGTCCTCCAGCCACCCCCACACTCGTTGTCGGTATAAACCTCCAAAGCCTTCGTTCAGTGCGAGCCACCCAACCAACGCTATATCTGTTGCTTTTGCTACTACTTTGGTCCATGAATACACAATTCTCCTGGTCGTCATCCTCCTCGCCGACCACCCAAAGCCCCTGGCGCCCGTCTGGGAACAACCTCTTCGGAACAGCCTCAGTGGCTGGCCCATCCGTCCCAAGAACATACGCTCCCCTTCCGAAAGGATACTTTGCTTTTGCCTCGCCCCAACCCTCTCAGTCTCTCAGCCAGCCGTCCCTGCTGGCACCACCGGACCCCGAACCTGAAAACTACGCCAAACTTCGCGAACGCCGGTCGCGGGAGCGCGCCGAGCGCGCTCAGCAGCATGAAGAGGCGCGTCGAGCTCGAATTGCGCTGGAAAACGCGATCGCCGCCGAGAACGAGCGCGAGTGGGTCCGTTCGGGAGGCGTGCTGCGTGACGCGCAAGGGCGTCGGGACTACGCGCGGACGGAGCGGATCCGCGCCGAGTTGAAGAAGGAGGCGGAGGAGAAGGAGCTGTTGCTCAGATGGGAGCGGTATGAGAGCAAGTGGAAGGAGCTGCTCGCCGGCGGAGGCAGCGTACGGTTCAGCGATATACCGTGGCCGGTCCCTGCGGCACACGAGGAACTGGCTACACCGAAAGGTCCCTCGCGCGCTACATCCGCGGTGAACACAAACCTGGCCATTCGGCAACAGCTGTCCGATCCTCAGGTCATCAAAGATTTCCTATTCTCTCCCCTAAGTGTGCGCGAAAATCTTCTCGGCGCTGGCAAACGGATGACGAAACGCGACCGCATCAGGCGCGAGATGCTGCACTGGCACCCTGACAAGCTAGGGTCCATCATGTCTCGCGTTGCAGAGGAGGACGAGGTCGACGTCCGCGAAGGCATCGCGGCAGTGTTCATGCAGCTGAAGTCGCTTCAAGATGAAGAGAAGGACGCCGCCAGCTAGGCGTCTCTCCGTGAGCTGCAGAAGACGAGATTGAAAGGTAGCGTAACGCGGTACGCCTCCCGCGCCTCTCCTTCCGTGTTAACAATGTCCCTTCGTAGAAACCGAGCTTCTGACGCCAACGGTACCAGTACTTGCCGATGCACCATGGACTGCATGGATACGTGCGGATGGTTTAGGAGCCTGCTTACGGTTGTACAAGTACAGTCTAAGGATGTTGATAAGTATTTCGTGCCATTTCACCTTGCACACAGTGTCACGTGACCACAATGAACCTACTTAACAGCTGATAATTATTAAATTAACAAAATGTTGGACACGGAAACATCGGCCCGAGGTTCTGAGGCTGCGCAAACGACGCGACTTTTTGGCAACCACAACTACACTAACGCCGTTGCCTGGGTTACGAACAACTTTCTTTGACTGAGGAACACATGACGAGACGTCCGTTGGCATCTCCAGTGCGCGGTATCTAAGCAATGGGAACATATAAGACATGAAGCACGATATGGTACGCTTTGGCCCGGCTGCGCCACTATGGCCGACGTTATTCCCATTCTTCAGCCCGTGCAATTCGCAAACGTATGCATTCAATTTTGAACGGACAGCGTCGTGCTGATTTGCTCCTCCCAGTATTCTATCGGTGAGAAATGTGTCAATCAACGGTGACGATCGGCTGACGACCCGGACAAGCGGCGTCGCTCCCGCTTCTGGTCCGTTCCTGCGGTTCAGGTTGTAACTTCTGGACGATACTGAGTTGATACGCTCTAGATATACGATTTTCTCCTCACATTAGAGGACGAGGTGCGAGCCATTTCATGGCATGGGCCGACCGATGATCACATACAATGAGTCAGGTTTCGTTGATATGGGGCTCGAAGCTCTCTTGGATCAAGATCCTTTACTTCATGAATAGAATCGCCCCCTTCTCAGACGCTATTCTTGGATTAGCTCGTGAGAGCTCCTGGTCTTCACCCTCTGATGTATCACTCACTGGACTCGAAGGTAGAGTTGTGGCTCGCGATGAATGGGTAATTTATCTGTTGAGCCTGCATGGGAGACTCACCCTCAAATCGGTTGCGTCTATCTTATAGATCTGCCAACAAGGCGATGCTATCGTCAACTGTACGTGCTGTATTGCATACGACGCATCATGACCTCATCGAGCTCTTGCACAGCACTCGTTCTCATCGGCTTGGCCGTGGCAGAAGGTTAGTGTAAACACACTCCACTTGATCACTGCCTGACACAGGGTGAATGTTTTCTAGCTCTCCTAGTAATCCGAACTTGCGCTATATGGCACGACCGCAGCCATATCGTGTATATTCTCTGGGCATCATTTGTCGTACGTGGTGACCATCTGCGTGTCTGGACGTACAACAACGTATGCTTCAGGGATTCTCTGCCGCTGCAGTGGTCATTCTTGCGAGGTACCAACTTCAAACGCGCTGTACGCCCCGATCTGTCTGTCCCGCCTTCAACCGTTGCTCACCTGCTTCCGTGTCCAGTCATTCCCATAAGCACCGTCGTACCGGGAATGAGCGGGTGCCTGCAAATAGCCGGACATCATGAGATATGGAAGGCATTCTTGCTTCTCGCGATCTCGGAGACTGGTGCGAATTCGTTTGGGTCCTTGGATCTTCCGCCACTGTAGTAAATGACGCAATCCAGTTATCGTAGCGTTCACAGTGGCGAAATACGCCATCTCAAGTGCGTCACAGCACCATTCCAAACCATCCCAATGCCTTCTCTGACCCTACGTGGACCTCGGCTCTGCAGATGACAGACGCTATACGGGTAATTCGCGCTTGTTTACGACGCTATATCGCGACGGTCAGTTCTTAGACGGCTTGCTTAGCCCATGAATCTGATTCCCTTTCCCAGGAGTGATGTATTATCTCTATTTTTTATGTGAGAGGAGCGACGTCACTGGTTGGATGAAACTGATCGTAGGATACGCAGTGCCTAGTGTTGCCAACATTGTGTTATTAGTCCGCATGGTAATGTGTTGTTCACCTATCGAAGTTATTTCTTGGTCATTGACGTGTGGCATGTGCAGGATCCGGAGCGCGCGTCGTCTATGATACAGTGCGTGAAGAGCATTTATCACTTCGTTGCACGTTATTCATTGCGTTGCAAACAGAATTCTGCATGCTCTGCATAGCATCTTCGTATCACGGGTGATCTTGCGCTTGAGAAAGATGGCGCAGCTTCCTATACACGAGCCCTTGTCGATGCGGAGTGGACCTGCTGCATATAGGCGATACGGGCTCGACGTGATTTTGAAACGGGTCAGCAAATAGGCCTTCCGCTTGTTGTAGAGCATGCTCGATGTATGTGAAATATGCCTGAACCGTACAATAGATGATACGAAGCTAGGAACACCCATCGTAGCTGAACGCTTTTCCGCTGGAGCTCGGAATGCTATAACCGACGTGAGTACGATACTTGAACATTGCATGCAGTATCGTCAGTTGCGACGAGCGAAAACATGCTACTACGGTACCACATCATGCGTTTTCATCGGACTGCATATTATCAGAGGCATGTCCGTTTTGGGGTATGTGCGATCAAAAGATACAGTCTCGGCTTATGAGCAAACGGTCCCGAACTTGCATACATATCAGAATAACGGTCGTTAGCGGAGCCATATCACTAAAGTTTCCTCAGTTGAAGTTGATCAATAAGCCTCCGCAGTGAACCATGTATCAAAGTTGAACAACAGTTTCCTGTCCCTCATAGTTTGACGAACATCTTATAAGGGAGAACATTCCCGTTCGAGCCACTCTAGCGCCCGTGCGTCGTTCTTCAGCAGAGGACCTACCTTGTCCAAGACTTCCTGGTGGTATTTGTCGAGCCAAGCCCGTTCCTTCACCGAGAGTAAGGTAGTGTCGATGAGCTTCTTCTGTATCGGGCACTGGAAAAGGTACAGGACGTTATCCATGCTCAGTGCTGCATGCACGAAGGTCGACCACGGGCGTACCATCGTAACGTTTTCGAATCCGAGGTAGCCCTTGTCGCCGAAATTGTTCGGCGTCTTAGCCTCCTTCACGATGACGACATTCTCGATACGTATGCCGAACTTGCCGTCGGCGTAGTAACCAGGTTCTGCGCGACCATGGTATCAAAAACCGACAGTGCCAGCATGGACGAACGGCAAACTGACCGTTGGACACCGTCATGCCGGGTTTAAGTGGAGTGTTGTTATAAGCTATGAAATCAGTCGAATCACGCTCTCCCGCTGACATGGTCAAAGTAGCCTACCGATGCGCACGCCGATACCATGAGGTCCTGATCGTTCAAAGGATTAACGGGCATTCGCAGAACGAGTGGCCGTAGTGAGCAGTACCTTCGTGTACGTTGAGGAAGTGGCCAACCCCGTGTCCGGTACCATGTCGGTAATCTACTCACACGAACAGATAGGATCAGGGACAGATGGCAGAAGAGTTCATAATTGACGTACCCAGACCATCTTCCCAGAGCGGCCGCCGCGCCCATGAGTCGCTAGAATACGACGTTGAGACGAAAGCTTGGAAGTTACGATAGAAATCTCACATCACATATCCTAAATCGCACCGCACAGCTTCGGTGAGATGGAGGCGTACAAAATGCAGGACTCGTACCCGTCGTGCCGCTCGGAAAGATAGCGGTGTCGATGGCGATGTGTCCTTGCAGCACTCGCGTGAACGCTCGTTTCTCCTCGTCCGTAGGTGTACCGAAATGCTATCATTGAACCGCGTGAGTATTACTGAAAACACAGTCGAAGGCGAGGGCTTACCCAGGTACGGGTGACATCCGTTGTACCGTCCAAGTACTGTGCTGATGAGGGATCGTGTCGTCGGAGAATTTCATGAAACGAAAGTTGGATGGCCCATACCTCCAGAATCACACAAATAGATCTGCAGGGTCGGCTTCAGTTACACACAATATCGCTCAATAGCAACGAAGCTGACCTGATCCTTTCGTATGATTGCACAATCCTCCGGATCCGGCGAATAGTGTATTATAGCTGCCATTCATCTCATCAATGCTTCACCAACGTCGGCAAGCAGCAAGGACACCTACCCCCGTTCGGGCCTGTGCTCGAAATGGTCGTGAAGCTCAATCCCTGGAACAGCTCGCCCTCTTTCCTGAATCCCTCCAGGACCTCCGCCGCCTTCCACTCGCTCCACTCGGTCCCCGCGTCCAGCTCCGCCTGGAGCCACGAGAAATACTTCGCGAGCGCCGCGCCGTCGCGGACGTGCGAAGCGCGGAAGCCGGCGATCTCCGTCGCGTTTTTGATCGACTTCAGGTCGGCGACGTGCGAGCGGGCGATGGTGATGTTGTCCTGGGCCGACGTCAGAACGGCAATGAAACACGAGGATACGAGTGCGAGCTCACATGTCCGATAGCGTCTGCGACGGCCAAGCTAGCCTTATCGCCCACGATTACTGGCTAATCCCACAGGATAGCCTTAGTCAGAGCGCCTTCAAATATATAATCTCAGGATGTTCTGCTCACCATCTCCTTGCTCAAGCCTAGTTCGGCGCTCAAACCCTTTAGGTAAGGGAAAAACTCGACGTAGGGCTTGACTTCCACCCCATGGCCGAGGTGCGCGCGCACCTCGGGGGTGAGCTTGGTCGGGTCGACGAAGAGGAGGGCGCGAGTCGGCGTGATAACCGCATAGGCGAAGAAAACTACATGCGCATATGTTAGGTTGAAATGACGACGAAATTTCAATCAAGGAGACGGTACCCGGGTTGAAGTCGATGTCAGACCCGCGGAGGTTGAACAGCCACTCGACCTCGTCGAGCATGTTCACCACCGCCGCCTTCGCCTTCTGCTTCTCGAGCTCCGCGCGTACCTTCTTGATCTTGTCCGAATGCGATTCACCTGTGGCCCTTTCCCATGTCACCGACCCCTGCGGGATGCGAAGCCACGGGTGATAGACGCACCGGCATATTTCACGTCCAATGCGAAGATGGGATTGGTGGGCCGGGGAGGGCGGTCGGCACCCCAAACTAGGTCTACAAGATTGTCTTCGAGGGGCACGAGCTCCGAGTGGACGGGTGAGAGGGCTTCGCGCAAGGACTGGGCATCGGAGACGGAGAGGAGGGTCGGGTCGAGGCCGATGCGCGTGTTCTTCTCAAGGTTCTGAGGGACGTGGAAGGCCAGTCGGTGATCATGCAGAGAGAATACTGGTACCCGTGAAGGAAGGAGCTTACTTTGTGCAGGAATTCTTGCCAGGTGGGGACATCTGCGTAAAGCATTCGCAAGGAGTGAGTATCAATGCTGGTGGAATGCATGTAGGCGCACCTGGTAGGCCCTGCTTCATCAATGTCCAGTTGCGGTCCAGTTGCTTCTCAGCTTGTAGGAAATAGCGCCCGTCGGTAAAGAGGTAAGCGTTATCGGTCGTCACCACAGCGCACCCTGTTTCGTTGCATAGAACACCGAGTTATAGAATGAACCTGGAGAAAAGGTAAGAATCCTTACCAGCCGAGCCGTTGAACCCGGATATGTACGCCCTGCGCTCATCGCAGTGCGCGCTGTACTCGCTGAAATCTAGTGGCAGGATCTGTCAGCGCCCGACTGCGCTCAATATGTTCGGCGTGTATATATGCGCCTGTCATACATGCGTGCCCACTCACGCGAATCTTCGCTCGGCACGACATACGCCTTCACGTCGTACTTCTTGCTGCTCATAAGTTCCCTCAGCTTGGCGAGGCGCTCGGTCGTGTTGACCGTGTGCGTGCCAATGTCGCCCATGGTGGTATTTAGTCGCTCAACAGATCGTGAGCTCGAATAGCGGACCAAAATCGCGAGTCTGGAGGCGAAAGATCTGAAGCAGAGAGCCGGCGAAGGGATGGGGGTCCGTCGAAACGGGATGAGGACCATGTGCACAGATGATCTCCGGGATTAGATTGGCTCAGGCTCTCGGACTCGCAATTCCCTGGAAAGGTGGATCCTACGCAGCCGTAGGCCGCGTGAGGGCTGTAACCGGACAAGCACACTTAGGCGTTCACTGGGCAGTGGTCGTCGTCGTCGTAGTAGGAGTCGGAGGTTGTCGGGGACTAAGCGGTGTACACCGTATACTATGCGCTGGCGTCGGCGACTCCCTATTATATATTGCTCGGTCATCGTCAAGTATGACTTCGTACATGCACAGAAATCGCCAGGGATAGTCGAACAATGATGGGCCACGTAGAGATGCGGATGTGATCAAGCGAGCAAGGTCGCAACTCGCGACATCAGGCTCGCTGGCTGCTGAACGAGAAGCACCGCATTTCTCTCCCCTACCGTCAGCTACCGTCCTCCTCGTCGTGGCGACGTCGCCAGCCGTGCATCTCAATACTTCCTACATAGCTTGTTTGCTTGTTTCTGATTCCCAGGCCGGCTTGAAGCCGCTACGAGAGCGCCACTACATCGACAACGCCAGCGACCCGGTCTCAAATAGCGTGGAGCTTGGTTCAGCATGCTCGAAGATAGATACATCGGACTCGCGCTCGCAGTTTCGGGGACTGTAGCCATCGGAACTAGTTTCATCATCACCAAAAAGGTTGGCTTCATCCGCGTTCGGTGTGGTGTACGGAAGGGTTCACCAGCCCTTGTTCAACAGGGTTTGAATGACGCATCGCACGCTAACGGCAAGGCGTCCGAGGGATATGCATACCTTCGAAATCCACTATGGTGGGCGGGGATATCGACATGTGCGTCTAGTCGTCTCTGCGCCATGAAAATTGCTTATGGCTTGCTCATCCTGCAGTGGTTATTGGAGAAAGTACGCGATCCTCCATGCCCTCACATTCTTTCTCGTTGATTGATTCATGTATGCAGTCGCCAACTTTGCTGCCTATGCATTTGCACCGCCCATCCTCGTCACCCCTCTCGGGTCCCTCTCCGTTTTAATTGGGTTAGTCTTTCGGCATCAGCACTCGTCCGCGTCGCTGATGTACCTCTGGACCGCAGCGCGGTCCTCGCGTCGTTCCTCCTTGGCGAATCACTTGGGCACCTAGGCCGTGTAGGCTGCGGACTCTCGCTTGTTGGCTCCTTGATTATCGTGCTACATGCTCCAGAAGACAAGGAGGTGACGAGTATAGACGAAATGCTCGAGTATGCTGAACAACCTGGTACGCATGTGCCTCGACACTTGCTCTTCTCTTCTCCAATCACGACATCTTCTCTAACCAGCTCTCCTGCAGGCTTCCTCCTCTACTGCCTCACCGTCGCCGCCTTCTCCATCTTCATGATCTACGTCATCGCGCCCAAGCATGGGCGCACAAACCCGCTGGTCTACATCTCTATATGTTCCCTCGTCGGCTCCGTGTCCGTCATGGCGATAAAAGGCTTCGGCGTCGCCGTCAAGCTCACCCTCGGCGGCAATAATCAATTCACCCGGCCGGCGACGTACGTCTTCGGGCTCTGCATTGCAGGCTGCATCCTCGTGCAGATGAACTACTTCAACAAGGCACTCGACACCTTCTCCACTAACGTGTACGTGCTCTCGTCGTCGTCTTCCTTCACCTCCCTTCCTCTCGTCACGACGCTGACGCCCGTCTTTTCTCAGAGTGAACCCGATGTACTTCGTCGGTTTCTCCACCGCGACGCTCGTCGCCTCCATCATTATGTTCCGCGGCTTCAACACGGCCTCCACCCGTGACTCGTTTTCGCTCCTCGCCGGGCTCACCGTCACCTTCCTCGGCGTGCACCTCCTCAACCTCTCCCGCCAACCCGAGGCGCCCCTCCCCCAGGCCCACTCCGCTTTGGAGTCGGGGATCATGAACCCGCGGCTGAGCATCAGCGGCCGGATGAGCCTCGACGGGTGGGGCGTGAACGCCGTCCCCCTCACGCCGCACTCCGCCAACGGAAGCGCGTATGGCCACGGCCGGCGCTCGTCGCTCTACCGCGCGCAGAGCCAGACGCTGTTCAACACGTTCGAGCACGACGACGAGCTTCCGCCGTCGCCCGCGCTGCACCGGCTGCAGGAGGAGCAGGAGGAAGATGAGTATGACGACGAGGAGGCGAACGAGCGCACGCGGCTCCGGAGCGGCGGTGGACTGGGGAGCGCGCGAGGGTCGAGGAGCAACTCGCCGAGGATGGCGCGGGGACCGGGGTCGCAGGACGATCTCCAGGCGCGGCGGTCACCGCAATACCGATAATGCTTCGCAGGAGCGCGCAGCTTTTGTAGATAGTTAGTTGATAATACCCTCCAGACGGACCTTGTTACGTATGTTATACGCGCTTAGTTAAGTCAACATCGCAAAGCATGTGTTGGATGTGCAGACTGGTAAACACGAAGAATATCTATCTGCCGAGAAAAGCACCTGGCCTCCAAGCACGAAATGAGAGAAATACAAGTCTTGAAAATACACGAAATCCTTCCGAAGCGTGTGCAAGATCCAAGAATCAAAACGACCTCAATCGTCCTCCCTCCAAGGCACGTCCAGGAATCCCTCTCCATCGTCCTCTCCAGATTCTCGTTCGCCTCCAGGGATCGCCCATTCCTCCGTGGACGAGAATATTTGGGCGCGAATCCGCTCCATCATCTCTGTAACTTGCCCCTGCGCGCGCTCCCGGCGCTCCCGGTCATACCCATGCGCGACGACGGTCTCTGTAGGGTCCCAGTCGATCTTTTTGCCCTTCCAGCCGCCGCCGAGGTGAACGAAGTTGAGGAAGGCGCGCCAGACCGGGTCGAGCGACAGCACGGTCGGGTCGCCAACGACGATGAGAAGTGCGCGGGCGCGCGTAATCGCAACTGACGTGACGAACGGGGCATTTATGAATGCCGGGTCAGTACGGCGGATAAATGGAACATACCATTGAAGCGCCGGGCGTTGGCGACAAATCCGAGGGTGTGGCGGATGTCGTAGTTGATGTGATCGACGGAACTCCGCACAGTGGACAGGATTATGACTTTCCGTTCCTGTAGAGACATGTCAGGAGAGCTAGCCTGGCAGTCATTCACGAGTTGCGGCATACCTGGCCTTGGAACTCCTCAACAGAGGCGCACTTGATGTCCTTGCATCTGTCAGGAAGGATACGATGTATCTTCCCGCACTGTGCGTGATAAGGCGATATAACACCAATATCACTGGGCTCTATGATCATATCAAGCTGTTGAGTATCCATCTTCATCTCGAAGAAGGAAGGCTCACTGAGTCGCAGCTTTTGATCCGACATCAATTCCACGCAGTATTTCTTGACCTGGGTCGCCTCCTCGACGTTGAAAAAAGACGGGGACGACTCCTCGCGCTCGTCCTTGCCCGTTATCCCATGGAACACAATCGGGAAGCCCCTCTTGACAAGCACCTCCGAGCGCAGCAAGCTATGTGTCATCGCTGGGTCTCCGCAGGCCTCGAGTTCGCCATCGTAAAACTGTTGGTTGGCAAACGTAAGGATGTCGGGGTGTGACCTCCAATTCTTGATGAGCTTCACAACCCTGATGCATAATGCCGCGTGTTAGTCTTGGAGGCGCCGACAGAACGTAGTACTCACGTCAATCCTCTGCCGGTCTCCAGGCTATATGGCCCGCTGTCCATAAGACGTTCCATGTAGCTCCTGTTGAGCTTGAAAGAGATGGCTATGACCGAACGAATGGTCGGTCCGAGCTGCCTTATATCCCCCGCCAGGACGACATTCGTGCGGTTGTCCGCCATGGTCCTGATCGGGATCATCGCGTCCGGCTCCGTCGCCTGCGCGCACTCGTCCACGAAGATGTGCGAGTAGTATCCCCGTGGTACGCCGAGGCCGTAGGGTATCCCGCCTGAGATGCATGTCGAAACGACAACGCGGTACTTCATCAGGTCCTCCAGCGCCGGGGTGGCAAAGACCTGATTCCCGTTGATGAGGGAGAAGGGCAGGAGGTCCTTGGGGAGTCGCTTGACCTCGCGCGAAACCGAGTTGAGGCGGAAGAGCTGGTAGGGGCCGAGGTCGAGCAGCCGCATGGCAAGAAGGTCGGCGGCGGCATTCGACGGGGCACACACGAGGATGCGGCAGGCGTCGTTAGCGATGAGGAGTTGTTTGATGCTCTCCACGACTGTGACGCTCTTTCCGGTTCCGGGCCTGAACAGACGGTGAACAAGGGCCGACGAGCGAAAACGTGCAACTTACGGCCCAAAGATGACGAAAGGGACGGAACCTGCTGGACGATGGAGTATAGTCGCAACGGCTTGCAGCTGTTCGCGATCCTCCGCGATCCTTCGGTTGACGAGTCGAACCGCTTCCATTTGCGCTTCAGTCACGGTTCGCAGAGGCGCTAAATCACGCGTTGCGGGGAACAGGACATGCGTCAATGGGTATTTGATTGCCACGGCTTGATGCGCTCTCCTCAACGGCAGACGATTCAAGACAAAGCTGTGAGGAGATGGGTTCAGGGCCACGCGTGTCAGGCAACAGAACGACCCGCACCGGACATCGAAGCTGTTGCCCCGGAAAGTGCTGAACGAATCGCTGAATCGGACGTCCACGGATGTGTTGTGAAGCTCGTGGACGCGACCTTGGTACCATTTGTCGTCGCGTTCGCTGGTGAACTTGACGTTGATGAAGTCGCCGACGAGAACGGAAGGCCGCTTCTCCGCCAACCCGTCGACTTGGAGGCTAGAGGTAACCGATTTATAGGGCTGCACGGGGTATGTGCTTTACTACCGCTCACCGGTAACGTGGCGGTCTTGGCTCCAGCGTGACACCGTACATCGAATATCGCTCTAGATCCTGTCTGATCTAAGGTCAGCAGGGCATTCCGCGACGTCACAAATCCAGCCCGACCCACCTCGTCTTCTCTTCCTCGATATGCAGCAACATGTGGAACCATTTGGCGTATGTGGAGGGTGTGAGCGCGGCAGGCAGGAACCGCGCGCGAACCTCCTGTTGTGCCCTCCGCGTGTTATGCTGAAATGCCGCCTCCACGAGGTCCGCAGGAACAGGGTAGTGCGGGAGAAACACCTTCCAGGCCGTCTCTGTCCACGTTGGGGGTGGCGGCACGACTTCCGCTTCGGGCGGGCGGGGCTTGACGGTCTTCTTCACGTACGGCGCCGAGGGTCGCAAGACGGCGAAATCGTCAGCGGAACCGACGATGGCCTTCATGTGGCGGATGATGGTGAACTGTCTCTTGGCGGCGACGTCGTGAAAGCATAGCTCGATGGTGTCCTCATATCTTCCTTCGTAGGAGGATTGAAATACGACGGCAACTTGACGGGGTTGACGCCAATTGATCCACCTGATATTTCCTACGAGGCTAGCTGAGAAACTGCAAGCATATAAGTTGAGAACAACAGAAGGAAAATAAGAGAAAGTATCCGACCTTGTACCATGCGTGCTCTGTGTGGTCGACGAGGATAAGAGTATCTTGGCGAGGTAAACTCGAGCGACGGTGTCCGTTCTTTTGATTGTCAAAGTCATCGTGCGTCGTTCCGAGGCCCCTTGGGTGGCATCCATCTCGACAATGCCAAAATCAAGCCCTCCTTTCAAGGAAATCGCGACCCCGTGCTTGTCTGCTTCGGCGCTTTCGACGTCTGTAACACCGTCAGATACATCTCTCACATCCGTACCCTAGACAGAGCGCATACAGTCAACGAGAACAGCAGATGCAGCCCAACGACGCGTTGCATACGTACCCTACTCGTCGCCCCCGCGTTTGCATTCCCCTGGCTGACCGCTCTGGCCTGCGCGACCGCTTCCCGATGGCTCGCACTTCGGGAGTGATAGGTATACGCGGTGATGTTTGGGAGGGTCAGACCGCAAACACCACAGCGTATATCAGCGAAACTGCGCTGCGTCGCCGTTCTAGGACCGGAGGGCGCGGAGTGCGGGGTCTGAGCCGTTTCGACGCCCGCGACCCTGAGCCTCCTAAGCACCTCCTGATGTTTCCGACCGCGAACGTGCTGGTCGACGCTGTATTTTGCTGGAACGAACGTCCCGCAAACGCTGCATCGTTCAGCCATTTTTCTCGATCGGAGAAGTAGGCTGGACGGTAGTGAAGTTCAGGTTAAGGCGAGAGAGCCAGGAGGGTAACGCTTGGTCGACACTGAAGCCTATCAGGCTCTAGTCAAGGGGGGCGCAAACCACGTGTAGCGCTCCGTCGGGCAATGGAAGGTTTGTTCGTGCACATGGAGGCAAAGGAATGGACTGGTTTGTCAGAGTCGAAGGTCGGCTGCTCTCGACCCTCGACCCTCTCCTCTTCCACGCCACTACACATCCGGGCTCGCTGTTCCTTCCTGAGTGCTGTCAACTACGGAAAGTAAACTCTAGTAGGAGTATGCGGCACTAAGCAAGATAATCGAATTTCGTCGACCTGAACTTTTTGAAATCCAAATACATGTATTCGATCCAGAGCGACGCACCCGATGGAATCAGAAAGGAATTTCATCGTTCGCTTCCTCGTCGTCAGCGGTAACTTTGAGTCTATAACCAAGGATTATCTCCCCATCCCCGTCCCCGGCCTGCTTGTCCACGTTCAATTTTTGACTGAGCACCCAGTGCCAGAAGGCCCTAAAGAAGGGCTTTTGATTCCGAACTAAATCGAGAGCCGTACGGTGCTGCCGCGGGTGCTCTCCGAGCAGATCTCCGCTGCGGATGAGCCGCTTGTACAGCGGACGCTCGGCTTCCGCGATTACCTTGTACACCGAGGGCGAGCATCCATAGATGTACAAGCTATACCGCGGGTGCACGACGTTCTTGTGGCCTCGCGATGGAGGCGCAGGGATGACCACCTTGGAAGGAGACCCCGGAATGGGCGGAGGATTTCCGGACTGCTCCATCATGTCGCGCCGCTTTCGAAGCGCCGTGCTCGACTTTGAATGATCTGAATGATAATCAGTGGGGGTCTGTGCCAATAGTGAAGGAGGATTGGCAACTCCTAGCTCCATAATCAAGGTGATATACGGGCGGGGCGTCTGCCCTCCCGTGCTGGTAGTGTTCCTCGAGAAGAACTTGATCTCGTTCTCATTGATGGCATACGCAGACGGTGTGCCCGCCTGTCCTCGAAGCTTTAATTGGACAAAGATACCCGACATGACCTCTGGGCGAAGGGCAACTGCCTTGTCCATAAGAATGGGCAGGAACACATTGACGATCGCTGCATTGTTCAGGCAGATGACGGCCATATGACGAATGAAGCATGCCATCGCAGTATCTTCGTAGACCGAACACGTCAGAGAATAATACACATCAAGATGATACACGCCCGAACACTGAGAAGTACCACCTTGCACAAACACAAAATCACAAATCCATCCGAGATCATTCGTCTCAAACACAAACCAGAGCTCACTCCTGCCGTTCGGGGTTATCCAAATCTTCGTTCACGACGTCCGAGTCCGGTTCCGCATCCTCCACGATAGGTTCAATACCAAACTTCGCAAATTGTGCGTTCAGCTCCTCGAGCGCTTGAGCCCTAACATCGGCATCATAACCACCGTCCTTGACGGGTTCGGTCGGGTCCCAGCCGATACTGCTCTGACCCGTCCACCCGCCGTTCTGGTGGACGTAGTTGAGAAATCCACGCCAGAGGGGGTCTAGCGAGAGTACGTTGGGATTCCCAACAACAATCAGGAGCGCTTTTGCGCGGGTGACGGCGACTGGGGATTGATGAGGAAGTCAAATTCCGGCATGGACTAGATGTATCGCCGGGAACACGTACCGTTGAAGCGACGTGGGTTCGAGACAAATCCGAGGGTGTGTCGCAAGTCATAAGTGAGCAGCTCTTGGCTGCTTCGTACGGTGGAGACGATGATGACTCGCCGCTCCTACGATGCAAACTGAGCGGGTGGCGACTCCTGAGCAAGATAGTTGAAGGCGTACCTGGCCTTGGAATAACTCTGTCGAACCGACCTTGATGTCTGTGAGGTGAATCGCCCTTAGGGCCGCTCGGATCTTGAGCGATTGCGCATGATACGGCGTGATGATCCCAATATCATGTTGCTCTGACAATCTGGAGTTTCAGCGTGGGGAATCAGGAATGGGGATGACACTGGCGACTGACCGACAGGGAATTCCGCGTTTCCCAGCAGATCTTGAACGTACGCCTTCACTTGGGAAATCTCATCGATGTTGAAGTACGACGGAGATGTCGACTCGCGATCGTCCTTTCCGATGATTGAATGAAATATAACGGGGAACTTAGACGACGGCAGGCCGGGCCAGCCAATGTAGGAGTCGACGATCTCCGCACACGCGCATGGGCGGAGGTCACCGGCATAGAACTTGACGTTGGGGTACTGAAGGATGGTGGTATGCGAGCGGAAATTGTTCACAAGCTTGACGACGCTGCGCAAGGTAAATATAGCGTCAGGGGCGGGGAGGACGAACAAAGGCTGACACACGTACGTGACACCGTACCCGCCGACCACGTCGTAAATCTTCCTTTCCATAAGCCGTTCCAGGTAACTCTTTCCGAGACCCAAGTCCCGGGCAACCCCAGATCGGATTACAGGCCCCAGCTGCTTAGGATCTCCGGAGAGGATGATGTTGGTTTTGCTCGTTGCAAGCATTCTGATCGAAACCATTGCCTCGGGCTCCGCCGCCTGCCCAGCCTCGTCGAGAAAGATATGTGAGAAATGACCTTCCGGAATTCTCAAGGAGTATGGTATGGCAGCGGATATGCATGTTGCAACGACCACCTTGTATCGCAACAGTCGATCCAGGTCTGGAACAGTGAAATTGCCTCCGTCAGCGGTCATGGCCGTGAATGGGAGGAGTGTTTCTGGGACTAGGTTCCTCCTCCGCGTCGGGGCGTACATACGGAAGAGATCGTCGTCGAGGTAGGTAAGGCCGAGCGCAATGAGGTCTGCGGCGGCATTGGTTGGCGCAATTGCAAGAATGTGTACTTTGTCGCCGCCAACGCGAAGGAGCTGCTTGATAGCCTCGAGGATCGTGAACGTCTTCCCCGTTCCAGGCCTTTTATAATGAAAACAGTCAGAAAAGGCGTACACCAGATAGGGGGATGACATACGGGCCAAATAGCACGAAGGGCACTGCCCCCGGCTTGCGATGGACGATGGACGTAATCGCTTGCAGTTGCGCCGAATTCTGCAGGATGCGCTCATCAAACCGTGGTCCTTCCAGAATCTCAGGCGAGGGGGCGAGATCCCCTGCGATATGCTCCGGCTCAGGGAACAGTAAACGACTTGGGTTATTCGATATCTTCAACGCCTGGTGCTGGACGCGAAGTGGGTGGCGGTTTAGTTGAAATCTGACGTTGCATGTTTTATCTTTGTGGGCCCCAAAAGCGCTGTTGAGTCGCATCCCGACTTCTTGTAGAGCGACCACAAACACCCTTCCTTCAAACCATTTTCCCTGATCTACATCCGTTGGTTGTACCAGAATGCGATCACCTATGCCGACAGTGTTATTATCCAAGCGATGATTAAAAACAGCGACATTCCGCGAACGTACCGACGATGACGCTGGGTCTATTCTCGGCCAATCCTGGGACCTGCAAGCTGCAAAACGGATGAGATACGTCATCCTTTCAGAAACGGATGATCTCACTAGTATAGAGCGCCCGCAGACCTGAGTCGTACACCATGCATATCGTAGGCTTGAATGTCTTTCCTGTGGCGAGGATTCAGTATAATGCAGCGCGCAGCACGTAAAACATACTCTTGTTTGTATTCTTCGGCCCAAATGAGCGTCTGGTACCAGGTCGAGTAGCTAGTCTCATTCAGTGCTGGTGGGAGATGACCCTCGCGAATCCTCCCCGTGATCTGCTGAGACGACGCTCTTTTCTCCAGCACCGACAATAGTGCATCTGGGATCTTCGCATCGGGAAGTTTACGCCGATACTGGATGCGCGACAGAGACGGGGGTAGTTCCGCTTGAACCACTTCCGTCTCTGCCGTGCGGCGCCGCCTGGTGGGCTTGACGTAAGGAGCAACCGGCTTCAAGAGTTCGTGGTCCTGTGGATCACCCACTACGGCCTTGATAATGCGCGAAATCTCGAAGCGGCGGCTCGCGTCTGCGTCCTCGAATACGATCTCGAGACGTGCCTCGTACCTCCCTCGCTGAGGAGGATGTTGGGTAAACTTCACGACAACGTGCAGATCCTCCGCTGAAGGAACTCGCGTGCCGGCACCTTTCACCGAAGCGATGAAGCTGGACCAATGGTTGGTGAATGTCGAACAGGGTAGCAGAAAAGCCTGTCACGTACCACGTCGTTGGCGCTGAGTTGAGCGCCTTCACAACTCTGGCCTCAATCACCGCGATCCGAGCAGTACCGGATGTCGCCCTGACGGTGATGTTGATCTCGGGATTGGCCTGCACCGCAGCAAAATCCATGATCCCAAAATCAGCACCTACGTCGGCATGCGAGATCGTGATGCCGTTATCATTTTCCGCCCGCGATATTGCCTCCATGTATGCCTTCATGCGAGTCTTTCTGAGATGTGCACGATAGGTATAGTGCGCCTTGAGCTGTCCATTGGGCACATGCATTTCACATGCGTCACAATAAGCGAATCCAGGCCGGGACAAATCAACCTCAGGCGCCATGGCGGGCGAAACACCGTTTTCTCTGGCGCGAGAGCAATGCGGGGCGGAGGCGATGTGCTTCGTCCAGCCGCTCATGCCGTCGGTAGTATGCGAGCAGATCGTGCATTTGAACAGTGTAGATGTCCTTTTCTTTTTACGGAGCTGAACCTTCATATGCTTGTTCGACTTTTCGTGCTGTGCATGGTTGGATGCGGGGCTGGACACGACGCCACAGTCTGTGCAGGCTGCGAAATCGTGTTCACATGGGCAACCGACGACTGTGCACATGCCCTGCAGCAGTTTCCGTGAACACAGGTTCAAGCTGAAAAGATACTGGCTGTTCATCGTGACTGGGTGAGAGGGGAAAGGAAACGGTGCAGCATTCCCTATCGATGTTCCTCTTTAGTCGCATGCAAATGCAGGTCATGGGAGTGGATCCCTCAGTCTGACTCACGGAACGGATACTGAATGCCCGTCATGAGCTTCCATTGCTTCCATTCGAGTTGAGTTTGGATTCAAGCTCTGCTATTCCTGAGACGGAGTCTCACGCGCACGTCCCAGAGCACGTTCCATCGGCGAGTTTGACTGATGACAAGGACAATCTCGTCTAATGTTCACACTGAGCTCGGTCAGCAGAAGTGTGACGAGGAGCTCGAAGTCCAAAATTGGCGACACACAGCTCGGGAGAGAACTGAGGAGGAGCTGAGGGCACGGAGGAACGGCCACGTGCATTAATCAATGATGCAAGTCCGGCGTCGTGGTCGCCTTTCTTGTTGGACAAGAAGTCCGGAACATCTGGGACCGGGGTCGTCGCTCCACAATAATAGAGCAATCAGAAGGATTCCTGCCAACGTCCTTATCACAAAGGAGCTGATTGTGGCCTGACAGCCCGTGATGACAGCGCACGTCGGGACAAGACCAATTGCGACCTGCATGAGCGCTAGCATCGAAACACGGTTGCATACGTAAGGTGCACATTCCGCAGCCTTTACAGCGATCCTTAACATATCTGCCATGGTGCTGGCAACTGGGGAATCCTTCATATCGTACACCACAGCAGGTATGGAAGAACATATAACCAAAACACATGATTCTAGGATCGTGTAATCGGAGGGATCATCGTCTACGAGCTGAATAATTTGGCGTGTTCTGCGAGCAATCTCAAGTTGGATGTAGGGCCCTCCGCGCAGGGGCGCAAACGGCGAACCAGAATTGACCTTACGTACTTTATACCCCTTCCCGTTCCCGATCAGGCAAATGCAGAGTAACGGCATGCTACACACACGAGGCTGCACGTATATAACAAACGCAGATTCTTCCTGAAAAGAACGGGATGAATTGAGATAGGCACAACGGTGGCCATAAGAATGGAATGGCGGGACTGACCGTTGCGTGCTTTCGTCTTCGATGTTTGGCTTACGATCCTCGGGGCCCCAGCGCGACGAATACATCTAGATTCTACGTCGACAGTGAATTTCGGGTCTCAAGAATGAGTGCACGTCATGCTATTCAAGTTCCACAGTTTCAGATAGTGGAATAGAAGGCCCCGACGTCGATCCCTCTTTCACGTGTCGACATCTCTGCAACGTTAACGACGGGCTCTCTGGTAATAAACAACACGCATAACGGCACGAAATCTTCACCCTAGATATCCATTACTCATCCTGGGGATCGAATCAGGGTTCAGCCAAGCGTATATCGTCTCTCGACCCGTACCATCCTGAGACGGTTTCCAAATCTAGGATGCGACTGTACAGTATAGCACCTTGTCCCCCGCATCTCGACAAACATCCTCATCGATGTGGCGAAACATAAAAGTTCGGCGCGCATCCCGCTTTCCAGCCGCTACTGCTCACAAAACTGGGCGCGCATTTCCTATCGACCTGGTTCGACTGTTAACTGCAAAGCTTGGTTGGACAAGCGTAAGGTCCGGTTGGACGGACGCCAAGTCCTGGTTGGACAGGAACTGTGCTTAATGTTGGTTGGACAGCATTCCTGCACGCCGGGTAAGTTAGCTATCCCGGGTAATTGCTCTGGTTGGACAGAAGTGGGAATGGTCGATAACCCTCCGAGGGAATCGATTCGTGCACCAGCACAGCAGTTGGATGTTGTACGCGCGGAGTGCGTGCTATCGGTCGTTCGTTCGCTCAGAACAGCCAAGGACCGACCCTGCCTTTTGCTCCTTCAGGCCTGTAACCGACGTGTCAGATGACTCGGACCCCGTTTGCGCTGAACGCTTACCTGATCTGCAAGCAGCTCTGATGGATAAGGTTGAGCGCCTTCACGGCGTCCCGCCCGTCGATGACACACGAGATGTTGATCTCGCTGGCGCCCTGACTGATCATCTCGATATTCACGTTCCCTTGGGCGAGGGTCTGGAACATCCGGCCCGCGATACCGACCATATTGCGCATCTGCTTGCCCACGAGCGACAAAATGGCCATGTCGCGGTGAACAGAGACCTGTAGAACCAGCAACGTCAGCAAAATGACAGATCGGCATCATCAAGTTATGAGACGTACCGATCCACTCCTTCGAAGTTCCCTCACGAGCTTCTCGAGGCCCTTCTTGTCCATCCCAGCTTCTTCGATTGCCATACTGACATGCACCTCGCTCGTGCTAATCAGGTCCACGACGACCCCGAACCGGTCTAACGTGCCAAAGATGCCCGCCAAAAAACCGTGACTGACGCTCTTTCGATTCGAGTTTACGTTCAGGACGACGATGCGCTCTTTGATCGTGACGGCAGTGGGCAACTTCTTGTGTTGATGGACGCTGCCACGGGAGGTGCCGTTCAGGTACCCCTCGAGGTAGGCAGAACCGCCTATCCCGTTCTCCTCGACGACGGCCAGGTCATGCAAGGTGGGAGTGCCAAGGGGTTCCGCGAGCCCGGAGGTCACCCGGGCGCCCATCTCGTCCAGGAGGTGATGCGCGTCCGCCTCGGGGTCAGGGTGAATGACGGTCCCTCCGCCCTTCGGATTCTCGACGTTCTTGATGCGGATCGGGATCTTTCTCCGGATGACTTGCTCCATCGTGAACGGATGGACGACCTCGCTCCCGTAGTAGGTCAGCTCGGCGGCTTCGTCCGGGGAAATGATGCTGATGAGTCGGGCGGTGGGGACCTTGCGCGGGTCGGCGGTGAAGATGCCGTCAACTTCTTTCCAGATCTGGAGCTCGGATGCTTCGAGCCCGACGGCGAGGAGGGCGGAGAGCAGGTCTGTGTAGCCGCGCCCGATCTGCTTGAGAAGCGAGCCGGGGACGGGACCAAAGAAGCCTGAAAGAGACTTTATAACTAGAAAGATGTGGGGAGATGGATGACGGACCTGTGACGACGGGAACTCTAGGTGCGCACTGCTTTACGCGCTCACCGACGGCCACCGCGAGTCTATCGTAAAAATCTTGGTCTAATGTTTGATCGTCTCCGGACGAGCTGTCCTCCAGTTGAGGGACGATGTTCTCTAATGATACGTACTCCGCGTCTACACCCTGAGAAAAACCTGCTATGAGTATTTGCGGCGCTGACGGTTAGGTTGTACGTACGTGATCCCGAAGCACGGCAGCCATGAACTTGCATGCTAGCCGTTCTCCAAAGCCCACTATGCTATCTCGCGAACGGGGTGAGATTTCGTCGATGATCTGATGTCCGTTAGTAACGGAGAGAATATATATGAGTAAGCCAGCGTACTCGCGCTGCAAAGAGGAAGCTCTTCAGATGCTCGCAGTCTCTTTCGATTTCTGCTTCGAGGTTGGCGAGAAGTTTCTGATCCTGTATGGTTGAGCGCGCCGCAGATAGATGTTCGGCTCTGAGCACGTCCACCGTCTCCACGAAGCTCGGCGTTTCGTTGCTTCCGATGAAGGAGCCGTACGGAGATGAACCCCCCGAACCCGCGCGTTCTCGTAACGGTGTATCAACGGGTGACTGTGGTAGCGAGCCGCGCCCGAAGAGAGGGTTGGATATGGATGGAGTGACGGTGCCGGAGGGGCCGAGCGGGGAGGAGGATCGGTCGAGCGCCTGGGATGCTGCCTTGAGAAGCAGATTGGTGGTACCAAGAGCCTTGGTCGTCCCTGATCTCGCTGAGCATACAACAGCGACCTTGTGTTGGTCCAAGTAGTCACTGCGCCACGAACGATATATGTCAGTACTAGACCTTGATGAAGACCACATATGGGAACACGTACGAGACCACGTCCGACGCGATCTTGGTCGCAAACTTCCCAACACTCGTCCCTCCGAACTTTTGAACGAGCCATCTAGCAGAGGGGTCTATCGTGTTCTGGTGGAGGTTCGGAGGTGTCCGGACGCCGCTTGACGAGATGGACGACGAGCGTGATGAGGCCGAGGACTGAGACGGGGTGGATAGATCCGACATCTTCAGCGTCGGCGTTGACCTCCCTCAGGGTGTTTTTGCTACAGAGCGGTAGGGAAGAGCGAAACGGAGAAAAGGGAGGAATAGGGAGCCATGATCAAGGAGGCCGATGGGGTTTTTGTCGGAAGTCGGCGTAGGGAAATTGAGTCATTCGCTCGAAAGCCAGAGCGTCGTCGGCCGGCCCGCCGATGGGAGTTTCTTTGCTTCCGCCTTCATCGTCACACACTCCCGCTGATTCGCCGACTACTGCGTTGTTCGCAATATTCCTGGCGAGATTGTTCCTCGGGTGACGGACAGGCGGAGTGGACTCACCCCTTGACTTCCAGTCCACGTACATATTTGTCGTTTCAACTGTCTGACGCAACCCAGCATTGTTTCAAAAACAATATCTAATAACATTCACAAGCGCACATCACAAACATGCTAGTACGCCGATACGTACGGATGGTACTGCTTGGTGCGACATCTTCGACCCTCGAGTCATACGACGTATGCTCGTTGCTGAGAAAGAGCTTGGTCATGAAACCAGGTATGACCCAATTTTATCCCTCGAAATACGTCGATCGTACCACAGAAGCCTCAGTTATCCCGGTCCTCGACGACATTGACTCATGTCAAGTCATGCACTACGCTTAGGGCCGAACTTAATACCCTGCGTCGTGCATGCAGCAGGACGCCGATGGGTATTGGATACACCACGACCTGACTAGTGCTTGATCCGCACCGCGATCCGGCGCAGTATGGATCAGCCTGGCGACTTGGACCGGTCACCAGTTTCAGTGGACTGTAAGCCTGTTTATCAACGTTGGTAAAGACGCGTTCTCAGTCTCGCCCAGGGACGTCGTGACTACATCGGTTTACCCCTTTCTTGACGATGGCTCGCGCCGACCGGGTTCAGATTGGTACAATGGAACACTGCCTCAGCTATCCAGGGACTCACTTCTCCTCGGCCTTCCCCTGCTCTGGCGCACATTTGTTTGCTCATCAGCGCGAGGTTCGTTACAGTCGAATTTGGAAGCCCCTGAGGGTGAACTCGAACGAGTTCCAGCGGTCGGTCGCTGGAACCATAAGTACGCGCGCCCCCACCTCCTGTCGTTACGGAGAATCCAAGTCAGTCCCGTTACCGAGGGTTGTAGGGAGGAGCAATGGTCAGATCGGTCACATACCCGGACGTTCCGACGTCATGCATACGGCCGAATATTGGCTTCTTCTCACTCTGACCGAATAACGGCCTGTGACATCCTCTCCCTCCATATGTCCCGGAGGGCCCTTGCACACGACAGCAGTACGGGAATCACTGCCATCAGTGCTAAAAACTAATTTCGTGGGGTTCAGGTCAGAACAGCTTAGGCACTGTTGTTATTTCTCTGTTGTTATTTCTTACTTGTCCGAATGAGTACGTGACCCGTTGATCCGGGAGATCCTTGATGTAAAGCTCTACTTCGACGACCCAGAGTACATAGCATGCGTGGTCGAGGACAATAAATCCGGAGAGGATGATGAATTTTTGGGTAGTCCGAGAAGAGGTTCGCCTGTTGTGGATAACGATGAGAGTTGTTCCACCACAGCGACGCGAAAATTCATGAGAAGCCGTGACTTGAGAGTATATGTAGGTGCAGCTCACTGCAGCCTCTGGATGATCGGCCCAATGCCAAGGAGTTGGACAAGTTCGACGAAGATGAGCATATATAGGACCGTGTGGGTTGGAGGCGTGTGACAAGAAGATTGGGAGAAGATGCCACGCGGGTGTATTATTCCCGTTGCCATCAACACAGCAAAGAAAAGCCACAGAACTTGCAGGATTGCTTGAAAGTGAGGTGTTTCAGAACTCGATAACCGAGGTTTAGCCCGTCCGGCGGGGGCTGCAAGCCCTCTCGGTGGACTCATGACGGGACCAGACAAGTATGAAAACGAGGGGGAGATTAATTTCCAAAGCGTCGGGGATCCGCACAGATACCCTAGAGTCAAGGCATGTGGTTGCGTGAGCTGGCCGTTTAGCAAGGCGATGATTCCTGCAAGAAGCTGCAATCCTATTATGGCGATGTGCCCTTGAATCGCTAGAACGTGTGATTATGAGCAAAGTAACCACTACATAACATATCATACCGTCTTCACGGTCTTCCACCGTATTAGGGAACAGAATCAACCAATCTCAGTAGCCACACGCACACGCACAAGAATCAGCATCATATGTGAAAGCAACAATGCAGACCCACTTGCGCATAGTGCCGTCACATATGCTATTCACGATAATAACCCATCAAAACGCTACTGAGCCACAACAAGCACAATATAACGCACTCGTGATACGAACAAATAGCCCTGTCCGAGCCATTTCGTCAGAGCAAATACGATGACGGAGATAACGTACAACACGGAGGAGGAAAGAAGATAATCGTGCTTACCTGCTATGTCTGCGTTTGGGCACACGCCGAAAGGGCAGCCATCGTCGGGCTTGGTATAGAAGAAGAACCTCTGTCAGCTTCTTCCTGGATGACGGTGTGATGATCTAGCCACTGATAGTCTTAACTCACAGGAGCGTTGAGGCAGTACGCGGCCACGAAGTTGGTCCACGACGCGTTTCGGGAGAGGCTGGTTTCCGAAGTGGAGGTAAGATTGAGGAAGGATATGAGCCCTTCGGTGACGGCGCCGGCGGTACAGGGGTTGGCGGCGAGCGACGTTGTAGGGGACGCCCGACGCCACGCGGCAAGGCAAGCAACCAAAGCGGGGCCAGCAGCGTTTGCACTTGAGTCCATGATAACCTCTGCCAGGACTTTAAGCGATGGCGGAAAAAAGGCTTGAGCGGCGAGAGGCTGGGGCAGTTGTACAGTCTTATGTGATTTGTTGCGAAACGGTCAGTAGTCCCGTGAGATCGAAAACAGCGCCCAGATGAGCCTCGACGAGACCTGGTTCTCTTTAACGGCTTGGTCTAGCTCGTCAGAGGGTCGAAGGCGTTGAGAGGTCACCAAGCTGACGCAGGAAAGCGTCGGCAATTACCGGATATATCCCTTCCTCGACATCCACCACGGCTGACGATGTTCACGATCACGGATTACCGGCAAATGCAGTCGCTCAAGGACAAGCGCTGACATACATTCTCTAATTTGCGGATGGAATGGATTCTCTGTGAGCACAATGTTCTCGCCGTAATTAGCTGGTGTACAGTACCCGCAAGCTCGAGCTGAATATCGTCAAGGGCTTCGATGTCGCCAACGTACTAGTAGACGCTACCTTCCCGGCGGATATTATTACCCGTACGCCCATCACCCGTATCGCTCGTACTCACTATGCACTGACCGACCCAAGGACAGATCGCGGCAGTCTGGACCACGAAGGTCGTTTCCTCGCCCCCCTCCCCCCCGGCAATATTCACCGATGCGCCCTATCCTCATACCTGGCTTTCTATATCTACCACATCAGCAGCCGGCGCTTGAGAGCACCACGTTAAGGGCACCGCGTCAAGTCCACAACACTTCACCACGTAGCAATAGCGCGTCATCGACTTTCCCATACAGTCCATTTCCAACTCAGAAGCCCATAACGACCGTTCGAAAGGCGATCATCGCACCGCTGGACGGCTGGACGTGCATGGTGCGACCACCGATCCGGGAGGGAGTAGAACATGTTCCTACCCATCTTTTGCGACGAAATATCACGAATCGATGCTGGATTCTACGCCGGGATGGGCAAGAACACCAGGAGTTAGGTGCAGATGGACAATATTGTGGATATCTCCATTACAGTAATCTGAGGCGATCATGACCGTCGGGGACGCCACCGTCTTGGCACAGAGGCAAGTTTTTCTCTTCTGATCGTTCGTCTCTTTGACCCGGCTGACCTTGACGATACCTCAGGGCTATTCATGTATCGCCTCCACCTCCCGAATATTTCAGCTCGCCATTGCGCGCCCAGCCAGCAATATTGTACCATCATTATCTCATTCCCAAGGTAGATGCTTTAACTCGACGCCATTGACAAGCTATTCGTCGCGTGGGCGTCCTTCTGCTGGTCATGTACGAGTACTAGGCAACTCGCGGAGGTACTTTGGTTTCGGAACGCGCGGGCCGAGCATGCCGGACATGTAGGAGGATCCGCCCTGGACTTGCTCGTCCTGTCGTTGACCGTTCCAGGACAAACTATCCGGTCTGATGACCTCCTGTGACCGGTGCGTGCGCACTCATGTACGGAATCCGTGAACGCTGAAACCTCTTCGTAACCTTAATTTTATAGCTCGTATATGTATAGAGGATATTTGCATAGTTAGGTGGATGCTATATAATACTCCTTCCGTTGGGGTTGCGGAAGACCGTGTTATCACCGAGCGACGGCTCTCCATGGTGAACCTATCCACAACTTGCACAGACACGTGTATCAGACCCCACACAGCTGCGAACAGCTTTCGGTACTCCTCAAATAACGCTCGTTCCCTTGCAACTTCATGCTCCTTCCCACAAACTCGGACAGAGATCACGACAGTATCCGCCATGTCCGATAACTGGTCTGAGGTTGAGCACGCCTCCGATTCCCGGGCAACATCTCCAAGCCGAGATCCGCGGTGGTACCTAGAGGAAGATAATGTTGAGATCCAGGTATTTGTTTTCGTGAACTCGCTCGTCGGCAGCATACTGACCAAACAATTGCGACAACAGGCTGGATCTACACTGTTCAGGGTCCCTAGTTACGCGCTGTACCGAGCATCGGAAGTGTTCCGCACACTAAGCGACACGCGCTCAAAAATCGCAGGCGAATCGCTGCCCCCGATCACGGTGCCCAATGACATCGCAGCGGAGGACCTGAGATGCTTCCTGGAGATTTTACACCCCATGCCTCCGTAAGTTCTCGTGATACATCACCGGACGTCGTCGATATTTAACGGCGAAAGCTAGCGTCTTCGGTGTTTACCCCCTTCAATCTTCGGCGGAATGGATCTCTGTTCTCCACCTGGCGCATTTCTTCCAGCTCGAATCTGTCAAAACCCTCGCCATTAAGCAACTCGATGCGACCGCGTGCGCTGTAGACAAGATCATCTGTGCTATGAAGTACGGCGTGGAGCGCTGGCTGCCGGCGACGTACGTGGATGCTTGCGCCAGCCCTGATCCGCCCACGCGCGAGGAGGCTGATCGCCTGGGTATGGACACCTACTGGCGAATCATGACCGCACGAGATAAGGCCCGCCGCCTCGTGCACAACGCGCGCCGGAAGATGGAGGAAATCGTCGAAGCTGTTTTCAACCTCGAAGCCGGTCCCGCGTCGCTCCGGGCCAAAGAGATGGCCGCAGCCGCCATCTCAGAGACATCTTCGTCTCCGGAGACCACAAATAGCCCTGGTGGAGGCTCTGGGTCCTCCGAAACGATGGATGCGCGGGATGTCCCTCCCGTCGGCTCGCAGGTTTCGGTGACTCCGACTTCTATAATCACCTCGCTCGGGATTGAGAAATTGGTGTCACCCGCATGCCTCTCGAGCGCGACCACACCATCACCTATTCCGGCAGTTGCGGATGATGGATTGGCGCTGCAAGACGGCACGTTGAGCCGCGATAGGAGCGCGAAAGGCAAGCGCGGTAAAGGTAAACCTCCGGCACGATCATCTTGGATCTTTGCGGAGCCTGACCCCGAGCCCACGGATCCCGCTACTATTCCCCGACGTGGGACCTCGAGGGCTATGTCTATGGAGCGGAATCGTGTGGGAGAGGGAGATGGAAAGATAGTAAATGAGACGGAGTCGTTTTGACCGAGCGGCGCTTCGTTCAGGGACTCGGTGGATAGGTTTGCCCATGATCCCGCTTGTAAGTTACTTACGTTATGCTACCCTGCATCGTGCGCCATGTTACAGTAATGCTCAAATTGTATGTGATACAATGAATCGTCACGGAACCCGGTAGATGGCTCTGGGCTGGTGTTTGGGACACAGTTGACGAGCTTCGTCTTTCGGGCCCTGTCGATTACTGGTTGGATCATCACGCTGTGGTATCTCAGGCACCGAGATTGCCGCTCGTGTTTCCTTAGGATTCAGGCCTAAACGATATAAACAGTCAACGAGGCAATAGCTTTCGGTCCCCATCGATTAGTGGTTAGATCATCACGTTGTGGTAGGCGCTACGTCGCTGCAAACCGTGAAGACCCAGGCTCGAACCCTGGTAGGGACACTGCTTTTGTCCTTTTACCATTCCTCATTCCACAACCCATTGAAATTTTCTGGTCTGGGGCTCGGAGAAACGGATCAAGCAGCGCTTGTAGCATGAAGGGAGAAGGGAGTAATGTGGCGTGGGTGTATCCAATCACCTGTGCCAGGCGCGTCGTCCTCGGAGCAAGGGTTCGCCTCTTCGCGCTGAAGCGGACGCCCGTCGCCCACTGCAAGCACGGTCCAACTTGATACGCCAATACGCGGCCTTCGTCTTGAGATAACTGACGACTCTGTAGTTATGTTTGCCGGTAACGGCTTCTATCTGAGCTAGTTTCGGATGAACGTGACCAACCTCGAGCTCTATCCGGACACGCTCTGTACGCAGTGCCACTGATTAATTGAACCTCGATGATACCGCTTGGAAGTATGACTGAAACGATAAACGCGTTAGACAAGCAGTATTCACTGGCACGCAAGAGAAAAATATACCATGTATAGTTGCGCGAGGCGAGCACCGTCCACAGCCGAATCCAAGGTCCTTGGGTCGCATGTAGCAACAGTGTGTGTGTAATCTGATCTATAACGGTGTCTCTGGTACGAGTCACATTTTCCAGGAGACCTGTCTCAGTATGTACAATTCCCTCCGAATCAACACCGTGACGCCCGAGACTTATGTATATCTCCCCACTTCCGAGGCTGATATCGGCATAGAGATCATGCCCGGGTTCGTCATCTTGACGTTGGACACGATAAGTGAGCCGATTTCATGAGGAGACCAAGACGTCTAAGTACGGTGAAACCGGCCAATGTATGCGACGTCGTGGCATTGCATGGACCGTTAACGCGGCTGCGACCAAGATGAGTGTCCAGGCAGATGTCTTGGCTTGATATTGCCCAGGCGGGCCGCGTACAGAGGTGAGATACTCCCTGTCCAAGTACGCGTGCAACAAGCTCTATTTCTGAGCTTATAGCTTCCAGTACGACCGTTTCGCAAGCGAACGAACCCGCGTTCGATCACCATCTGTCAATCTTTTATCAGCAAGATGCTGGCTCGAGAATGACCTATTTTCCTGCGATCAGAACAAGACGACCCGGCGGACTTGCCCCCGATTATCACGACGACACTCTATCTCATGGTGACGAATGTGCGCACTGTGTTCTTGATTTTCGCATCTTGGGTCGAGTAACCTTCCATACCCGGAGCATCTCCGGTCTCCCATCGGGGAGCGGTTTACGTTGTTGTAACAGCAAATACATCCTTGTTCCTGGCCATCGCCCCCAAGACGTATCTATCCGCTCGCACCATAACCTTAGTTCCCAACTTCTCTCGGTGTCAGATGAACATCCCGGCATTCTCTGCGCGGTGCCCTGCAATGCGCCGTGCATGCGAGATATACTACTTTCTCTCGTCCATCCTTTTCGGGTTCCCTTGATTATTACGAAGGTGTCCGCGGCGGGGCATAAGTTCCGCTACGGTGAGTAAGTGTACGTCAGTAACGTCTAGGAGTGTGCGATCCTCTGGGTGGATCCCGACTGAAGCCGGCCGCCCAACAGACGTGCGCGGACACGAGCAGCGTGTGGTAACTTGGCAGAGCGTGTGGTATTCATGTCTATTACGAACTCAGAATCGCAGGCACCGCGGAAGGCCTTGATCTCGTTCTGTCGCTCATAGACGACAGATTGCACAAGCTACCTACTTCATCGCCGATGAAGGAGTCCGCCAGGGTAAATTTTGCCAGACTGCCGGGTAAGAAGGTGCTGCTTGATCTTCCAACCGCCCGGTCATCATGACCAAGGTAAGACGTACATACACGGGACGTTCCCCTCCTGCGGCCGCAGTTAGGGTTGCCACCTCTCCCCTGAAGCTCCCAGTCTGATGTCCGTCGGAGATCAGACGAGTCATCCTTGCCGGAACTATGTTTGTATCCTCGTTCGAGTAAGCTTGTATAGACGCCGCTTTGCTTCCTCTCCGTGCCCGTGCCACGAAGCCGCCCCACACTTCGTCATTGATCGATCGCGTCGTGCCTTTGCGCCCCGGTCGTCGCATCGTGATTTTCCTTCTGCGATAAAAAGTACTTACTTTGACCCTTATCGCCTCAGAGTCGCGTACGAACTTAGACCTGAACCCACGAAACGTTTGTCGTGCCACTCTACACACACACACACATACACTTCTGCGCCTGATCGTTCCTCGTGATTGCACTTCCTATGGCGTTATCAGGGTTCTCGGCGCCAGCGCGCGCGATGTTCACACGTGTCATCTGCTGCTGCTGCTGCTGCTCTCTTTTATAACTCACCGCCCATCTCCGAGAAGGGGGAGATTGCCGTTATGGAAGACGGGGAGGCCGAATGGAAGAACTGCCTTCCCCCCCTACCACGCCCCTGGCGGTGTCGACTGTACCTCGGGCTGCACGCTCCGGCGCGCCAGTCTCGTTTGCGTGGAATAACGTTGATGTACGGGCCCTATGGGGCAAGAAGTTGCTGAAAGAAATCAGACGGGTTCCCGGAGAGTCGAACGCGCACACGCCGTCAAATTCGTGGCGAGCGCCATGCGTTACATAACAGCCCCTGCACGTTGCCCGTTTCCCAGGGGCACGCAGTCGCGAGTTGCGACGCAGCTGCGCGAGGACGGGTTGTTACAGTATCCTGAGACCCTCCGGGCTCCGCGGCCGCGCTCGAAGAGCAGCCACAGTTCCCCCCACCGGGGCGAAGCGAAGCAAAGATTGTGAGGCCGTCGTCCAGGGGTAAAAATTCGCGCCATGCGGTCGGTAAAAGCCCAGCTGGGCGGTGAGCGCTGGCCCTATCCGCGCCATGCCCATCGCGCGCCTCGTGTGTGGGGGGCGGGGCGGGGGGATGGAGAAGGGAAGGAGACGCGGGCCCGCCCGTCTGTCTCGTTGGTTACTACATACTGTGTTTTTTCTGATGCGCATCCGGATGGGCCGTCCATGCGGGAGATCCGGGCGCGATCAAGCCAAACTTGAAAACTGGGCGCGAAAGGATCCCGGCGGGCGCGGCTGTCCCGAGTGTTTCGCAGAAGGGCCCTTTCCGCGTATACCAGGGACGCCGCCGATGTGCGTTCGTCAAGAAACTCCACCGAGCTGTAGATGGCGGCGACGTTGTCCCAGAGACTCCAGAGATCAAGAGAGGCATGCCCGTCGGGGGAGCTATATAGTGGTGCGTGCGGTAGATGGTGCCTTGCCGATCAGGGACCTGCCGCCTCGCGCGCCAGGTTCTCGTGGAGCTTCGGGATGGAGACAAAAGAGCGAAGGGCAGGCACCGAAGGGCGGGCACGAGTTCAGGCCGGATATAGACTTTTGCCGGAGCAGGCAAACTCAGAGGGGGGGGGGCGAGGAGGGGGGGGGGGGCGAGGAGGCGACCGCCCCGACCTAACACAAATGGCGAACGGTTCCCGCCCTCATGCCGATATGTAACCGCGCGGGTCTTGATCAAGCTGGGCCGAACCCTGATCGGTATTCCTGGGTTCGCCTTTTCCGGGCCCTCTCTCCATCTCCAACCCCGCCCCCCGTTCCTTTTCTTCCGTTACGCCCCTCCCCCCCTCTGGTCGTTCCCTCTCCCACCGGAGGCGCCAACCCCGATGTCGGAGCGCAAGGAGTCGGCGCAGCAGTCAGATCCGTTCGAGGACGTGTTGAAGCCGCCGGCGGACGAGACGCCGGAGCAGCGGCAGCGGCGGGTGCAGCAGGAGGAGGAGGCGAAGCGGATCAGCCAGGCCATTGACGAGAGCATACGCGCCGAAAAGCAGAGGGAGAAGAAGCGGAAACCGGTCAGGGTCTTGCTCCTCGGCCAGAGCGAGTCCGGTGCGTCGCTCCGCGTTCTCTCTATCTGCCCCTCTCGCCGCCGAGCGCGCAATGTCTCACCAACACGTTTTTTTTTTCCTCGCGTCCCCGCAGGCAAGTCGACCACCCTCCGACGTACGTCCCTCCGTATCTATCTTTCTCGCTCTGTGTTCCTCGCGCGCTGACTTATGATACGGAAAAAAATCACCAGAGTTTCAGCGGCTGTACACCCCGAACGCCTTCCGGGAGGAGCGCATCCTCTGGCGCGCCGTCATCCAGCTCAACCTCGTCCGTTCCGTGCGCACCATCCTCGAAGCGCTCACGGACGCGCGGCGGGGCCGGACGCGCGTGCACAGCGACGACGAGAGCGACTCGGACGGCCAGCTGGACGTGACGGACGAGCTGGACGCGTTCCAGCTCCGGCTGCTCGCCCTCCGGCACGTCGAGGCGATCCTCATCGCGAAGCTCGTCCCGCCCAACGAGGAGGAGGCGACCCGGCTCGGGAACGGCTACGCGCCCGGGCACGGGCACGGCGGCGCGGACCATCCGTGGCGGACGCAGGAGGTGTTCGTGCGGCCGACGACGAAGTGGAAGGGCGCGCTGGCGAACGGGAAGGGGAAGGAGCACGCGGCGGCGCAGCGCGGGCCCGGGTCGATGGAGGAGGTGACGGATATCCTGCATTCGTGTCGGGACGACATGATCGAGCTGTGGAATAACACCACCGTGCGGGCGCTCTTGCGCCGTCGGAAGCTGCGACTGGAGGAGTCGCCAGGCTTGTGAGCTCGTTCACTGTTTTCTCCAGCATTGCGTGCCTCTGACCCTCACCCATCCTCTCATTCTAGCTTCCTCAATGACCTCGCGCGCGTGACAGATCCCAAGTATACGCCTACCGATGGTGAGCCCAAACATCGCCTCCATCCGTGTCACTACGTCTCTCAACCCGCGAAACCACATCCTCGGGGCGCAGACGACGTGCTCAGAGCCCGTCTAAAGACCGTGGGCGTATCCGAATACAAATTCGAGATGGAGGCGTCGGCCGGTCGGGAGAGTGGGACCGAATGGCGGATAATCGATGTCGGGGGGTCTAGGTCGCAGGTACGCGGCTTTGCCTTTCGGTGCCTTAGCCACCACGCTGACGGACCTCGCCTTCCCGTTTCTGTTCCTCCGCTCTCCTTTTCGCAGCGTCGTGAGTGGCCGTTATCGCCCCTTGTTCTCTTTCTCTGCCTTCGAGCGCGCGGGACGATGAACTGATGACGCGGCTTTCTCTTTCCCCGCGCGTGCAGAGACGTGGGTCCCGTTCTTCGACAACGGTGAGTTGGCCTTCGCCCTTTTTTACCACCCCTTATCGAGATCTAGACCGGGGTCTTCCCTTTCCCTTTCTCTCTCTTTTATTTTCTTCCTTACCTCCCCCCAATCCTTTTTTGGCGCGCCGCGAACTGCTTCCGCTATTCTATTTGCGTCACGACGGTGCCTGGCGCTCTTCTGACTAACTCGCACCTCGATTGCCTTTTCCGTCGCCAGTGGACGCGATCATCTTCCTCGCGCCGATATCCGGGTTCGATCAGGTGCTGGTGGAGGATCGAAGCGTGAACCGCCTGGTGAGTTGCATCGCATGTTCCCGTCTTGATGATATGCGTGTGCGCGTTTTTTGGGCGCGCCGACGGCGCAAGCTCATCAGGGCCAACCCCCCCCCCCCCCCGGGGTCCTTTCTGCTATGATGGGACGCCGCGTAATCTCCGAGTTCGGTCCAACCCGTCGTAGCTTTGAAACCCAATCTCCACCCCCGGCGCCCATACCGCGCTCGGAGATCAAAGCTCTGGCCATCTCCCTTTTCTTTTACTTGTTGCGGCCTCTAGGGCCCCCACCCCCTTTTTTTTCCCGGATCACCGGGCCAAGGGGCCAGAGAAGTGTTCGTTATCCGCCGCTGACGTCGGGAACGCGCTTGATACAGGAGGACAGCGTGCTGCTCTGGAAGGCGGTCTGCTCGAACAAGCTGCTCGCGAACGTGGACCTCGTCTTGTTCCTGAACAAGTGCGACATCCTCGAGCGCAAGCTCAATTCGGGCATCCGGCTCGCCAAGTACGTCCGCTCCTACGGCGACCGGGCGAACGACGTCGAGACCGTGTCGAAATGTGCGTGTTCCTCCATTCTTCCCCCTTTTTTTTGGTCGAGAGCGGTGTGAGAGACGCTGACGTTACACGTTCCGTCGACGCGCCCCCCCCCCCCCCTCCCAGATTTCCGGAGCAAGTTTAGCGCGATACAGCGGGAACATTCCCCTTGCCCGCGCAAGTTTTACGGGTTCTGCACGTCGGTCACGGTACGTCGCCCAACCGCCCCACCACCGCTGCTCTTGTTGTCGGCGTTCGCGTGAACGAGACATCTCATCGCGCAACTCGTTCCAGGACACGGTCACGACGTCCGGCATACTCGCGAGCGTGCGCGATATGGTCGTGCGGCAGCATCTCAAGCAATCAAGGTTACTATGAGCCCCCTCCTCGATCCCCTCCTCGATCCCCTCCCCCCTCCCCCGCTCCCATCGTCCCCGTCCTTGATCTGCCAACCGAAAAAAGCCGGATTTTAACGCGCCCCTTTTTTTGCGATTTTTTCCCCCCCGTGTACAGACTACATCTATAGCGTTTGCCCTAAAAAGGCGACGCTGGACCCCGCACTCGCACGGGTCGCCGATCGCCTCCTTCATGTGCGTCCCGCCGCGGAACCAACGTCTGACCACGCCGTCTTACTCCCCCTCCTCCCCCTTCCCCTTCCTCTAGGCTCCACGTTCTCTCTCTTTCCTGTCCGCTTTTTAAAGGGGTCGTCCCAGTTGTGGGATATCTGTCTTTGTCGGGTTGTTTCGTCCAACTTTTTTTTGTTTGGCCGTATCATCTTCCTTTCGCCTTTGCTGTTTTTTTTTTTTGCTTTCCCTCACGTAGCGCCTGCCTTTCGTTGCACGCATAACGAACCGCAACGACCTCCCCGTTTTTTTTACGATTAATCCATTATGTAAACCACAACCCCCCTCCCATTTGTATCATAACCGCAATGTACAGTTGCTTTTTTTTCTCCAACTTTTCTCCACGATGGATGTTTTTGGTGTTTTGCGTCCGACAGGGATATCGATTTCACGTGTGAGCGGCGCGCGCCGGGAGTTGGCCGGGAAGACGCGCGCACGAGGTCGAGTGCACACGTTGCGTCATGCCCCCTCGATTCAAACGTGCCTTTCTTCTTCTGCTCTATACGACGAAGCAACAACACGATGCCAGAGTGCCAGTCTGGAACGCTGTAACATCCTAGCATACCGACTGCCATTATTCTACGATACTGGGTAACTTCGGCAAGGGACCATCGAAGCGCTATCTCTGTCTCCGTATAGGCGGACCTACATCCATACGAGGTACGCCCAGCGCACAAGAATCGCCAGAGCGCTGGATCCCCTCTGTAAAAGTCACCAAGCGAACATCATCATCATCCGCAGGGCGTGACGTCGTCAAACTACCCACCAGCCTATATCCATCGCCCGTTCTTACCACCAGCATGGCGAGCGCGACCCGGAGACTGTCCCAGTCGATGGGCGAAGTCCGCAGGCGCGTGCACCTCGACGAGAACGCGGTGCAGAAACATCCCTGGGGCGGAAGCGTCGGCCGGTGGTTAGAAGCGGAGTTGGACTACCAGAAGTACGTCCCCCCCCCCTTTGTCATACTTCTTCTTCCCGAGTCTCTCTCCTTCCCTTTTTTACGCTGACCGACCCGGTTCGGGGGCTTGTTCTTTTTTCCAGGAACATGCTGCCCGGAATCGACAACATGTGGCTTCTGCTCGACGAAGGGAGCGATTTCAACCCGGTATGGTGAGTGTGTGGATCTCGGGCAAATTCCGACGCAATTTTCGCCCCCCCCCCTCCTTTCACCGGTTTCCGGTCGTTACGCGCATAATTGAGAGGCTGAATGCTTTTCCCCTTCCCGCAGCGCGTCTATATCGACGTTCGAGGAGGACGTGGACGTGGACAAGCTGATCGAGCACTGGGAAGACATGGCGCGTCGCTTCCCGTCCTACCGCCGGCGCCCCTCCGGCCTGCACCGGCGGTTCCACACCGCGGTACTCCGGGACTACGAGGGATACGATATCCGCGACCACTTTTCGGTGGAGACGATGCCGGACGGCGCGAATGGGAAGCGCGAGCTCGAAGACCACATGGCGGAATTCATAGCGAGGGGCTGGGATCTGAGCAAGGTCCGAATACTTTACCTCCTGCGCCACGCCCACTCCCTCTCCGTACGGTCTTGTTGAACTGAAGCTCTACCCAGGCGTTGTGGGAAGTCAAGGTGCTGCGCAACTATCATGATGGCACCGGCGCGAAGTCCGCGATGATGTCGCGAGCCCATCATAGTGCGTGTTCCCCCGATGGTTGTCGACCTTGGGACCGCGCATATCTGATACCTCGCTCTCGTCGGCAGCTTTAGCGGATGGTCAGGGATTCGTCATATCGCAGCTGACCACGACCTCGGCGCGCAAGATGGTGGAGAAGAAACAAGAGCAGATGAACGGGCACGCGCATCAGGTAAACGCCCAAGCCCACGCCGTCAAGACCGGGCGCGCCAAGCTGTCCGATATACCTTTCCCGGCCGCGTCCAGCGCGATCAAGCCCCTAGACCCATACGTTCCGAGCCTCGTCGTCGCGTGCCTCTTCTACGCCCTGCACGCCGTCTTCGTTCTCATCGCGCTCATCTACGGCACGCTCGCCGGTCTGAGGGCCGGGATCGCCTTCCTCACCTTCCGCCGGCGCGCGCTGCGATACGAGGGGGCGCGCCCGTACGAAAAGGAGTTCTCGTTCTCCGACGCGGTCGGCCTCGCGGACATCAAGCTCGTCCAGAAGGCGTTCGGCTCGAAAAAGCGGAAGATCACGCTGAACGACGTGATGTGCGCGGTCGTCGCGAAGACGCTGTGGCGGTACTTCGAACGCGTCGGCCAGACGAGCGATTCACGGTAAGCAACCATACTCAATCTCGCTCCCCCTTCCTTCCGCTCTGTGCGGCGGGATGAAAGAGGCCGATCTGAACGCGTTCCTTTCTTTCTCTTTCTCTCCCCCCCTCGCCTATCAGCGTGGCGCTGTTCATCCCGATCTCGATCCGCACCCCCGACGACCCCGGGATGGGCAACTTCACCTCGGGCATGATCGCCTACTTCCGGCATCACCGCGGGCGGGCGTCGACCCAGGTCCTGATCGACGCCGCGCACGACGAGATGCGCAAGCTCAAGACGTCCTTCTGGCCGCGCGTCTGCTTCAAGCTGCTCGCGTGGGCGTACCGCGCGCCGGTGCTGTTCCCGGCGCCGAGCCGGCTGAAGCTCGTCGACGCCGCGCTCGAGTCCGTGCACGGCGTGCTCACGAACGTGCCCGGCCCGCCGGGCGCGATCGACGTCGAGGGCGCGCGGATCCTGAGGTGGACGGCGAGCCCGCCGCAGGCGGGCAAGGGCACGCTCGGGATCGGTATGATCTCGTACGACGGGCATCTGGTATGGACGGTGACGGCGGATAAGACGGCTCGGTACGAGGGCATCGCGCGAGAGTTGACAGAGGGGTTCGTCACGGCGTTCGAGGAGTTCTTGGAGGAAGCCAAACAACGTATAAAGGATTGATCGACGCCTTCCACCTAGAAGGTTGGCCTCATCGACATATTATGATTCTACGCGAACCCTTACCATACATACCTACACGCTGTAATCGCTAGCTGTCGAAACACGTACACAACTTAGTAACCCCAAGCTTGGGTTAGATGTGTGTTATTTTGGGCCTCTGCGGATGCAACATCACGCCGATCCTCATCGGCCCATCCTCCTGTTTCGATGGCTGCGGCTCAGTATCAGATTTCCCGTCGTCGGTGGCGGCGCAGGCGCGCGCAGTACGTCGCTGCTGTATGTGTCTCTCGATGTTTTGCCGTTTCTCCGTCCAAATCGCGCGTACGCTTGACCGAGTCTACTATGGCCTGGCGCTGCAGTAGATCTTGCCTAGCTTAACGGAGAAAGATTCTATATACGGCTAGGAGCACAGCACAACCATAACATTCTGCCTACAACCCTCCTTCCATCGCTGGCTAGCATAAATCCTCGTCCCACGGAGCCACCATCAATCCGAGTCTGCGCTTCATTCAAGTTCTGCCGTCGCATAGAACCCCCAACGGCTGAAGTCAAGATCTGCGACTTGATGGCATTACGTGCCAGCTGCTGCGGCTTCCGTTCAAGATGAAGGTCACACACGACCCATAAAACTAGCAAAAATCTTCGCTCAACGTCTTCGAACTCGACGCCGTCCCGACCGCAGACGACAGACATGGCGCCGACCAATTTCGCGAAAATCCTGGAGATCCACAGCATCGCGGCCGCCGTCGTCTTCGCGGTCCTGTATGCGCCCTTGCTTCTCGTCTTTTTCGTCAAAGTGCTCCGGGGCTGGACATGGACGCGGATCGTCCTGACGCTTTTCTGCCAAGGTTCGTCGCACGCCCGGAGAATCCTCGGCGCCGGACGTAAACTGAAACTCAAAACTGAACGTGCCTCTTGTCCGGTATTCAGTTCGGATAGTGGCGTTCATCCTTAGGGCTGTTCTGGCGGGCTCTACGTCTGCCGGCGAAAACGAGTCTCTGTTCATCGCCTACAGCGTATTGTACAACGCGGGCTTTTACTGGGTGCTGAACAGCGCGTACTCTCTCGTGATCGATCGGTACGTCGCGTCCTCCGTCGAAACCGAGATGGGACAGGATTGTTCATACTCGGACAACAGGGAGAACATCCGCGGCGGCGTCTCCGCACAGCCGGAGGGACCGTTCAGCATCCTCACCTTCATCATCCGCCAACGCCGTGTGGTCCATATCATCCTGCTAGCTGCCCTCGGCCTTGGTATCACCGGCGCGATCGAGTCTACGAGCACAGACGCCAACACACGGTCCCGAGGCCAGACGCTTCGGGAAGCGAGCGTCTACATCTTCCTCGTGGTCACCATCCTGCTCGCTATCCACGCCGTCCTGCTTGCCATCGGCGCCATGAACTCCCAACGTGAGTCACCAAAAATCCCTCTCCAAGTTCGCGCTCTCACACGGAATATTCGCCTATGGTTTTGCTATGACATACACAGGCTCCGGGCTGCGCGTGCCTACGTCGCAGCAGCCGGATCTAGGGCAGGATCTCGACGCGACGCGCCTGGGCGCGCGATACGATATACATATCCTCGCCGTCATCGCCACGCTGTTCCTGGCGCGCGAAGCGTTCTTCGCCGGCACCTCTCACGATTTCAAAACCCAGAACAGGGAGGCGATCTGGTATCCCCTCGCAGCCCTGACGGAATACCTGGCGTTGTGCTTGTTCACTGTGCCGGGGTTGTTGCCGACTCGGGCGCAGCTCAAAGCGGCGAAGGCGTGAAGCCGATGTTGGTTTTCCCGGCCTGCTGATGTGGTCCGCGTCCGTGGTATATATTCTTGTTCTTGCTGTTGATAATAGACGCGTAGTGAGATGTTCGATGTTTCTCGACTTGATCATCTGCCCGGAGTCGTACGTTTGAATGGAGATCTGGGACAGCTTGGTTGGCCGTGATCATCTGTCGGCATCTTCATTTAGGGATGTCTATGTGGGTGTGTTTCGTCGGTATTCTGGTATGATTCAGCAGGAGATGGGTGGGTTGAGCTGAGTCAACTGCGACTTGCTGATGCTACGCTTCGTGAAGCTATGATGACCGCTCACACGTCTATCTGTCCTGTATCTCAAGTGCTTCGCCGCACCACCTAATATTACTGCTTGAGCGCTATATCATTCGCACGCTATGTTCTAAGCTATGTCTAGCAGTTCGCATTCGGACCGAAAATGCGAGAGAGGCGCCGATGGTGCAGTACTCGTACCTTGTAATGATGAAACGTTCAAAATCTAGAAGGCCGCGTATCGGATATCTCCGTAGGGCTTCGCGGCCTTCGAGTACAAGCCAAAAGATGAAGCTCCCGTTCGTCCGTTGCTTCACCTTGGCCTCCTCGCACGCACCGCATCGTGATCAAGCCAGTAGTCAGCCAAGCTTGACACATCCTCGACTCACTACAGCCATCGAGGAGGCCCAAAAAAGTAATGACGTGCTCGTGTTCGACTCACGTGCGGCTGCGCGTTGCTGGCACCCGAGGCACCGACTCTGCATCCCTCTGTCTGCTGCGATGATAGCCGTGGTGGATTGCGCACCGCTCATCCAACATGCTCGCTCGATCTGGGGCAAAAATCCCGATGGAATCGACCCCTTTAGACGTTTGTGGCAGATACACCCGTTGGGTATTGCGTACAAGGACAACGGCATGGGCTGACCTCAACCCTACGCGCTCCCGGTCTCGTCGGGAGTTACGAACTGTAAACGCCATCCATAAGCGCGGAAACGGATGCGCCCCGACAACACCCACGCTCTTTTGTGACTCTTTGGGCGGAGGCAGTGTCCTGCCAGCCACAGCCGCATCTGCCCCTAGATCCCCATCGCAAAATGACCACTGCCACCACACGTCGGAACGCCTAGGCTAGGTATATAGGCTCGGCGCGATGAGACGGAAGCAGACATACAATCGTATCTTCTTTCCTCCTCCCCGAGCTTCCAGCGCACCCCCAGTCAGATCTATACACCATGGTCGCACTCCTGTCACCGCGCGACCAGAAGGTGTGGTTCGTCACCGGCACCTCGTCTGGCCTCGGTCGCGCGATCGTCTACTCCGCGCTCTCCCGCGGCGACAAAGTCATCGCGACGTCGCGAACGCTCGCGTCCATACGCGACCTACAATCACCCTGCTGCCACATCATGCAGCTCGACGTGACGGACAGCCCCGCCGTGCTCGACAAGAAGGCCGAAGAGGCCATCCGGATATTCGGCCGCGTCGACGTTGTCGTGAACAACGCCGGCTTCGGTGCCTTCGGCATCGCCGAGGAGATTGGGTCCGTTGCTCCTCCTCCCTTTCATCTCCGCACGTCGTGAAACTGACCCTGAAACTTCTCTGTTGCAGAGCGGAAGGCTTCATGAAACAGTACCAGACGAACGTCTTCGGTGTTATCAACGTTACCAACGCCTTCCTCCCGCACATGCGGGCGCGACGAGACGGAACCATCGTGAACGTGGGCTCACGCTCCGCATGGCGGACATCCGTGCCCATGATAGCTGCCTACACTTCTTCGAAAGCCGCTCTTCGAGGTAACGTCGCTCCCGCCTTCGTTCCGCCGCGTGACAGTGGGCTAAATATAGATCGCAGCACTGACCGAGACGATGGCGGTCGAAGTCGCGCCTTTCGGCGTGCGCATGCTGCTCGTCGAGCCCGGAGGACTGCGCACGGCCAACTTCAACAACAAGCAGGTGCTCGAGCGGCGCCGGCCCTCACCGGAGGCGTACGACCGCACACGACAGGCGGCGCTTGCGTGGGTGGACTCGATCACGGGCAAGGAGCCGGGCGACCCTTTCCGCGCCGCACACGCGATCGCGGACGTCGTGCGGGGCGAGGGTGCCGCCCGCAACCGGCCGTGGCCCGGACAGCTGATCCTGGGCGAGGACGCGGCACAGGACGTGCGAGCCAAGGCCGAGGCGGTGATACGGCATCTGGACGAGTGGAAGGACGTGCGGGACGTGGCGATCGCGCAGTAATCGCTGCCCATAGAGACTGCACGGACAACGCTCGTTTTGGACCATCGCTTTTCACACCATGGAATGATACCCCCGCATACACTGTCCACCCGCTCCTGACATAACCCCCAACCTTCGCCATTCTACAGCCGCTTGTTGTATTAATCATCACCTTACCATACCTGTCACGGCGCCCCCCGGAGGTTTTCGCCATCAGACCGTATACTACTATAGTGTAACATCCTCATGTAACGCCTGCGCGATAGCGCCACTGGCGGTGATCATGAATGCATAATGGAGAGCGCTCCCGAGCGCCAATTTGCACATACGAGCACATGGTATTCTTCCATGCGATGGCTGTGAGTCAAGCCGGATCGGGGCACAGTATTCATCCTACATCAAAGCGACGTCGCCGCAGCAGGGGTATGCCACATCGCTATATGGCACGTTAGCGCTGCTGCATCGAAGCACGAGCCCCGGAACCGCGCATGACGCTCGCATCGACTTCGGTTGAGATCGAAGAACGGAATTCGGATCAAACAGTTTTACCGGGAAAGCGGCGATAACGGTTGAATATGTGGTCGCACCGCATCGTCAAATTCAAGGGTGAAGCATGGGCCTCGCAACGAGCAACTCGGCGACTCGGGCCTGCGTCGCGCTGACACCGCTTTGAGATCAAAACCACGAGGGTGCCGAGGTTCGTCTCAAACGTCTGACAGGAACTGAAACGGGACTATCGAGGCAACACCAGTTCTCAACGCGTCCCCCCAAGACTACGTTAAAACAGGCCCTCGGAGATCGCGGTCAATGACGACAGTGAGTATACAGGCGCTTGTGCCTCCTTCATTTTCTGACTGCGGGTCTATGTGCGTCATATGAAATAAGACGGGTATGTGATTTGAGTCGAGCGCTCGCTCGCACACCCTCGAAGAATGGACTCGGGATGGTTTCGCCGTTGCTGTCGACTTCATAATAGCCTATACGTACACAGCTGCGTAAAATATCACAGTGCTATGCGTTGCTTGAGAGAGTGAACAGCTGTCCAAGTATGTCAGCGCGATAAGCAACGCCGGCCGGCAGGGCCACAAACGTATAGAGTACACACCTCCCCACTCGAATCGCTGCTCACGAACAGCCTCCCGTCGCTCGCGAACGCGAGCCCAACCGGTTTGATGCACGTCCCGGGACATGAAGTGAGGTTGGCAGCTTGCACCAGGATTTCGTAGCCCTCGGTTGACGTCGGAGATGCCACGGGCGAAGCGCCGGCGAACGGGACCCTGCGGCGAGTGAATGCAGCGACGTCAGTCCATCGTTCTCCATCATCGATCAGGGCGACGAAGTGGCCGCACTCACCTGACGACGGCGTACCCCGTAGGCGGCGTACGATCGAAGCTTCCGTGGAAGGACACGAACGCGTCGCCCTTCCAGCTTTTCGGGAGCGACGCGGTAGACGCGTCCGACGTCGGACGGAAGAACTTGAGGTCCAGGGGCACGGAATGCGCCTGGAAGCTGATGCGGGGCGGCACGTTGTTCGCTGGGTCCTGGCACCACGCGTCATCTCTCTCCGGCTCGAGATCCAAGCTGAACTGCTCTCCGGTATGGAACGACGTGAACTGCGGGTCGCCCGCAGGGTCGGCGTCCGGGTTCCATAAAGTCGTACAGTCGGGGAAGCCGTAAAAGGGGGCGCTGCTGCTACTGTCGCTTCCGGTAAGATCGACGAAGTTGAGTTCGTCGGCTGGATTGTCGTTGACGAAGGCGGCGGTGAGGCCCGTCACGTTGTCGATCGACGCGCCATTGTCGACGACCCACAGCTTCTTGGACGAGGTGATGTCGGGCAGGAAGGCGAACCCTGCGGGGTTGCGGATACCAAAGGCGAGTAGCGTGCCGTTGAAGAAGTCTATGGGGACGACGGAGGAGGAGGAAGGCAAGGGGAAGAGGCGTAGCTGCGAGCGTCCGGAGGATGGGTCGCGCGCGGTCGAGTCGATGTTTTCGGAGAGCGCGGATGATACAATGAGAGTGTTCGGGTTCTTCGCGGGGTGGAGGAGGATGGGCCGGGTTGTGAGTTCTGCATGTCGCAGGGCCGTGAGGAGGTGCTGCACGGGATATCATTATGTACTCACCACCATCCGGTGGAATTCCATCCACAACCACCTCCGGAAATCCGTTGACGGTCCGTGTGCTGGTGTCGTACACGTAGCGCAACACGGCTCCGGACGTGCTAACATACAGCTTGGGGCCGTCCACCGCAATTCCCTGCGTAAAGGACGTGTTCGCGATGACGACCGTCCTGAGCCAGCCGTCACAGGTGCTGTCTCGGTCCGTGAACGCCGTCACGCCCAAACCACGCTCGACAACGAGTAGGTTTCCGTCCGCATCAAACGCGACGCCACGCGGGGTGGTAAGATTTCCGAATATAGGCGTCGCAGTTAGGCCAGAGGCGGCGGTCACGGGCGAGCGAAAGGAAAGCGAGTTGAAAGGCTGGCATTGCGCCTGTACGAGGGCAATGCTGCTGACGAAGCGAGCGAGTAGTACAAGAGGCCGTGGCGCCATTTTGCACTCGGAGGCAACTTAAAAGAGCTTGTCGTCATTGCGCGTTTACCTCCGTCTTTATATCACCGAACTTGCACCCGATGATCTGTGCCTGAGGGAGGCAACTGCCAAATAACCTGTTGCGATCAACGGCACATGGCCATGAGCCTCGCAAGCCTCTCACTAGAATGACGACCGTACATCGTATTGTTTGTCATAGATGCTCAGCTGATACAATTCTATGCAACTCCAGCATCGTCCCAGGAGGGATGTGATCATGAAGAGGAAACACAAGGGGGTGATTATCTAAGAACGTTCCACGCACCACTTTCCGTCGTGTTGACCAACAACCATACCTTGCCGTCACTTCGCACACTCATCCCACACCCGACCTCCCCTTCATGAATTCTCTGGAACTGTGGCATCAAGGAGGGCGACTTTAACAACTACGAGCTCCTTTGCTGGTAAATCCATCCAATCCTCTTATGTCGGCCAGGACGGGGTCCCTGGCCGGTCAACTAGGCTCTTTTCACTCTGTTTCCGAATCGCGTGGGACTTCTACCTCTGGCACCACCGCGGCCTCGAGCGCATATAACCAACACCATGTCGCGCCACAAGATGTCTCCGAGCGCGCTATCGCAGGCGTTGCTATCGGCGAACTCGTCGTGCTTCACTTATATCGACAGCTACACACAGGTTTTCGTCGGCATTTACAACACTGCAAGTTTGTATAGATTGAAGAATAGCTCATCGGATTGTATCCAGTGATGTCATCCACGTAGACTCGTGAGCCAGTCTCTCTGCACAATCCTAGTACAGTACGCAATGCTGGATCCAAGTACGTACGCGAGTTGTATCTGAGGAAGGGATATGCGAGGCAGGAATATGTGTGCGCGGGGATATAGTGTGCAGAGAGACTGGTAGGGAACGGTGGATCACTGTACGTGAGCAAAATCGCCTTCTTTGGGCCGTGAAAACCATCACGTGATGTCTCCGGATCGTGCATGAGCCTAACTTCAAGTTCAACACTCCCCGGCGACCGCATGATAAACAACAAGAATAGATCTTGCGCTATCTCCCCGCAGCAGCACAACACCATGACACATCTTCGTGTCGCCACCCATCCACACCAAAGCACTGACGCCGGCATTCTTCACTCTGAATAAATCATGGCCTCCTTCTCGTTGACGACGACTGTGAAGCTCTCGAGCGGTGCGTACCAAGTCCCGCTTCCCCGCTTTTCGTTTATTTCTGGTTTCTACTGACCGCGACGCAGGGTATGAGATGCCTACACTGGGCCTTGGTGTATACCAGAACGACGATTGCGTACCAGCTTGCTTAGCAGCCCTCAAGCATGGGTACAGGCCAGTGGCGATTGTCCAATCAGGAATTCTGGTACTGATTCGCGAGCATCATAGGCACATAGACTCAGCGCGGATGTACCGAAACGAAGCGCAGGTAGGTCAGGCGGTCCGTCAAAGCGGCGTTCCGAGGGAAGAGATCTTCGTCAGTACGTCGTTCCGTCCCATCACGTAGTCCACGTTCTGACAAAGGTCCTCCCTAGCCACTAAGGTGTACGACCCTGAGCATGGTTACGAGAGCACGAAGAGGGCTGTACAGAGCTCCCTGTCCAACTTCAGATTCGGTATAATCCACTCATGACATTTGCCGCACGCCGCATACAGCTGACCCTGAATCTGCGCAGACTACATTGACCTGTACTTGATCCATAGCCCATTGTCCGGGAAGGAACGTCGGCTGGAGACATATCGCGCGCTTCTCGACCTGAAGAAAGAAGGCAAGATACGGACAGTCGGCGTCTCCAACTAGTGAGCAGGCCCATCGCTGGTGGTTCCCGTTCACGGGCTGACCAGAACGCGCCCATAGCGGTCCCAAGCATCTAGACGAGATCAAAGCCGCTGGTCTTGAGGCACCGTCTGTGAACCAGGTTGAGGTAGGTATCATTGAAGACATCAAACACGCTGCGATTCATGCGTGATACGAACAGCTCCACCCGTTTTGCCAACAAAAACCGATCGTGGAGTACTGCGAAAAACATGGAATAGTCGTTCAGGCGTATTCACCCCTGGTCCGTGCTAAGCGCATGGACAACCCGATCCTCGGCGAGCTATCCAAGAAGGTATGCCGAGAGTCACGATGGTATCACTTCGCGCGCTGACGTCGTATATTCAGTACAAAAAGGACCCGGCGCAAATCCTTATCCGGTGGTCGCTTCAGCACAAGTAAGTAATCGAATCGAATCGAATCGACACACCGCATTCGTATCCTGATCCTCGAGAACAGCCTCGTCGTCCTGCCAAAATCTTCGCAGCCCTCACGCGTGGTCAGCAACGCCGAGGTCTTTGATTTCAACATCGACAAGGATGATTTGGAGAAATTGGATGCTCTTGACCAAGGCTCCAAGGGAGCAGTGACCTGGAACCCCGTCGATGCTGACTAGTTCTATGCACGATGTGATACATACAAAACATATCTTCCTGTACTTGCTACATATTGAAACGGACGAGGGGATGAAGAACGACATGATGACTGCTACGGGTATGGCGTGATCTTTGCATTAGACAAAGGTCTCTCTCTACACTAAACTGCGCCTCTATGAATCACCACAACAGATCGAACGTGCTGACCGAAGTGCAATAATGTATTCTTGGCACACGACCCCATACACGCACTTGAGTCTGCGGTGCACAAGATATGGGCGCTGATCTCTCGTCTATAGTTCTGATGTTGTTCCCGGAGCTTCTATACTTTCGCCTCATCCCATAGCTTGCCCATTGTTCGCTACTGATGCGTATATATATCGCCCTCAGGTGTCCCTGGGCTTCGCTTTGCCGCTTACCTTGCCCCCATCTCATTCCAAGGTTGTGGTAGCGGTGAGGTTTCCTTTCGTCAGTGCGGTTGAACATGACTAGTACGTCGCGTCTACCTATCGCTCTATTACCATCATGCTACATCACCAACCCATACAGACTCATCCCATTTTACGGCTATGGGCAAGTTACGTATTGACGAAAGAGCCCATGTCCATACCACGTCAAGTACGATTGGGGCTACGTCAAGCTTGAAACAGAGCACCACGAATCCGAGAAAAAGCACGATAAGCTCGAGAAAGAGCACCACGACGCGTCCGACTGAAAGCACTTCGAGCTCAAGACAGCACATTACAAGCTCTAGAGAGGGCACTGAGAGCTCAACAAAGAGTAGTTCACGCTCGGTGTCCGTCGTATTCATAACTTCCGTTGTCACCTCCACCACGGCTCCAACGCAGCTCGCAGGTGCATCCTCCCACCACCGCCAAACCCCCCCGGGTGCGATTGCAGGCGCTGCCCTCGGAGGCCTCGTCGTGTTCTATCTGGCCATTCTGAGTGAGTCTTCACACCCGTCAATGACATACAAGATGATTACATGCACGCGAATCCTTGTTTGCAGCCGGTTTTTTTTTTGTTACGCCGCCGCGCGCGCCTTCGACGGGCATCGAACGGCGCGCGACCCGAACTTTCCGATTCCGTATCCGGTCGACCTCAGACCACTCGCTCACCGGAGCCTAGATACGCCCACGAAGAGTGGAAACCCGTTCTCCGCCGGTAACGCGCACCACGACTCGGATGAATTTTCACGCTCCGAGGGGACTATGACAGCCGCACCCGCTCAACGAGGTCGAACAGCCTCGACGAGTGCACGTACACATATGCGTTCGCCAGCACCGCTGCCTTCTGCAACCTTACCACTACACGTGCCATCCATCGGGTAGATCCGGCGCTTGGGCTGCTGTAATCGAGGGTGAGAATGGCAAAAGGGAAGGACCGGCCCCGGGTCGAAACCCAGAGGATGTTTCCGAAGGTAGGTAGGTAGGTAGGTAGGTATATTTCCGGCGCGGTCCCAATAGCGGAACAACCGGTTGCCGCACAAGGGTGCAGAAGTGGCTGAGCTATGCGACCGGCCCAACCACACGTCCCGGTTAACTCTTATACGCCGATCTTTTCGTGCATGGACATTGCTTCCAGCGCTGCAACAAGAGTTATATAGTCCTCAGTATCTAAACTTGGCGCGCGGCTTGATACGTGATACACGTATCACGAGAGGCGAATCGGCTCGAACGCCGTGAATATATAGGATTACAACAGCAGCGTTATCGATAGTCATACTTCATAGCGGGGAACGGGCAAAGAAACCGGTCGAAACCGGGGACAGGACAGCGACGGATGTGCGAGCCCAAGCGTCAGCACACACCTGGAAGCGTAAGTAAAGTGCGCGTATGCCCGAAAGGGAACAAGACGGGCCGGAAGCGTTTGAAACGTGATGATGAGGCGTGAAACTTGAAGCGTGAAGCGTGAAGAGGGGGGAGGCGAAGTCCGTGAACGTGAAGCCTTTGCGGAAAGGCGTAAAATGAAGAGGGGCAAATCTACGATGCAAGAAGGGATCCGCCGAAACGTTGAAAGTCAAGAAGAAGGCAGGCAAGAGAGAGACAGAGATACTTTTTGTAACTTGGCGGGTGTGTGGCAAAGCATCGTGACCCAATGAAAACGACACAAACCGACGATTCGCGCACGAAACGCACACTTCAACCACATCGACGGAAAAAAGGGCGATAATTATCCCGTTTGAGATAGAAGGAACCAAAGGGTGGGGGGGGGGGCGAAAGGGGCGTTCAGTCCCTCTGCGCGACCGGCAGATCCGGCATGAGATGGTACACAGGCCCGCCGCCCTCCGCCGCCAACCGGTCCGCGCTCGGCCTTCTCTCGACCTGCTGCTGCTGCTGCACGCCCAGCATGCCCACGTCCGGGGGAGGAGGCGACACGGGCGGCGCAGCAGACCGGAGGTCGGCCGAGTCGTACCTCGGCACGGGCTTGCGCGCCGTGCGTCGCGCCGAGTTGCTCCTCTGCACCTGCCCTTGCCCTTGCCCTTGTCCTTGTCCTTCGGCAGGTGAGACGGGCGCGGGCTTGCGGTGCGGAGCGGCGGTAGGGGCGACCGAAACGGGCGAGACCGGGGAGGCCGTCGAGGAGTGCGAGGCGTGGTGCCGGGTAGGGTACGCGTGGGGTTGAGGCACGGGCGGGTAGGTCGGGCTCGTCGGCGTCGGCGCGCCGTACCCGGACAACCGATGCTGCGAGCGCGCGGCGGTCGGAGGTGGGTTGGTGGTAGTGGTCGTCGCGGTGGCGGTGGCGGTCGGCTCGATGCCGGAGTAGCGGTGGTCGCCGACGACCATCGTCACGCTCGAGCCCGACGAGCGCCGGCGGTTCGCGCGCGCGGCGGCTTGCGCTTGCGCGATCGCTTGAGAGTGGGGCGCGGCTTGGGCGCGAGGAGTGGGCGGCGCGGGCGGGGCGTAGGATTCGTACTTGTCGTCGTCGACGGCTGCGACGAAAGGTCGTTGTGTGAGCAGCCATGGCGGCATAAGGGGGGGGGGGCAAAAAAAAAATAAGAGACGTACCGTATCCGACGCCGTACTCGAGGCTCTGCACGCCGGACAGGATGCCCCCGCCGGCGACACTCGAACCGTAACTCGTCCCGAGCTTATCCGTGCCCTCGCTGCTCCCGGCCTCGACCGTGCGCATATCCTCGTCCGACATCGCGACCGAGCTGTGACTGGCATGCATCCCCGTCGCCCCTACCCCGTTCACCAGCCCTCCCCTAGACGACGCCCGACTCGCGTTCGCGTCGGCGAGATGAAGGTCGGCCGGGGAGCTGCGGTGCGTCGAGTCGACCGAGCCGAGGTTGGCCCACTCCTTGTGCTTGGGCGACTTGGGCGAGCGTGAGGAGCGCGGCGAGGTCACGAAGAGCGTCGGTTGCTGGCCGCCGAGTTTGGAGGCCGGGCGGTTGCGCGCGCAGGATCGGAAAAGGAGGAAGGCGGCTGTCGCGACGATGTGTCAGGAGATTGTGTAGGCATGACGAGGACGGTAAAAGAACGACCAAGTGGTTGATGAAACACGACGATAGAAAAAAAGGGCAAAAGGGCAAAAGGTAGACGAAAGGGCGAAGATACGTTAAGGCGACCGAATAGATGACTTCAAAATAGAGAGAGACGAAGGATGAACTGGAGGGCTGAGGAAAGAGACGGGACATACCGACGGCAGCAATGAGAAGCGCTGCGACGCCGCCAACGACGGCACCCGCGATGGCGCCCGGGGGAACGGTATGGTGGGAAGCACCTGAAATGTTCACATTCGTAGGTGAGGAGGCATCGGAGGTGGAGGTGGAGAGGCTTGAGGTGGACATGGATAAGGAGGTGGGGTCTGTGGAGGATAGGGATGTCAGAGATGAGGGTGATGAGGACGGAAGAGGAGAGGAAGAAGGCGTAGATGGATGAGAACGCGAGTGGGAGGTGGCGGTGAGAGTCGCCGTCAGCGATGCACTAGGCTCGGTCTCGGAGGCAGAAGAAGAAGAGGAGGCCGCCGGAGTGGAGGAGGGCGTAGTGACGGTGCTTGATGGCAGGACGCTTGCACTTGCACTTGCGGTTGCAGGTGAAGATGTAGACCCACCAGAGTTGGTGACGGTTTGCGTGCCGAAGGTGAACAGGTTGGTGCTGGTGTCGGTGTTGCTTTCGCCAGGGGGGAGGAAGGTCTGTGTGGACTGCGTTGAGCTCGAGGTGCTCAGGATGGGTCCGCCGGGAGGGGTGCTCGTGACTGCAAATGACGAGGATGAGTGCGATGCCAGATGAAGGGGGAAAGAGGGGCAGCCAAATAGGGGTACGGGAAAAGACAGGGACGAACGACGTACAGGTCGGGTTGGTCAAAAGCGAGCCGCTCGGAACATTCACTGTCTTTGGTAGCAAGGTCGACATCGTTGGCGACTACGCTCCTGATACTGAACGTCGAGGCCGTGTGTCGAATCGTCGGCTGCGTGGCCAGGTCAGATAATGGACTGTTCGAGCGCGAGCCGGATAGCACAGGCGAGAGTAGAGCGTCCCTGGCGCGGGTAAGACAATATTAGGGGACGGATGACGAACGGGGAGGGAAAGGTGGAGCGGGACGAGGAAAGAGGGCAGAGAGAGAGCAACCTCCACTCCCGAAGAGCGCGGTTCGCTCAATAAGATCGAACGGCAGAGGGGGCTGCGCACGAGAACGCGGGCCCAAATGCAGGCAGAGCACTCAGACAACAGCGCCGACCCGAGAGGGGACGAGGCCCTCCGTAAAGGATGACACAAATGACCGTGCGCGAAAGTTTCACAATAGCGTTTTCGTCGGCACGGGACTGCGCTTACCTGCACGCACCGCGCCCGTCGCGCGCTCCGCCCACTCTTGCCTCGCGGGGGTTCGAGGAGGAGGAGGAGGGGAGGAGGAAAAGAGGAGGGCGGTGGGGTGGCAAGATGTCGTCACGCCCGTCGCCGTCGTCGGTGGACGACGAACAGCGATGGAGCGGCGGGCAGCACGCCGCGCTGTCAGTTGCCTGCTTCTCAATTCCTTCCGGTAACTGCGTCCGCGCCCGTAATACACCGGCGTATCACACTTTGTTCCATGGTTAGCTGACCTGCATCTTCGGTATCTGATCAGCTGCGGCGAAGATTCAGATGGCGATAACAAAAAGGCTTTGGGCGGCAACCGGGGAATCTGAAGCTGATCGATATCGTAGAGAGATCGCAATACAGTCCGTTTTCTTTGCCATTTGAACCTTTCGTTGAGTCAAAAGTGGTTGCTGCCAGGATCGAACTGGCGACCTTCTGTGTGTAAGACAGAAATCATAACCACTAGACTAAGCAACCATGGCGAGTCTTTCCAAAAGAACATACACAGAGAGACCTGCGCTTCGGATATCAACCTCTCAATGTCAAAATGTACCAACGTATTCTTTGTATACCCTTTGTTTGGCTCCCACCACATGCTTGGACACTAATCATGGAATCACAATCTCCTGAGGATTTTACGCGACCGAGGAAGACATGGAAAGCCTGGCCCGAACGGGTTTTCGAGAGTCCCTCGAGCTCCAATCTTCCCGGAACGGTCCAAAACGGTGATATCAATACAGACGAGTCATTATTGTATCACACCGCCTCCCAGCAGGCTTGCATTCATACTTCCGCTATCACTGGGGAAACATGAGATGTCGCGCCGTAGCATGATGCTCTCATTGTTGCCTCCGGCTCCCAGAAGCGTTGACTAGTATAGAGCAGGGATCTCCCATCTTCATGATTCTGAAGTTTGTAACTCCAACGCTGTGCGCTAACGTTGGAGTTTCCGATATACTAATGAATGCACTAGACAGCATCAGACCCGGCCGAGGGAAACCTCGCGGTGTGTGGAGGACACGATTTCACTGGATTGGATGGTACACGACACACGTTTTGCAATTGTCGACCGTCTGCTCTGATCTTCTCACCAAGTCTCTGTCAAAAGCGTGATCTCAAGCCACAAGGCATGGCTTCGTGAACATCTTATCAGCGGTGTGTCTCACGGCCGTGGGCTGTAGGCCGCGCTATGCGCACTCACTTGTGCAATAGGGAACCACGCGCAGGATCTGAACAGTGTGTATGGGCACCTAATCATATTCCTGGCAGAGCGATACACCTTCGAACACAACGTTCGCTCATGGCTTACACATTTTCTTTTTCTTGTGGGAGGTGTGCCCTGACAATCACGACCTACTCGCACGTGGCGAGATGGGTGGGGTTATCGGCCGTCTGTTGATTGTTCGAGCATGGGATCCTGCGCTGGAAATGACTGACTCTGGAGGGGGGAAAGTGCAGCTTTTTAGTGCCCTGGTTTCTGTCGAGGCCTTTTTATTGGCACTCTTTCCTATGGACGATGCTACACGGTTTTTGGACAGCATGCCGGATAATCAATCCGGTGAAGGGGCAAAGACTTTGCGCGAGCTGTTCAAGGACGCGGTGATGAACGTTACACACTTTGCTAAGTGGGCGGATGACTTGGCATTGACCGAAGATACTGCGATGGCATGCTTCATTTGCCATATGGCCGTCATCTGCTGGAACAATGCAGTGATCGTCAATGTCTTCCTGCCCATTCTAATGGACAAGGTAGTTGCCCTTCTGTCACGTGTCAATCCAGACCGACCTACGCCGATCCTCTCCGCCGATCGTCACCGATCCGCACCGATCATCTCCAATCTGCTCTCCAACTCTTCGCCGACTTCTTCGCCGACGCCAATCCCGCCTTTCCTGTTTTGGTTGAGGGCGGGATACACCTATCACATGCACCGGGCCACCGGCAGCTCAACGCCCCGGTGGTTCCAGATCTTGAACGGATTCAACTCCGACTTTCCTGATTCCTGTTCCCTTTGTCTGACATCATAGCTTCCCTTTGTAGACTTTAGTTTCCCGTCGCTTGCGACGGATCTCTCGGTCCGTTCTTTCTGCCTCTTCCTTAGATATGTTCCCTTTGTGCCCCATGCGTTATCTCTCGTCTCCAATATGTTTCCTTTGTGCGCCGAACGGCGCCTCCGATCTCCGCATCTCCGATTTCGCCATTGTTCTCTTTTATGTATATAAACCGTCGAACTGTACCATAGATAGTCAGTTTGAATATTGACTAAGCTTTGCTCTCTCTCTCCTGCGGACTCAGAGCGCGTAGCAGCCTAGCGCACGAGCTTAGGCTTGATCTGCATCCGATCTCGATTTCACCACCGCTTCCGACTTATCGACCCAACGCCGACGCATCTCCGACTCCGCTCCGACTCTACCCTTTGAGTTTCTCCTTCTCACTATACTATTCTTCGTATATATGTTTCGGACTTCGGTCCTCTGACCTTATTCCCCCTTTGCCTGTATCTGATCTTGACACCTTTGCCCAGAGGTCATGTTGGGTATCTTTGTCCAATTCAAGCTTTGGGGACAGGTGGGCACACCGTCTGCGTATGCCATCAATGAGAACAAGATCAAGTTCTTCTTGAGGAACACTACCAGCACAGAAGGGCAGACACCCCGCCCGTATATCACCTTGATCATGGAGCTAGGAGACACCAATCCTCCTTCACTATTGGCACAGACCCCCACTGATTATCATTCAGATCCTTCAAAGTCGAGCACAGTGCTTCAAAAGTGGCGCGACATGATGGAGCAGTCCGGAAATCATCCGCCCATTCTGGGGTCTCCTTCCAAGGTGGTCATGCCTGCACCTCCCATCGCGAGGCCACAAGAACGTCGTGCACCCATGGTATAGCATGTACATCTATGGATGCTCACCCTCAGTGTACAAGGTAATCGCGGAAGCCGAGTGTCCACTGTACAAGCGGCTCATCTGTAGCGGAGATCTGCTCGGAGAGCACCCGTGGCAGCACTGATGAACTTCTGGATCTGAAGGCAAGAGCGATAATTCCCTAATATATGATCCTCAGTCAAAGTATAAGGGAAAAGACTGAGTTACGCATGTAGTACCTAATATATGACTACAGAGGCATCGCAAGTACATTAGGACATAAGGGACATGAAGGGACATGGCAGACTCACTCCTCAGTCAAAGTATAAGGGAAAAGACTGAGGAGATGCGGAGGGAGAGCTCCGTGAGGGAGCTCGAGGGAAGCATTTCCATAAAGGGAACAAAAGAATGTGCCTAAAGCGGTAATATCAATCAGGAAAGATAGAAGATCGCAAGGAAGAACACAAGAATAGAACATGTGAGAGAATCTGTACATAATAGGTAACGAGCGTGTAATATTTCCATATATATACGGTATACAAAGTTCAACAAGCACCGTACGGCTCTCGATTTAGTTCGGAATCAAAAGCCCTTCTTTGCCCTTTGATATGCCTTCTGGCACTGGGTGCTCAGTCAAAGATTGAACGTGGACAAGCAGGCCGGGGACGGGGATGGGGAGATAATCCTTGGTTATAGACTCAAAGTTACCGCTGATGATGAGGAAGCGAACGATGAAAATTCTTTCTGATTCCATTGGGTGCGTCACTCTGGATCGAATACATGTATTTGTATTTCAAAAAGTTCAGGTCGACGAAATCCGATTATCTTGCTTAGTGCCGCATACTCCTACTAGAGTTTACTTTCCGTAGTTGACAGCACTCAGGAAGGAACAGCGGGCCCGCATGTGTAGTGGCATGGAAGAGGAGAGGGAAGAATGTGGTCTGAATTCAATCTCGAACGGAAGGCGACCGTTTCTGCGCCTTGGTGCCCACGACCTGCATTTATTCTCATAGTCAAAAGGGCCCTTGGGCTCGTGTAGGGCTCCTTCTTCCCTCTCCTACATCTTCTTCGCCCCAGCCCGGCATGGCTGACATCGCTAGCCTCGGCCTCTGTCATCAGCAAGTCCTCTCTACCCTCTGCTCTACGAAGCCGTGTCCTTACGAACACGACTTTGAACTCTGTCGGGACTGCGGTGTGGTCTCTGTGCCGGCCTCCGACGGCAAGAAACATCGCCGCACGAAAGCGCATAAGCGAAAGATCGGGCGATTCGACACACTGCTGGTATGCACCGTGTGCTCGAAGATGACGCCTGGCCATAGGTGGCAGAGTCATATCGACTCGCCACAACATTTGCGCGAGGCGGAAGCTCTTCGTATGCGCCACGTCGAACCACAGCGTGCAACAAGCGACCCTAGATTTATCTACTGTGATGCATGCGATGTGCACGTTCCCACCGCCTATCGCACGGTCCATACCGGAGAGACGCTACATATAAACATGGTGCGAATGAAGGCATACATAGCAGCCATACAAGCGGGGTCCGAAGTCGACGTCGCCATCAAGAGGACAGCCGATATTGCAGTCATCGAGGTAGTAATTCGCTCAACATATCATGCTATCGGGTTCGTAATGACTTCGCGCTCTCAGGACATTGAAAAGAACGACTCAGCGAAGAGACACCAGAATCCGGGCTTCCCAAACTAGACATACTATTCCCGAGTCTCCATCGCTCAGGAGCCGCCCCGATACGTATTCCCTGCCGACTCCGGCATACGGACGTTTATCCTGGTCATGTCACTCTTACCAGGCCTGCGTACCTCATCTGGAGTCCTCCGCCTTCGACCTGATACTGTTGCTGCTCGATTGTATTCACATGTTCACGATCTTACGTACCCTCTCATGCACTCCTTCTGTTTACTATGCGATGATCTATGCCCTGAAAATGACTGTATATACACACAATATCTTTCAATCCTATCTCGACAGTAGACGTCACCACCACCTAATGATGAATTGGCCCCTGGTTGTCATCCTTCCTTGATGAGCGCCGGTGCGAAAACTCGATCCTGATCTTGCCGTCTGCGCGGTGATATAGTCAGCCGCGGGTTGGTTCTCCTGGGTCGCAGACATCTTCGCCTTGACTGGCCACTTTGACGGGCATCTTGGGAGTAGATGCGCTGGGCGAACCTGCTTCCCTTGCCATCTGTCATCCGGACCGATTTAGTTCGCATTCTAGGTCACAGTATACCACGTAGCATATCTCGTACTTCAAAGAAACGTTTCCGATCCCAATGTCTGTCCACGTAGTCCAACGACTGTCGGGGTAACCACCATTCTAGGAATGCGAAGAAGACACAGTCCACGATGAGGATGACGGTGAAGATGGGGCCAGCGAAGCGGCCGAGAGTCCACGTCCTTCCGAGAAGCGCATTAAAACATACTGTCATGTCCGGAACGGTAGTACAACATACCGATGAAGTCTCTCCCAGAACGATCGCGAAGTGGAGGCCAGAACAGTATCGTAGACGTGCTCGACTCGTCCAGCGATGTCGCCCCAGTGGTAGAAGCGCTTGACGCGATCGTGTGCCTTGCGCGGGTCGTGCTTGCCCTCCGAAACGATCTTGACCGCCTCTGCGATCGCACGAACGACGTCTATGCAGGAGATCAGGAGTAGTACGAGACGCGACCGAGGTTTCCAAGGGCATACCATCTTCGTTCGGATCAGCGAAGGAGATCATGTCCTCCGGCAAGATCTCGGGCACGCCACCCACGCGCGTCGCGACCACGTATAGCCCCGCGCACGCGGCCTCGACGATCGCGATGCCGAACGACTCGGTGAGCGAGGTGCTCAGGAATATCGAGCCGCGCGTGAGCACGGAGCGCACGTCGCTGTGCCGTATCGGCCCCAGGAGCTCGATACGGTCTTGGAGGCGGTGCTTCTCGCGCATTTGTAGGACGTCGATGAGTTTCGGGCCGTCGCCACCTATACACAAAAAGGAGAGATTGCGTCTTCAGCGAGAGGAATAGGACGAGGGAGAAAACGAAGGGAAAGAGGTGCTTACCCACAACGAAGCGGACTTGAGGGAAGAGAGCGCAGATACGCGGAGCAGTGGCTACGAAGAGATCAATTCCTTTGCGATACGCCAATCGGGACAGCACTACGATGGTCACTGCAGGACACGAAGGCGTGTATTAATGAATTGCACTCGCGTTATGAATTGTTTACCGACTAGGGTCCGTTGGAACAGGTTCTTCTGCTGGTTTGAACTGCTCCGCAACAAACGCATTCGGTATGACGTACACCGACTCCGGCATGAGATTCCCTCGTAGGACGGTGTTTTCGCGTCTGACAGAACGTCAGCGGGTACAAGGCGAGGAAAGTATGATGCTATAACCTACCCGGTGTACGACACGCAGATGGTTGCGTCCACATTTCGCAACGCGCCCTCCAGAAGCTTGTTCGTCAGAATGCTGGCAGCGTCTGCGAACCCGAACAGGCTATGGTCAGTGAATACCGTGCGCACGCCCATCAGGTGGGCATGAAGGATGCCCTCGTGAGCAAGACTCGAGAGACTCGCATGAGCATGAATGAGCTCAATGCGTTCGCGTAGAACAATGGTGCGGAGGTAGGGCAGGAAGGTGAAGAAGTTGGGTAGGGTCGCAGACGAGGCGATGGTAGGGAAGGGGATGTAGTACACCTTCAGGCAAGGCAGCATCCACCGTATTCCGACCCTGTCTGGGGGATGGCTGTGGGTTATGACAATGACCTGTAGGATAGGGAACGTTGAGCGCGTCGAATGGGTAGAAAGGCGGGGCGTTGGGCATACGTTGTGGCCACGTCGTATGAGCTCCGCTGCAAGCATGTATATGTGGCTCTCCACGCCGCCTACATTTGGGTGAAAGAAGTCGCATATCATCCTATCATGTTATTCGTAAGTCCGATACACTACACTCGTAGCACTGGGTACGGACGCAATCGAGATCTTTCCGCCATGACGCTCATGTCTGGCCATTGAATCTCGAGTTCGTGGAGGTTGCAATTCGGCGCATACTCTCTCCGGCGAATGGTCACGGAATCAAGGTCCTAGCTCAGCAGTTGGATCGAAGGTTTCCAAGCAATTGAGATATAGAGGATTAGAACATTCGTGTATAGTAGCAACGAGCAGGTAACGGTCCAACCGATGGCAAGCCGAGACAGATGATCCAGTGTACTTGCCGCCACCACTGAATTCGGGCGCGTAACCAATCGCGGATGAACACCACTGATTTAGCAATTACAAGTACGTGGAATATACGAAAGCAACTCGATCCTCCCTCTTCACATCTCCAATGTCAGCGAACAACCAGTTCAGGACGCTGGCGAGGCGTATACCACCTCTCGTGAGCAAACCCTCGACGGTATGATTTCTCGCGATGACACCGGCGTATTCGGGCGTGTCAAGCTCCATATGATTATAACCCCCTGCAATGTTGCCATGCACGTGGCTCCCGCCAATGTAGAGACCGCTCTCTGAGAACAGCGCGAGCTGATCGTCGACGGTCGCGATAGCGGGCGAAGGGGCATCCGCAGTTGCCGATGGGCTTGGAGGTGACTTGTCGAGTGCCGCGGGCCAAACGAAGTCGCAGTTCAGCCTGTGGATGCTGCCGGCCCAGTGGAGAGGACAGACGATCTCGTCATCCATCTTGCTCTCCGTTGCCGTGGACCGAGTTGGACGAGTCGCTATATTCGGAGTCTGACCAAAGAATATCTGCCGAATCTCGGATGCGGTAGAAGCAGAGAACGTTGAGGACGTTTTCTGAGCGGTGCCGCCTCCCGCCGTGTGAGAGTACTTCGGGCAGCTGATCCAGTCTTCCACGTCGTCATCCCACATCTCCTGCTTGACGAGGCCTTCGTATACTATACGCCGGATATAGGGATCGTATATCGCCCCCTTTAGCGCGTTTTCGACTTGATAATAGCGCGATGGGAGCGGAAACGTGTAATTTGGTGAGGTGGTGCGAAGTTGTTTGGCGATGAAGAGGTTGTCCCATGCATAATGAAGATCTGCGCGGAAGATGAGACTGGGAGCTGCGGGATCAAAGAAGAAAAAGAATGGGCATACTCGTCAGCCGTCCGTCGAACAGGACCTTGGCGCCGTTCCCGCCGTATTGTCGACCAGAGAGGTGGAGAGGCTGGTGCATGTCTCCGAAAAAGTGGATCAGAAACTTCAGTGCTTCCTCCGCCAGCGCGTCCCGCTTCCCGCTCATTCTCTTCTGAGCCACGCTTCGCGACGAGCTCCTACCCGCACGGGCGCCGAACTCGACTTCGCGGTCCGCATACTTCGTCAAAATGTCCGTCACGTTTCGTATGCTTGCGAGGATGTTCTCTCCCTCCTTCCCATTCCATCCCTGTCTCCCCGGGAAAATACATTTGTTTGGTGGATCGTCGTCGACCGAGTTCGCGAAGTGTCTATTCTTCGACCAAGCATAGGCCGGGTCCGTACGGACGCTGTCGGCCCACGTCGCAACCCGTGCGAGATGGCAATCGATCCAGGGTCCTTCGGGGTAAAGAATCGAACAGAGGGTGGGCATGACGGAAGGATGGAGGTGCATCTGCGCGATTGTCGCAACCATCTCATGGCCTGTGAAGAATTAGGCATGTTAGTAGGTACGAAGAACTTGACAGTCAAATAGCATACTCACCAGCTGGTCCCCATGCTGTGATACCCGGGAGAACCAGAGTAATGCAGGTTAAGGTTGCCGTGAAACGCCGTAAATTCTCGCCCAACATGGTGACTGTGGTGATGCCCTGTGGGTGTCAAGAGAACCCCTCCCGCTTGCTCTGAATATCTTATATCTTAACGGCCTGGCGGTACATCTTGAAAAGCCTTGGGGCGCCTGTCCAACTCAGCGTGCCCAGACCAGGCACCACCGCATGCACTCCGACAGCGGAACTCGCTTGTCACCGGTGTCCCCTGAGCTAACCGTGCGTGGTGTACGAGTGGTGCATACTCTTGCGGGCTATTCTCTCAGTATTCCAGCGCAACTCGTGAGGTGAAGTTTGCAACAAGACCACAATCGAAGGGGACAACTAGAGGCAAAGGAAGGTTCGGATCAGGCCTCTCCCACCTCGCTGACCGTGGGGTAAATTCTGTCAAGCGTGGAAAAGAATCGCCATGCCATGCACGTGGGCATAACGCTCACTCTCACCTTCGCAGCCTCCGGGCCATTCGAACCTGTACCGAGGCCTGTGAACATTGACACGAACGACTTCCGGCTTCCGGGAAACTTGCTAGTTCCAGACAGCGTCGAGAAAGGATGTTCTCATTGCCGAATTGCCTTTATCCATGTATTCACGCGCACGGGAGCGACGGTAGAGGCGTACCGTATTCATGGAACGAGCGAGCACAAGCTTATTGACCACGCTGGTAACAGCTCCTCCAGAGCTCGTCGTCTTTGCTCATTTGGACGCTCGTCGCTTTCGAATGAACCCGCAAGGTTGTCGAGCAACGTTCGTTTCACCGATGCGATTTGAGTGCTATCCTGCTGAGAAGTGGCGCTAGGATGGCCGGCCTCGCCTTCATCGCTGAGACGCTGTTTCGGTAGTCTTTGCAGCGGGCTCCCGTTACTTTGGTCTCCTGTGGGCGCGGCTATGGTGGTGAGAATACCGCCGTTCCATGCGCAACGCTCCATAGTGAGTAAAAATAGCCATCTCACTCTATTCCTCAACTTCTACAGCCTGGAATAGGCCCAAACGACAGGTTCAACGTGTGGAAGTCAGCGTTCTCATGACCATATACGTCCTTGATATGCATCTACGCTGCCAAGAGCATCTGTCTGCGTGAGGCTTACCTTCTTGTCGGTGCTACTTCATCCACGACAGAGGGCCCGGAGTGTTTGCAAAGCGCCCATTCGGTTTGCTCGATCCCTACCTTCGGGTCTTGCATTCTCAAGTTCCTCAACAAACATCTTGATCCGAACTCATTCGCGTCCACGCTTCTGTGACCGAGCAAATCGTCGCGGTGCAATTGGTAGAATGAACAGGCACGGCGCTCATGGAGGTCTGCACGCCGGCGAAATGTGTGCGCCCTCGAGAGAGGTATAAAAGGCGAACGAGTTGCGGCATAGTTTCCTCAGGACATCGAGCCTTCTACTCGCTCAACTCCTACTCTCGGGCATACGCATAGCAATGGCTTTCGCGTCTCTTCTCGCCCTCACCGCCCTCGCCGCTGTCACTCGCGCCGCCCCGACCGCGGAGGCCGCGATCTGCTCCGATGGCACCCGCGTCTCCAACTCTGCCTGCTGCGCGTTCATCCCGCTCGCAAAGGACCTGCAGGAGAACGTCCTCGAGAACGAGTGCGGTGAAACTGGTAAATTCCTGCCTTCGACTACATGATCGTTCGCTAACGGTGCTATAGCGCATGAGATCCTCCGTCTGACGTTCCACGACGCCATTGGAATCAGCCAGAAGCTCGGCCCGAAGGCGTAAGTAACCTTCATAGCGATGTGTCTCCGGAGCCAGCGTCTGACCCCGACTCACAGCGGCACCGGTGCTGACGGCTCTGTCCTGCTCTTCCCCACAGTCGAGCCCGAGTTCTTCGCCAACGACGGTATCTCCGACAGTGTCAACAACCTGCTGCCGTTCCTGCAGAGGCACAAAGTCTCCGCCGGCGACCTCGTCCAGTTCGCTGGTGCCGTCGCACTGACCAACTGCCCTGGTGCACCCCGCATCCAGTTCCTCGCCGGCCGCCCGAACGCGACCCACCCGTCCATCGAAGGTCTCGTCCCCGAGCCGCAGGACAGCGTCGACACCATCCTCGACCGTTTCGCAGACGCTGGCAATTTCTCTCCCTTCGAGGTTATCTCCCTCCTGGCTTCTCACAGTATCGCGCGTGCGGACAAGGTCGACCTCACTATCGACGCCGCTCCCTTTGACTCGGTGAGTTAAACGAAACTGAAACGCGCGCCCATTTGCTCATTTTTGTGCCCCGTAGACCCCGTTCGTGATGGACACCCAGATCTTCCTCGAGGTCTTGCTCGAGGGCACCGGATTCCCCGGAGCTGGTCCCAGCGACGCCCAGGCCGCCTCCCCCCTCCCCGTTGGCAGCGGCAACGACACCGGCGAGCTCCGCCTCCAGTCCGACTTCGCGCTCGCCCGCGACCCGCGCACAGCCTGCTTCTGGCAGGGCTTCGTCAACCAGCAGGAGTTCATGGCCACCAGCTTCAAGAACGCGATGGCCAAGCTCGCCACTCTTGGCCAGAACACCAGGAACCTGATCGACTGCTCTGAGGTCGTCCCACCGGCCAGCACCGTCGCCGTCAAGCCCGCGTCCTTCCCCGCGACCAAAGGCCCCGCCGACCTCCAGATCGCCTGCAACGCGCGCACCTTCCCTACTCTCACCTCTGACCGTAAGTATCTTAGGTCTGTATTCGCACGGACGAGCGCTGATTGCCTCTCTCAGGCGGCGCAACCGAGACGTTGATCCCGCACTGCCCGGACGGCTCTCAGATTTGCCCATCCGTCGACACCGACGGCCCGGCCACCGACAACGACGACCCGAGCACCGACCCCGGCACCCTCTAAGTTATATATTTCCTTCCCGTTAGCGATATACGAGGGTTTTTTGCGCCTTGTTTACTGGGTTACGCTATTGGGCTTCCCCTGTGAATCATAGCTGTCGGTGATCCCAATATATATGTGTGAATCTATATCCACAACGATCTGCTGCAGTGCAAAAGAAACTCTTCTGCGGGGTCCTTTTTATCGAACGCCTGCTCGACGCTGCTACTTTCGCTCCTCTTTCCAGCTCCGAATTTGACCCCAGCTAGGTCGCCTCCTCAGAATCCCCGTCCCCCTCATTGTCATCCGCGTCCCAGCCTCGATGATTCGGATTCGCGACGAGTAGGTCCTCTCCATAACCATCCGCACCTTCGGCAGCTAAAAGGATGGAGTGTCAGACCGGGGCCACACGCTACGAGGGCAGAACAAGTCTATTCGACATACCTTTCGCCTTCTCGTCTCTTACACGCTCACGATCTCGTGAGATTCCTTCGAGTATATCCTCCTGAACGGCAGAAATTTCCTCTGCACTGGTGCACATTCTGTATCGGGCTATGTACTCCCTAAGAAAGACCGCAACGTCACGTTAGTCCGTTGTTCAGGTGCTGAATCGTCCTAGCGTACTTGTTGATGGCGTAAAGACCAGGACCCCACCCGAAGCGGGATAGAAGAGCGTGGCCGTAGTCTTCAAAGCTGCTCAACGCCACAGGGAATCCCATCAGTTTCTCACGAGCTGGAGAAACATGGTAAGGATGACGTACCCCGTTATGTAGAACGCCGCGGCGAGAGCCTCGACGCAATTAAGCTTCCAAGGTTTTCCGTAATTTGTCGGGTTGGCAGCAACAAGGTAAGGCACTTCATGCAAGGTCAGAACCTAGGAAGCATACTGTAGCAAGAACTTGGTGCTCACACAAACGTTCATGAGGACTTGCGATCTTCGCGAAGGGTACATCTTCCAAGCGAGCCCAAGAACATTCTACGACCGCAAGGCCCGATTGAAGGATAATGTCTCTATCGGCGGGAGAGATTGGCTGTGTCCCTCTGGGGCTGTGAACGTATAAAAGTCAGCCAGACTGCCCGAATAATGCGTGGGATGGACAGAGAAGAGGAAGTAGAGGAGGAGGACTGACAAAAGGGGACGCTCACGAGAGCACAATGCCTCGAAACCTCTGGCCCACGCGTAGATCTTTGATCAATCCCAGGCGGGAGAGTTTCTTGCCGGAGCAACGGCGAGGGTCACAGTGGTCAAAATCCTGCGGTACTCATGTTCAGCTTTGATACCAGGGAAGTGTGCTCTGCCTACATACCCACATAGCTACCGGAACGTCTATGCTGACCGCGCGAGGCGCTGAACCATCGTCCGAGTCGGCGTCGGATCCTGACCCTGCGTCTCGAAATCAGCAATGGTCGACTGACCTGAATGACGGAGTTTGCGCACCTTGGTCGCTCAGGTCAAGTTCAGGGTCATCAATAGCGCTATCCGGTCTCTCCGTCTGGCCCTCGTACATTGCGCGATGAACTGCTCTTGGTGCGCCTCTGCCCCTTGCCCTACCGCGCGAGCCAGCACCTCGTTGGGACCGTGACGGTCCTCCAGACTTCTTTGCCATATACAATTTTTTATGAGCCTGGGTATTGAATCGGTCTGATTTCGGTCTGATTGATTGGCGAGCAAAGTTCGCTGCAAAGTGCGAGGCGAAGAGAGAACGGCGCCTATATGTCTCATCAAGCGCCGAAACTATGAACTCAAAAACGCGCGCGGCACTGCCACTTGCGGTCACCTTGCGGTGGCTCTGTGATCGCAAAGCCTAGCATTACAACGCTTCACATGATATATATATACTAGCTAATTTCTGATTGACTCCTGTGCAAGTCCGCCAGACGGTAAAATCCTTGAGTGAATTGTACTTTAGTCTCGAGCAGACGTTTGGTAACCGCGGATCTGAGATTGGCCGAATCGGGAACGATTTCGCACGGTCAATTCTGCGGGCCCTGCAGCAAATTGTTTCGTTTGACTCCTCTACCCCGAGCTCCCTGCACGCGACGATGACCAAGTACATCCTCGTATCCGGCGGCGTCGTCAGCGGCATCGGCAAAGGGGTCATTGGTACGCGTCGCCTTCGCGTCTTTTCTCGCTTTCACCATTCAAGTCGACGTATCCCATGGACTGTTTCTGCTAGCCTCATCGACCGGCCTGCTGCTCAAGACCGCCGGGCTGAAGGTCACGGCGATTAAGATCGACCCGTATATGAACATAGATGCGGGGACTATGCGCCCATCCGAGCACGGTGAGCCCTAAGCGTTGCGTTGCATTGTGGCACCCCCTCTGAAACATGCGTCTAGGGGAGGTTTACGTGCTGAACGACGGCGGCGAGGTCGATCTTGATCTGGGAAACTACGAGCGATATCTTGATGTCACGCTCTCTCGCGATAACAACATCACGACGGGCAAGGTTTACAGGGACGTCATTGAGAAGGAGGTACGAGGAACAGTCGTGACACGGTAGTCCGTGCTCTTATCGACTTTCGTGTTCTACCCAGCGCCGGGGAGACTATCTTGGGAAGACTGTGCAGGTATGTGCCTAGCGGTACAGCTTTCCTAGAAAAATTATACTGATGACTTGCAGATCGTACCACACCTCACGAATGCTATTCAGGAGTGGATAGAACGCGTCTCTAAGATTCCGGCAGATGAGACGGGTACGGAGCCCGATGTCTGCATTGTTGAGGTACGTGCTATGGGCCACCTTTTTTGCGACCCTCAAAACTCATAAATCATAGCTCGGTGGAACTGTTGGTGACATCGAGTCCGCGCCCTTCGTAGAAGCCATGCGCCAGTTCCAGTTCCGCGTTGGCCACGAAAACTTCGCCCTCATCCACGTCTCTCTCGTGCCCGACATGCACGGCGAGCAAAAGACGAAGCCCACGCAGACGACCGTGCACGCACTGCGGGGTCTCGGACTCCTTCCCGATCTCGTACGGTTATATAGCGTCTGCCTACCAAACTGCCTCTCATCCGATTTTTTCATAGATCGCATGTCGTCTGACCGTCTCGAAGCCTCTTGAAACTGCTACAAAGGAGAAGATCTCTATGTTCTGCCATGTCCACCCGGATCAGGTCATCGGTGTGCACGACCTAGCCTCCGTCTACCACGTCCCGCTCCTCCTTCAATCACAAGGAATCGTGAAATATCTCCGAAAACGTTTGAATCTGGACAGCGTCAACATCAGTCCTGCTATGTTGGAGCGCGGTCAGAGCATCGAGAATCGTTGGAAGCAGATGACTACTGGGTGCGCTCGCTCTCTGATTTTTTCCGTATCTTCGGCTCATCTCGCCTCTTCATAGGCAGGAGAGGTTCTTTGAGACTGTGTCAATTGCTCTCGTCGGCAAGTACACGGACTTCAAGGACTCCTACATGTCGGTCGTCAAGTCGCTCGAGCATTCTGCGTTACGCTGCCAGCGGAGGTTGATCATCCACGTACGCCCATATCTTAACTTTCACCGAAGACTCCAGCCTTATTTATCCTTGCGAGGTTAGTGGGTTGAATCCGAAAACTTGCAACCCGAGATGCAAGAGCAGGAACCCGCCAAGTATCATGACGCCTGGAGACTCGTCGTCGGCGCAGAGTACGTGACGGCTTGAGTGAATGCGGCTTCCGACGCTTACGCCTAACCGTACCCAGCGGCATTCTCGTCCCAGGTGGATTTGGTAGCCGCGGGATTGAGGGCATGATACTTGCCATCAAATGGGCTCGCGAGCAGAAAAAGCCCTTCTTGGGCATATGCCTTGGCTTCCAATGCGCGGTGATTGAATGGTGTCGCAACGTTCTGGGCTTACAGGGTAACATTATCTTCTCGAACAGGAAGCTCCTCCACTAACATACTGCTCTACATAGGCGCCAACTCCGCTGAATTCGTTCCAGATTCGCCATCCTCACCCTCCGTAGTGGTCTTCATGCCGGAGATTTCAAAGACTCATATGGGCGGTACGATGCGTCTCGGCCTCCGGCCGACGGTCTTCTCGGAGGGAACCGAGTCCTGGAGCAAGGTGCGCGCGCTCTACGCCGGCGCAGGCAAGATCTGGGAGCGTCACCGGCACCGATATGAGATCTCGCCCCCGCACGTCGAGCAGATCGAGGCGAGCGGGCTGCCGTTCATCGGCAAGGACGAGAAGGGCGAGCGGATGCAGTGCCTCGAACTGCTCGATCACCCGTACTTCGTCGGCCTGCAGGCGCACCCTGAGTTTTGCACGCGTCCGTTGAACCCCTCCCCGCCATTCTTGGGCTTCGTTGCCGCGGCGTGCGGGCCGAGCGTGCTGCAGGCGCAAATGGAAGCGCAGCGCAAGACGTTCAAGCCCCCGCATCCGGAGCACGCGATGGTCAGCGAGGCGTTGCTGAGGAACGAGGGGGAGCCGCTCCCGACAGAGACGCCACAGGCAAACGGGGTCGCCAACGGTTCTGCATAGTTCTGCCCCCTTTCCATCTCGAATGGTCTTGTATACAATTCACCTCGTCGCTGTTCGCAATTCAATGTTGTTCAGGTGTAGACATGCAAACAGATCAGTCCCAGCGCCAAAAGATTCTTCCGTGTGATGTGTGTGTATTGCATTAATGTGCTCCTATGGATACAGAATTAAGCAAGAATAATTTACATCGATGGTGCTGCACTGTGCCATGCAGTGCGAATGGCCAAGGATACCCTGCTGGGCGAGCACCCCAAGCGTCTAATAAACCTCAAGGCACCTCGAACGTGCCACCCCGTCTGAGCCTAACGCTCAGTACCGGCTCCCTCGCCTCTCGCGACCCTCGTCCTTCTCTGCCCAGTTGCGTGAGCTGCCCCTCTGTCCCCACGCAGGTTGCCTGTTGGATCCTCTGCCCTCGTCCCTTCCTCCAAACCCGCCTTTCCTATCTCCTCCTCCAAATCCGCCTCTCCTGTCGCCTCCACCAAACCCGCCCCTCCTGTCGCCTCCACCAAACCCGCCCCTCCTGTCGCCTCCACCAAACCCGCCCCTCCTATCTCCTCCAAATCCTCCCCTGCTCCCGCCCCTGCGCTCCTGGGGCCGATCGCTGCTGAAGTACCCGATCCGCGCCAAGAACTGCTCGGACACGTGCGGCGGCTTGGCCATCGCGAGCGCGCCCGTCGCCCACTCGCGGAGACCATTGAGGATCACGCTTCGCGCCACACGCAGCTCCTGCACGCGGCCGATGTAGAACCCGAGCAGGGACCCGAACGTGTCCGAGACGGCCTCCTCGTCGAGCTGCGTGAGCAGGTCTTTCACCGTGGCGTCCATATCCACCAGCGCGGGCAGCACCGGCGCGCGGAACATACGCGGGCCCGCGGTCCTCTTCGCGATGCGTTCTTCCTTCTCGCGCTCCCGTCGGGTCTTGACCACCGGCATAGGGGAGGACGAGGTGTTGGCAGCGGCTGCCGCTGCCGTAGCCTTTTCCCAGTACCCGCTCGGGTCCGCATCGAACTGCGTCGCGAGCTCGCGAACCTCCTCCTCCAGCGCCGCGCTCGTCAGCGGCTTGAGCGGCACCTCGTTCAGCTCGTACGTCGCGAAAGCGCCCTCCCAGGGTAGAAGGACGAGGTCGCCCCGGCCCTGAACGTGCGAGCCGCGGCCCGTGCGTCCGACGCGGTGCACGTATTGATCGCGCGAGGCAGGGATACCGACTTGGATGACCTGCGTCACGCCCGGGTAGTCGACGCCGCGCGCGGATACGTCCGACGTGACGAGAACGCACGCGCCGGATTTGTCGGAGCGGAAAGCGTCAGAGGCGCGCGTGCGCTGCTCCTGGCCCTTGCCAGAGTGAATCTCGTACACGCGCGTGCTGTTCTGGGCGGGGAGGGCGTCCTTGGAAAGCTCCTTGAGGAGCGTCGCGAATAGCTGCGTCATCTTCGTGGTGGGGAGGAAGACGATGGCCTTGCTCTTGCCCGCGTTCGCGAGCTGATCGCGCGCGAGAAGGCGGAGCACGTGCGGGATCTGCGCCGACGCTTCGGGGAGGACGGTGTGGTATTGAGGGATGTGCGTATGCACGCCCGAGTCGTCCTCACCGACGCAGTCGATGAAGAGGTGGTCCTTCGCAAGCGTTGAGCGGGCAACCTGCCGGATCGCGCGCGAGACGGTGGCGGAGAAGAGAAGCGTCTGCCGTTCGGGCGTCGGCGGCAACTGAGCCGTAATGGCGTCGATGTCATCGCGGAAGCCCATGTCCAGCAAAGTGTCGGCTTCGTCCAAAATGAGCTAGAGACGGCGCATACATGCATTAGCTGGCGAAGAAGGGAGGACGGAAGAAGTTACGTACCGTTTGTACCTTAGCCAGTGATTGTGCCACGCTCGGTTCCGATTGCAGCAGATCCCGCAGCCGACCAGGTGTCGCGATAACAATGTCCTTCCGTGACCGCATCCAGTTGCGCATCTGCGCGCCCTTGCTCGAGCCGCCGGTGAAGAGCTGCACGCCGAACTCGTCGTGGTGCGTCGAAAGCTTGATGGCGTCGTTAGCAATTTGCGTCGCGAGTTCGCGCGTGGGCGAGATGATGAGCGCGCCGGCGTGCTCACGCGAGAACTTGCGGCGCGCCTGGCCGGCGAGATGTTTGTCCGTCTCGAGTCCGGCCTCACGCACGGCGCGCTTGCCGGAAAACTCGATAGCCTTGATGCGTGCGTCGATGGCAGGGACGAGGAAGGCGAGCGTTTTGCCGGTGCCTGTCTTCGCCTTCACAAGTAGATCGCGCGGTAGGGTGGGTGGATTCTCAGAGTCGTAGGGAACAGTGAGTTGCGGGAGGAGGGGAAGGACGGCAGCCTGGACGGGCGACATGTATGCGAACTTGTACGGGCGAACGGTAATCGCTTTCCAGGTATCGTAGAGAATGGTGCCCTTCATGCTCTGGAATGTGGGCGCTTCCGGGGTAGTCGACGTTTTCGGTTCGGATTCCGCGGTGACGGGCTCAGCGGCAGACACTTCGGAGGCCGTGCTTGCTTCCGGAGCCGTAGTTGAAGGAGTGCCATCTAGTGAAGGACTATCTTCCACCGAACTCTGTTGCCTGGCTGACAGCGAAGCAGCGTCTTGAGGCCATTGAGGCGCATTTTCCTGCTTCGACTCACGCGGCAACGCTGCCGTCGCATTATGCCTTACTTGCAGTCTCGCTACTACATTGCACGGGCACCGTCAGCTCCCATATAGTACAGATGCCTACGAGAAAGACTCACTGAACGACGCAGCGAACAAGCTGCGGCGACACGGAGGAGCCGACGCAGTTGCACGTCGGCATACCCGAGCCAAAAAGAGTGTTGAGCTCGCCATGCCTCGCGTCGAGCAAAGGCGAAGGCAGCAGGTGGCAAGCGTGAAGACGCGAGTGTCGGCTCAGAAACGCGCAAAAATTCCCGGCGACGTCGGAGTACCAATCGGACCTTGTATGTAGTACCACGTGCGGTACTAGCCAAATGAACTCGGCAAATGAGCTGCTCACTCTTGCTTTCCATAGCGTATACTACTTGTCTTGCCTTCCTCTCTGCACGTTGCGCTCGCTCCATTGGCGCCATCCGTCGATGATGTCGATCTCAACATCATTTTTTTCCCTCCTCTCTTCCTCTTCGGCTTGGACGAAGCGCCGGCGGCTCATGGTCTCGCCGAACGTAAGTAGTATCCCGACATAGCGCACTCCACCGGCCCTGTCGGCACAGGCAACCCTACGTGGCCTCGCATACTGTACTCTCCGCATATAAAGTATCTTCGAGAAATCTGCCTGGGTATGTTACTATGTGTGTGATAGGCATCTCCAAACAAGTAGTGGGTGCCGCCCCGAACCCGAGCCGAAGTTCCCGTAACGGTGCTTACCGACCTAAGTATTATTTATCGACGCCACCGGCCGCGCATATATCGCTCTCTCTTCGCCCTTCTTGCGTCGGCACAAGAGCTCGGGCGAAGCCGCGTCTTTCTCGCTTTCGTTCAAGCAGCAGAGCGGGAGCGCCTCCATTTTTTTCCCGTGCATCTTCGAGATGTCCCCGGTCCACTCGCGGCGGGATTTTTTTTCTATAAGAAAAAACCCTTTCTCTCAATTCCAGCGAAGGGTGATATATAGGAGAATCGATTATAACGATACACTCTAACTTATGTACACGATAATGATGAAGATCGAAATGCTTGAATGGGTAGTGTACAGTGCTGTGCCGCGCCATGAACGTGTTTGGGGAGGGGAGGGGCAGGATATCCGAACGGTTGGTAAAAAATTAACACGAGGACGGGGCAAGGTGGAGAGAGAGAATGGAAGTCGTGGAGATCGTGGCGAGAGAGGAAAGAGAGAAGATGCTATTGTGAAGAGACGGAGGCTGCCGGGGGAACAGCGAGCGTATATGCCCAGAAGTGGGAGGCGTGTGTGTGTACACGCGCACGTAGCATTGCTCCCCCTTCCGGCCTGCCCCCCCCCCCTCCTCTTCTCACGACCGCGTCGAGGTCGAATACCGGCTCACGCGTCGACCGCTGCCGCCCGCGGCCGCGCTCCCCCTCCTCTGCCCGGCGTAAGCGTACTGCTGCTGCTGCTCGACGTTGTTGTTCGCCATGGTGAGCTTGGCGAGGCGCGCGACGCAGCCGCGGGCGAGGAAGGCCTGGCCCGAGTCGGGCTCGTACCGGACGAGGTCGGCGGGGACGGGCTCGAGCACGCGCAGCTCGGACGGGTGCACGGCGCGGGACGCGGCGAAGCGGAAGATGGTGCCGAATTCGTGGCGGAAGAGCGAGAGGGAGGGCGGGGTGAGCGGGGAGAGGAGCGAGGCGTCGTCGGGTACTGGAGGGGGGGGGAGATTGGGATACGGTCAGTACGGTGGATGTGAAAAAAAAGCTCGGGGAGGGGGCTTTTTTGGGGGGCTTTTTTGGAACTTACGTTGGACGAGGCAGACGGTGCCTTTGACGCGGGCGAAGGCGAAGCGGTCGCCGGTGGGTGGCGGGGTGCTGGAGGGCGAGAAGGGCGGGGAGGGCGCCGAGGCGGCGGCGAAGGGCGACGGGGAGGGGGACGCAGGGTAAGACGTGGTGTAGGAGGACATTGATGACGATGAGGTCAGAGAAGACGATGTCGTCGGTGGGAGGAGGTTGTAGATGGCTTCGGACCGAGGGTAGATCGTGGTTTTATACGATGTGCTGGGTAAGCGCGGACAATGCGACGACGACCGTATTGGCTTTGCGCGGGACAGGCACACGAGGCCACGGAGCGGAAGCCACGGGAGAGGAGGGGGGGGGGCGTGTGCGCTAAGTATATGTGCGCAGGAGCGGCCCCGGGCTTTAAGGGCTTGAGAAGGTGTGGATCCAGGACCGAATTGTGGGCACGAGGGTTTGGGCGTGCAGCGCTTCTTATTTCGACCCGGGCTTCTTCTCAGTTCTGCTGTTCAATCGGGGATGTGCGCGATGGGAGTGGGCGGAGGCGCAGCGGGAATCGGGAGGCCAAAAACAGCGTTTGTTATAGATAGCCCCCTCTCCGTGCCCGCCGTCGTCGCGCCAATGGGATCTCGAGTGACCGCCGGACTGGACTGACCTGACCGAGCGAGACAAGAGGGAGGTGAGTCAGGCCCGAACAGGGGTGGGTGGGGAATGTGCGGCCATGGGCCCGGGGCCTCGAGCGTCCGTCCCCGTTGACGAGATGAGAGAGGATCACTTGCCGCCGGTCCGATGGAGGACGGATGGCGTAGCGTTTGCTGATGCGTGACATCACCCCCGACGTCTCGCGCGACTATCGCTTCTGGTCCCCAATCCAGCGTCGTTTTTTTTTCTCTCTGCTCAACAGATCTTCTGCTCTTACGTTCTCGTTTCACGCGATGACGAGGGGCGCATCACTCGTCCTGTGTCGTCTCAGACAACAAAAGCCTTATCGCACCGCTCTCCAGTGGCCCAGCGGCGCTTTGACTACTGCCACCCCCATCCATCGTTTCCATAGCCATCCATCCATCCCATCCGTTTTTACTCAGACTGCGCCTCCCAGCATGCCGCTGCGCACTTAGACCGTTCCATATCCGGCCACCCTCGGCCGGCTACTCATGCGCTCGTGACTGGTAGGCGCTTTCTTCTTCATCTTCCTTCCTCGATCCTGGATCGGCGATTTCGGATCCGCCGGCCTGAGTTGCCGGGGATGAGCCTGGCCGACTCAGCCTCTATCAGCCTCCGCCTCCGCCTCAACTCATGATTACAGATGTGCCGGGTTTCGAGCGCCGAACGTGCCACGATGGGGGGGGATGGCTTCGGCTTTTGGGCTACATATAGCCAGCCAAGCAAGAGCAAGCAGCTTTACCACCGCAGACTGTGGATATCGCCCTTATCTCTCTCTCTCCTCACGCGGAAGATCCGGGGACACACATAATCGATGGTGGTTATCGTCCCTGCCTGCATCCCAACGAGCGCGAAAAAGCGCCCAGCGTCGGAGGCTTCGTGCGCATGAATCAGAACAGATTCCGTGCTATAAAAAAATTGAGTTCGTCATCGAAAGCCTTGTTCAGCTCGTTCAGCTTGAAGCCTTCCTATGCCGACGGACCAGGGGCCCGCTCGGAGCTCGGAGGCTTATGTAGAGGGCGGATTCTCGAGCTCCTCTTGCGAGGTTTCTACGAGAGCCCTCGTACGGCACGAGCACGGGAGCTGTATGTGTATACTTACTCGGAGAGCAGTGCATATATGCTCAAGCTCTTGGGTTTATGGTCGATTCTTCCCCGCACCCTAGTTACTGCATCGTGCTCTCGAGCTCTATGTCATAGGGAATGCAGTACGACGGGGCGTGCTTATCGTACACAATGATCACACCATACTTACAACAGAGTACGTTACCTGAGTCAGGGCCGACGACCACCGTTAGGCAACCTTGCTTGCTTAAACACAAGGTCTTCTCCCCGCTCCGAGCCCGCCCGCGAGCTCGCAGGCACGGCGGGATCGTTTGGGGTGTATACTCACTCACAAATACACATGCACCGCAAACCTCTGAGTACTAATTATAAGTATAACTGTCGCTTTCTCCGTCTACGGACTTTGACGAGGCGCGGGGGTTCGACCTGCGCAGGACGCGGACACTGATAAAAGGGAAGGGGCCCGGGCGGTTATATACGCGAGCAATGAGCGTGAGGGAACAAAAGGGGTTTTTCAGTGTCCTTCCTGAGTATTAGCACTCGCATCTCAGCTGATCCGGGTTTCTGGGCTGCACTACCGAATCAAGCGCGGACATCCGTCGTTATTCATGTTCTGAAAACGCCGCTTGTCCGCCCGTTGCTTGATCCCCCATGCAAATCGAGTCCAGATGTCTTGGCTATGTCGAGTTGACGGATCATGCAGAAAGCATCATTCTGTATGCAAACCCGTCAAAGGAAGTCGATAACAAGCGCGTCCCCCGTCCCAGTTAGATCTTCCTCCAACACGTCCCACACGCTCGGCCCGCGCGGTTCGAAACCCAAGTACTTCCGGGCGCGGTCGGCCCTGCTCCGCGAGTTGGCCGCGTATTCGTACAGGCCCAACGCGGGGACGCCGAACGCGCGCGAGCATCTTGTCAATCGCGGCCAAGGGGAGTGGGACCGATTCAGCGCTGGGGATGAGACCTTGCGAATGTAGGATCTTGCCTGCTGCGCGCGCGCGCGATGGCGAGCTGGGATATTTTCGGAGGTGGAGGCGATGTAGCAGCCCTGGAGGAAAATCGTTGGGAAAAGGGTTCAGACAGCGGGTTCGAAGAGACGCGAGCGGAAAAAACGGGCCTTGCCTTCTCTGCCCCAGACGGTGGTGCCCCCGCCCGCTGCAGCCGCCGCCTCGGGCGAGCTTGACGAAGATCTGCACAACGTCGTCGACGTGCACCCAGCTTCGCGTGTTCGTGCCTTCTCCGGTATAGAACGCGGCGCCGACCCGCAGTATGTCGTCGCGAAAGACGGGGAGGAACATGCTTTGCTTTTTCTCCCCGGGCCGTAGCCGGGCCCGTACACCTCCGACGGCGCGACGATCGCGCATTTCGGTGCCTCGCCGTGCGCGGAGGCGATGGACTGGATGAGCGAGTCGACGACGCGGTGCCACCGAGTGGCGGGGAAGGAGGTGATGGTGTCGACGTCGGCGATGTCTGACCAGATCTTGGGGTTGAGCGTACCGAGGTGGGTGCCCTCGACTTGGTCGCCGAGCGTTCCGGTTCCGGAAAGGTGGATGTAGAAGGCCGGGGATGAGGCGGAGGCGCGGCGCTGGAGTCCGGTAAGGAGCGCGCGGACGCAGGGTTCGTGGTCCGAGTTGCCACAATCTGCGCGCGCGCGGGTTAGTTACTCACTATGAAAAGGGGCCTGAACGACGGGCGGGACGTACGAATGACGATGTCGGCTTGAGAGGCGGCCTCCTCGAGGATGGCGGCGCTCCCGAAGCCGCCTTGGACGACGCGAACGTGCGGGTACGTGTCAGTGAAGCGTGCCGAGGGATTGCGGAGAAGAGCGGAGAAAGACCACTCCGGGTGCGCATTGACGAGCGCTTCAAGAACAGACCCGCCGATGTAGCCGGTCGCGCCGGTACTGTGTACATACGTACGCTGTGAGTCTGGAACCTCGGACGAATGGCAACACGGGACGCACAGGAAGACATGGGACGCCATATCGGAGTAGACACATGAGAGACAGGCCGGTACGAGGCGCTTCAGACTCTATGTATGCATCTCTCGCACCCACGAAATCTACAATCCCAATCGACCGTGCGCTGGTTTACATCCTATTGGGGCAACATGTGATAGTGGTCTACGCCGAAGGCGATTTGTGTTGTGTGCAATCATCAAAAGCATGCACAGGGCCAATAGTTGCATATACATGCCGCTCGTTGTTCAGCAATGCAAGGTCGTGGACGTTCGTCGGTCGTGGCTGAAGGGAGGATATATCCGGTAATTGCCGACGCTTTCCCTTTTGACGTCAGTTTAGTCAATCTGATCAAGTCAGTGCTGGCTGACCGTGGATCTCTGGCCTCTTGCGTTCAACTTGTAACTTGCTTGTGCTTTGCTCGTTTCTGTCCCCGAGACGTCTACGACCTTAACACGTATATCGATACGATAACAAATTTGGACTCTGATCGACCATCGCACATAACATATACCGGGCCCGCGGCCGAGTCAGCCCCTGCGCCTTACAACCACCTCTCGGGATCAAACATCCTCTGATCATCCTTCCCCCAGCCATCCAATCGACTGACTCCATTCACCTCCGTCTTCCATGGTCAAAAGCCACGGCAAATCCTCCGCGACCTCCGGCACGCGCAAAAAGCACGCGCGCAAAGCCGCCGGCGAGCCACTTCCCCTACCGCTGCCCAAAGACGGCGGCAAGGGGAGCAAGAAGGACAAGAAAAAGAACGCAAAGAACGAGCCGCGGAAGAAGGTCTACATCCCGCCCGTGAAGCCCGCACCGGTGCGCCCGGATCCGCTCGACACCCTCGGGCTAGCGCACACGCTCCCGCCGGAGCTGCTCGTCCCGCTGCGCAATCTCCGGAAGAAGGACGCGGTGACGAAAGCGCGCGCTCTTGAGGACCTGCAAGCAAACTGGGTTGATGTCGCGCGCAAGCGGGCGGAGGTGACGGCGGTGATCGTCGAGATGTTGCCCGTGTGGGTACGCTACCCTGTTCTCTCTACCCATCTTCACCCGTATATCCGAGCTCTAACGAGCACCCGCACAGCTGCATCACCTGCCGTCACTGCTCACCAGCGCCTCACGCCGCGTCCGCCTCCTCGCGGCCGGCCTGCACGACTCGCTCCTCCGCCTCCTGCCCGCGTTCGACGCGCTCCTGTTCTTCTTCCGCGAGGCCGCCGCGCCGGATCATCTCGAGGCGCTCCTCGGCACCTGGTGCGCCGCAACGCACGACGTGGACCGACAGGTCGCGCTGCAGGCCTCCCGCTCTTGGGCACACTTCGTCAGCGCATCTTCCTCTGCGGCTAAGCATTTGGACGACGGGGTATATGCGTCTCTTCTCGCGTGGACCACGAAGGTGGTGCTCGATCCGGGCGGCGCGCACGCGTACCTGAATCCGGTCTCGTCCGTCGCCCCGTCTGAGGCGGCTAGCCCGGTGCCGCAGAGGGGCCAGCAGCAGAGGAGAGGACAGCAAGGATCCGGGAGAGCGGCGCAGCAGCGCCCTGGGACATTGACCCCCACTACTGAAGGCACAAGAGCGAAGAGCGAGGCGGATGAGGAGAAGGGGCAGGATCGGGACGCGAGGTTGCGCATCGGTGGGCTCGGCGCGCTGGGATGGATCATCAGTACGCTCGCATGCAATCTCGCTGGTGTTCAGAATTTATTGAACTCACTCCGCGTGATAGATTCGAGGCTGACGGTGGCACCTGCGCCGGAGAGGCTTCCCGAGCCTGATGTGCAGGACTCAGACCACGAGGGCAAGGATGACCCGGTGAAACTCGCCCACGACCTGCTTTCCAATCCTGCATTGTGGACGGCCCTCTATCACGGCCGGCAGTCACCCGCTCTGGACGACCATGAAGACCTCGTCGCGTTCGGCTTCGAGCAACCAGGCGTCAGGCGGGCCGCTTGGGGCTTGCTCAGCGTTCTCCTCCGGTCGGCTAAGCGTACGTATTCGTCCCTCTGGTTAGAAAGCGGCGAACTCATGCAATGTATCACGCTGCAGATGAGGTGGAGTCGTTGCTGCCTGTGCTCAGCCCCGCCCTCTTGCGAGCCGCGTGGACTGAGCCGGACGCGTTGGTCAGGGCTGCGATGTGGGAGCCGTTGCTCGTCTTCCTGCAAGGTATGCATTGTGTACATCTATCTCGACCTAGCTGTAGCTGAGGCGCTTCGCATGTAGGCTTCCCGCAGGCGTGGCTCATCGAAGCCTCACCGGCCCCTCGTCAGCACGATGTTAATTCTGACTCGGGTTCTGATGATGACGACGGCGAGCATGACGTCGCGGAGACAAATGGGCACACCCCTTCTCCGTCCCCGTCGCGCACGTGGATCGAGTTCCTCCAGTTCCTTGCCCTCGGCTGTTCCGGCTCGCCTTTACAGGGCTACCCTGTCGTTGTCCTTGTGCTCTCCACAATCCCGCCGAGCGTGAGTTCTCCATCCGAGCCTTCTATATAACAAATACGCTGATGCTGCGCGTTGCCAGCTCCTCCGCGCCGAACACGACGGGAACGAGCCCTTTTCCGAGCTCTTCACGGCCTTCTGGGCTGCACTCGACGGGGGGGCGCTCGTGGGCGCGGAACGACAGAAATCATCCGCCGCGTTCATCGGCGCGCTGCTGGAGTGCATCCTCTTCCTCTCCCGACGCGCACTGCGGGATGGTGAGGGCAACTCCGCCGAGTTGGCTAGGGCTCTGGTGGCGACACAGTTTGGCGCGCTGGGACGGGCGCTGGTGCAGGAGAGGCGGTTGAGGGTGGATCTGGGCGCAGTCGGGCAGACGGTGGGCAAGGCATTGGTGGCATTGGATCATATGCACCACGGTGAGAGAGAGGATGGCGGTGTTCGTGGTCAGACCAAGTTTGCTGATGGCTGTTAGCGCAGATCTCTTTGACGTGGCGTGGCAGGCGGCGATTGTCGAACCGGGTCGGGCGAGCGAGCCTGGGACGGTATTCCCGATCTTGCTTCCGTTGCTGCTTTCGTTCAGGGAGCAGTTCGAGGAGGAGGCACCACCCATGGCGGCGTGCCGCGACGCGGTGCTGCAGCTGTCGGGTGTTGTACTCGGTAGGCTCATGGCAGATGGTGCAGGAGATACTGTCGCGGACATCATTGCGCTAGAAGAGCTGGTGCGCCTGTTCGCGGACGTGCTGTTTGCAGAGTCTGACTCCGCTTCTGTGAGTTCGATTCCGGCAATATATCAATGCTTTCCCATAAACTCATATATGTTAACCGTTCGACGAGAAGGTGGACAACGCCGTGCAGAGTGCGGTAGCGAACCGCCTCGCGGCGTCCGTGCAGCTGCTCCTCACCTACATCGCACGACGGAACGACGCCGCGGCGGTGTCGAAGGCGTGGAACGCGGCGTTATCATCGATGGTCTCCTACCCACAGGCGTCCTCCGCGGCGCTCTTTCCGCTGTTTGACGCGGCACGGTCGGGGAAGCTGCCGTCGTGGCTCAAACCTGAAGGCGTGGGGTTGGCTTCAGTTGTCGAATCAGCGCTATCACAGGCGCTGGAGGGTTCGGAGGCAGATCTGGACTTCCTGAAACTGTTGCTGGTGGCCCCTGGTGAGTGGACGCGTGCGCATGGGGCAAAACCTCTCTGATGATTGGGCATCCATCAGATCACTTCGTACCCGAGGACGCATGCGCTACCTTCGTGGACGCCATTTCAGCAACCTTTGTGGAACGATACGAACGCGCTCTGCACGGTACCAAGACCGATTCATCGGAGCTGAGTGCACCGTTGCAGCTGTTGCACCCTTTGCTCGTCAGCAAACCGAAACTGGTTTCGATTGCTCACGTAACCTTGTTTCGGGATGTGTTCGTGGTTGGGCACGTGCTGTCCGGGTTGGACGAGGCGAAGCACGCGCGCGAGTTGTGGGGGTGCTGGTGGAGCAGGGCCTCAGAAGACAGGAAGGTGGAGACTGTACGGTCCATCAAGGACGCTATGCATGCCCTTCTCGTTGATACGGCATCCACAGTCCGGTAGGCTCGTTCATCATACGCAGGACGCCGCTCATACTCTTCCAGGGCTCAAGAAGTCCTGTTAGCGGCTCAGACGCATGCGCAGACGCTGAACCTGCGGCTCTTCGAAGACATATTCCCGTCTCGCGCCGAACTCGACGCAATGTTGGGCCGCCTGCCTGCGACCCCGTTGCACGTGAGCCTTGGCGTCGTCGATCCCTTGGTACCTCCGAATATCGATGAGGAAGAAGACTCCATCTACTCCCCTTCCTTCGATGTGGACGGTTTCTCGTCCTATGCGCGGGTCGTCTCGGCCTTGCTGGATGCCATGTCTGAGGACCGGCAGCTTGCACGTACGAACATTTGGGCGCTCCGGCACCTGCTCGCTCTCGGGGTGTATGCGCACGACGCTCTAAGGGTCCCTGGTGGACGGAGCCCAGTATTCTCCTCTACCATCTCGTCTATCACCATCCAGAACCTGGCGACGGGGATATCGCGGGTTTCAGCATACCTCCTCTCGCCGGTGACCTCTGACGACGCTGCATTTGCGAACATCCTGGGCACCCTCTTGGACACGAAACCTTCTCCCGCGTTGCAGCCCGCCGAGGCTTTCGTCGTGGACCTTATCAAGCACTCGCAAGACCATGATAACCCGCGGACGTCCCGTATTGTGTACCCAGTCGTACACCACGTTCTCAGCGGCTCTGATAAGCCCCACGCGGAGCAATGGGTGCAGATATTACGCAAGATGGAAAAGCAAGGTTCGCACCCTTCAGGTCCACTGTTGCTTATATGAGCTCACATCCACGCGCACAGCTCCGGAATCTTCGCTAGCTATCCTCTTTGCTGTTGCTCAATCGGGACTAGAACCTACTCGCCTAGACCGATACCGCAACGAGCTAGCGGCTGAGCTCACTGGCGTGCCGCCCTCTAAAGCCGCCACGACGGGCCTGAAATATCTTCGCCGACTTCATATGACGATTCCGAACCCCGACTCAGATGTGGCCTTCCTTCCTCAACCGCGTGCCGTTAACCTCGTGAAGTCGTTCCAAAAGTGGGTAGCCGACGCTGATGATGACGACGAAGACGGCGTGAACGAGGAGGTGGAAAGCGTAATGACGGACATCTTCGTCGCTCTCGCCCCGATCTTGCAAAATGTGTCCGGATCTCATTGGGACTTCATGTTCGACGTTGTCGAGAACAATCTTGAGGTACGTCGCGGCGCAGAACCTTCGTCAACAGGCGAATGACTTGATATCCCCGTAGAACTGTTCCTTGGCTGAGGAAGAGACGCTAACGCTGCTCGCCAGAAGTCTTAGATTTGTCTCGACCATACTAGAGCTCGTTACTAGCAATAAGCAACTGAAAGCGGTGTGGAATGAGCGACAATCGGCTGTGCTTGTCCTCATACGCAACATAGTAGCCATGCGCTTGCGTGAGTGTTCTATACGTAACATCTGTTTTCTGTGTTGACATAATATACGCAGCTGCTGACAAGAAAGCTTCCGTGCCCCTCTCGACGTGTCGTGAACTGGCGCTTTCCATTGTCCAGGACTTACCGGCGTCTCTCATCCAGCAGGATACGTTGCAGTCGGTAAGCTTCCAGTCCCCCATTTGGGTGCATCGCTAAGGTCAAGCTCTATAGATGTGTCATCTAGTTATGGATCCGTCTACGGATGTCCAGAAGATGTCCTATCAACTACTTCAAGAAGCCGCTCGGAAGCGAACAGAGTTCCTAGTAGTCGAGGCTGGCGTCGATACCGAAGGGACGTTCAAAGCAGAGCTTCCTCAGGAACTGGTCATTCTCCTCTCGAGCGTCGCAGGAGGCGATGGTCCTGAGGAGCAGGTACGTCCGGTATTCTCTATCCGTATTGCGATTCCTGAATCACCAGCAGAATCGCTTTGGCTATCTTCTAGCTTGGATGCTTGCGTTCGATTTGTTCACGGATGCCTCGCTGAGAGTCAAGGCGGGCTACATCGAGCAGTTGCGCGATCTTGACATCGTCGCATCACGGCTTCTCCCTGCGATCTTTGAACTGCTTCAGGTATACTCTGGCCTCCCGAAAGCTTTCAAACTTGGGATGTGGGCGGTCGAGAACTACTACGTCGATCGTGAGTCATAGTTTCACGTGGCGATTGCATCTTCACTCACTCGTTTGGCAAAGTGTACGACCCCAGCACACATATCAGCCTGCAGGTCCTTGCCGCTCACGTCTACTACCGGGCACTACTGGTTGTGCCTTCTCTGATCCGCACCTGGGTCAACGACTGCAAGGACCGGACGCTTTCGCGCACGATCACAACATATACATCGACGCACTTCTCGCCGGTACTCCTCGAAGCGGAGCTTACGCATATCAAGGAGTCGAAAGCGGCCTCGGACATCGTCGACGAGAACCTCACGATCAAGGTCGCCAAGTCCGTCAACGAGGTGACGGCCTCGTTCGCTGTGGACGAGCACCAGCTCGAGCTTACACTGAAGCTGCCGTCCGACTGGCCTCTGCATGGCGTCGAGATCAAAGACGAGAAGAGAATCGGCGTATTGGAAGACCGGTGGAGATCGTGGGTGTTAGGCGTGTTCGCGCTCTCACAGGTATGTTCCATTGATCTGTCGCTGGAAGGCATCTGCTCATTGGTGTGTAAAGAACGGTAGCATCATAGAGGGCCTCAGGCTCTTCATGAAGAACGTCGCCGGTCATTTCGAAGGGCAGGTCGAATGCGCTATCTGCTATTCGTATGTGTGCTTTTGCACTGCACGGGACGGGGTCGCTGACGATGCTTCATAGTGTCATTAGTCCTCTGGACGGCAGTCTACCCAGGAAGCCGTGCAGGACATGCAAAAACAAATTTCATGCAGGATGTCTATACAAGGTGATGGTCGCGAAAGTGTCAACCGGGGTGATTGCAGCTCACGTTGTTTGCAGTGGTTTAATTCGAGCCACTCATCAAGCTGCCCGCTCTGCCGGTCCGATATATTCTAACCGAATAAAACGCACAGGAAACGCAAATGTAGCATCAGCATCGTGTAGCCCTACTCTTATTCTCTTTACACCTCATCACTCTCGACTGCAAATGGAAAGGTCTTCGCGTGAGTTCATTGAGCTGGTGGTAAACATAGTCGTAGTCCACGTCGCGACACGGTACCGCAACTCACCCTGTCCCCATTCCACTAGCTACACCGCGCACACAACGACGCGTGCTAACTCCCCGATCATGCTACGGAGTATCTCTACGCTCCGGGCACCGCAGTTAGGTGGCAAAGAGATCTCCAATTCCCTGTTTGTTGCTGCCGCTCTCCGTGACAGAAAATCGGATAAGTCGCCGGAAAGGTCATCGCATATATTGCGAGTAAAGTTCCTTATGTGTATCCGGCGTAATGCTGGGAGCAACCCGTGATCCTCGGTGTCTTCCCCGTGCGACGAGGCGAGGAGCGGAAAGACGGCTCGGCAGTCGACGTAATTTGCAAGTCGTATTTCGGACGCCGCTTTGCAAGCTCCCATGACTTGCTCCAGGAAGGCCGGGTCGTGCACCAGATAGGCCTCCACTTGCAGGATTTTGACGTTCTCCATGGGTAGTTCACGGAGGAGATGGACCAGGCATTCGTGAGGGGCTGTCAGACGGAGTGATGGTTGGGGATCGTAAGCCCCTTCCAGTCGCGACGAGCACGTCAAACTCCATTCCCAGGTGGATGAGTGATAATCCATACGTGTAAAACTGCCGGGGTGAAAGACGCGATGCTCCCCGAGGAAGTTCATCCACGGGGAGTGTGGCCAGGAGGCAATGTCCCATTGGTCAAAGTTGCAAAGTCCAAGGATAACGGACGCGGTAGGAGGAACTTTGAGACGGCATAGAAGGTTGCAAACGAACTGTCCGGGGCCATATAGGTTTAATGCAGTTAACCGAGGGAGCGTGATAGCACTGTCGCTAGTCCTGCCGATGTCCAAAGTTGGGGGCATGTGTAATGCTCCGGACCGTATGAAGAGTCTTTCTAGCCCAGGCATGGCTTGTAAAGCCCGGTAGAGCTGTTCTCCGGTTGGAAGAGAATCTGCGGGTACGCCTGACAATTCGAATCTCCTTAGGTTTCCGACGAGTGATGTGCAACGCATCATATCCCAGCTGAATGAGACATGAAAGAGATATAGTCTCTGTAGGCGAGGCGCACACAATCCCAAGAAGTCATCGGGTAGACGCGGAAGACGCGCTTTCTGGCAACCGAGGATGAGTTCTGCGAGCAGCGGAGCAGGACGTGCTAGCTGTCTGACATCTGCGGCAGATAGGATCGAGTCCAATGAGAGATACCTAGTGTGGCCGATATGAGGGAGGACCATGGAGATTACAGCCGGAGCATAATCCGTGTTTGGTCCAACGAATATGGTCGCCGGGGCGTTCTTCGAACGCGCCAAGAACATCTGTATCATCTCCAGCGAGACGTCGTTTGGGATGCCGGACCATATTTCGGGCGTGTCGAGGGCGACCTGTCGCCAGTATCGACACACTCCGGTGAAGGCGAGGTCTTCGTCGGGTAGCAGGCCATCACGAGGTAAGTCGGGCATAACATATCTAAGGATCAAGGAGAGGACCTCAGGAGGGAGCTGATTGACAGGCGCTGACCGGTTGTGCCACTCCGCAGAAAGATGTTGCCCTTCAGAGACGGTAGACTCGTAACAACGAACTCTGCCAAGTTGACGGAGGCAATGTTAGCAGAGCAGTTGAGTACGCGAGACAGATTGTAAACGTACTCTGCTCCGGAGGACATATCGGAATCCACGCGCAGGTGTCGGACCGGGTCAAGGTGTGATTTCGTTGTGGTCAGGCTCTTTCAACGGCCGGTCCACCGGTCCGGCGATCTCCGGTATCTCCCCGTCTGACCGGCCGTTTGTCCGTCAAGCTCACTCGCCTGTAGGACGATGTCCGCCTTCTTAAACGCTAGCATTACCCTCGAACAAGCTCATCCGCAATGTCCACTGGGTCACCATCGTCTCTTGCGTCCACGAAGCGTCGTCTAACGCATGTCGCTTCTCACCTCAGAACACCCAAGCTGAAGGTCGTAGTATGCCGGGACTTGGGACCCAATGTTATGCCTCTCCTGCGGGACAGGCCGGAGATAGATGTGAAGCACGTTCTTAAGCTGGACCGTCGTGTGTTTTGTCTGATCAATGTAATGGTAGCTGGTCGTCTGGCCGGAAGACAAGCCTTGCGAACGCCCCTGGCTGTTAGAGAACATCCGAGGGGCAGCTGGGGTCTTGGTGATGCTTTCGGACAAGGTACGTCTCGCGTCCTGTTCTCGATAAGGTTGTTCGACCTGTATGCATTCATGATGCAGGTCAACCAGGAACTCATAGATGCAGGTATGTTTGTACATGCAGCGGATGCGCGAAATTCGAACGCGATCGATTCTAGCCGGACCCAGCTTGAAAGTTGCCTCGACGATGTCAGTCGGTTATGGTGAGCCCTCAATATTCAAAGTTTAACATGGCATTGGACTAAGCGACCCGCAGAGCACGTCGATCTCCCGGTCGTCGCGAAAGCCGGCGTTCGAATCGGTTACACGCCCGACGTTCTGACCGACGCCGTGGCGGACCTGACCGTGATGCTAGCCCTGATGGCAAGCCGCAACGGCGGCGAGGCTGTTTCGCTCGTTCAATCCGGTGGTGTACGTCCCTCATCCCTCATCCCCCATCCCCCATCCCATAAAGGACACCTCCACCCTCCCCCGCCGCCTTCCACTCACGCGTTTCGCTCTTCTAGTGGCCAAGTTTCTCATGGTCGCCTTTCGGCCTGTGCGGCCCGCAGATCAGCGCGTCGCCCTTCTCCCCGAAGCGCACCGTCGGCTTCCTCGGCTTCGGGCGGATAGCGCAGGCGACGCTCGCGCGCCTCGTCCCCTTCGGCATCACGCACTGCCTCTTCACGTCCAACCCGTCCTCAACGGCCGACCCGGCGTTCGAGGCCGCGATCGCGGCGAAGTACGGCGTGCAGGTGCGCCGGGTGGGGCTGGACGAGCTCGCGCGGGAGAGCGACGTGCTGGTGGTGCTCGCGCCGGGCGGGGCGAGGACGCATCACGTGGTGAACGAGGAGGTGCTGCGGAAGATGAAGAAGACGGCGGTGCTGGTGAACACCGCGCGCGGGACGGTGGTGGACTCGGACGCACTCGCGAGGGCGCTGAGGGAGGGGTGGATATGGGGCGCGGGGCTGGACGTGGTCGAGGGCGAGCCGAACGTGACGGCGGACCATCCGCTCGTGAAGGAGCCGAGGGCGGTCGTGCTCCCGCATCTCGGGAGCGCGACGATCGAGACGAGATTGGGTATGGCGACGCTGGCGGCGAAGAATTTGCTCGGTGGTTTGGGTTTGGAAGAGGGCATGCCCGCTGAGCTGGACGTAAAAAGTCGCGCGTAGATCGTAGCAATCCCGCTGCTCGTGGCGTATAGAGGTATCACTAGACGTACAAAGATGGTATGTCAGAAGACAGATCCACGTCCGATCGTATGCATCAAGCCCGCACCTTATTGTCGAGTCCTACATCTGCGCCAGCTTATCCACCAAATCCTCCATGACATCTTTAGGCTTCTGCGGAGGCGACGAGGGCCCATCAGACTTCTGTAGGCTGATGGGCACGAGCGGTGCGGCTTCTGGCTCGAAGCCCGGCGCGACTTTGCGCAGAGCCTCGCGTTTGCGGCGTTCACGTTCGTCGTGGCGGGCCTGGAGGTACGCCTCTCTACGTGCTGCGTGCGCCGCTAGCGTGGCGCGCCGTGACGACTCCATGGTGAGGACATGCGGTTCTAGGGTAAACGGGTAGACGAACTATAGTCGATGGGATGATCAGGACCATGAGCGTTGCGTATAAGCGTGCCGACTTACGTATGCTGTGACCGAATCGGGTAGAGGATGGATGTCGGGAGGAAGGGTGACCTATGGGGTATCAGGTCAGTATGTTCCGTGACGATATAGCTCTGCGTTATATATCACATACTGGACGAGGAACTCGGACACTAGGAGACTTGATCAAGGGTACGCTAGCTGCAGCGGCGTACTGGGATTTGGCTGCGCCATGGATCAGCGGTTGTGCAATGGGCCCAAACAGAGCATACATTGGTCAGACATTCCTGATAGGAAGGGGAGCGTAGTGGCTGGTGATGCAGGTAGCCAGAGCGCAACGTGAGCTGGTGGAGGACAAGGAATAAACCTAAAAGGTTTCCTTCCGCCACCACCACGGTGCGATCATCACCTGCTCGAACTTCCAACAAACTCGCAATGCGCTGGGGGTATCTGTTCTACACACGTCAATGTTGCGACTCTGTGTTCCCCTCTGGTGGCGCTCTCGCTATTGACTCCGGCAGCATCACGATATGTTTTGTGCGAACCGTCGAGACAGCCTCGCTCCAGCTGATGCCTCAAAACTCCAGAACGCAGAGGCCTACGATCGTGACATACTTCGGCTCGGTTCTTGTACCTCAGTAGACCACCAATAGGAACAGAGCGTACTCGGAGTCTTCAAGCGTATGCAACCGCGAGTATTGCCGACTACGCTGAGTATGGGCGTTTTATCCGGCACGACCACCCACTGGCCGAGACACTTTCGCTGGGTTCCTGCACTCGTCTTGCTCCCGACACAGAAAGAGGTAACAAATGCTGATCTATCGGACCGTAAACACAAAGCGAACTGGAGTCGCAAGCTATCCTTACTAAGACTGAGAAGGTCTACCCAAATGGATGTGATACAAAGTGCCAACACGGAACCTAGTCGCGTAAGTACGAGATGATAAATGACGAAGATAAAGATACGAATACTGCAGCGAGAGAAGTCCGTGGACCATTTTATGGTCCGGTTGCGAGAGGATCCGCTATAGCTACACGGGAGAATATACAATGCTGAAGAGACACGGTGTTCCGGATGAATCGAGACCGGGTGATGCAAAGGGTATCGGAAGCGCGAAACTCCTCTAGTAGCCAACCGTCGACCACGACATCTGGTCCCAGTTCATGGAGGGGTCCAGAGTAAGGTCGGCCATGTCCTTGGCGAGGAAGGAAGGCGTCATCTGGACGTTGCTGAAGTCTGGGGAAAGCGAGCCGGGAGGGGTGATGGGCCCAGGGGAGTCCATCGACGCGGGGGAGCCGTACTCGTCAGAGACCGCGTACGGGGACGCGGACCCAGAGGAGGGGTAGAAGGCGTCCGGCGGGAGTTCGCTGTGAGTCTGGTATGGGGAGATGTAGTAGGTGGCGTCGAACTCGTTCGTGAAGAGTGGGTTTGGGTACTGAGCAGGGGTGAAGGGGGAGAACTCCAAACCGAGGCCGCTGTTGAAGCCGGGATAGGTGAAGTCGTACGTGAACGTCGACTGTGCGCGCGATTGGGCTGTGTTGTTGCCGCTGCTGCCGGGCGTGGGGGCGAACACGCCTCCGTTGAAGCTATGAACGGGGATGCCGGAGTCGAAGGGGCTGGAAAGGAAGTAGGAGCTTTCCGATGGCAGCTGCATCGTCTGGCTAGCGCTGGTGCTTGCGACGGGCTCGAGGCCAAAGACGGGGAGCTGGAAGTTCTCCAGGTTGAGAGGTGGGATCGTGAACTCGACATTGACGGACGAGCGGGTGCCCATGTCCTGGACGCTGGAGGAAGAGCCGACACCGCGCTCGGCGCGACGTATCGTACGAGCGTCGCGACGTTTCGCTGCAGCGGCGCCCGAGGAGGAGGAGGAGGAGGAGGAGGCCTGCTGTTTCTCGCGTTGGGACTGACTGGTCTTCGCAGCGTCCAGTTGCTCTTCGAATAGAGTCGGGTGCTTCTTCCTCTTATGTCTGCTGACCCTCGCGGGGTCAGTGTGGGAGAAGTCACACCACGGGCAGGGGGTGAATATGCCGAGGCTAAGAGGTAGGTTGGATTAGCAGGGACACGCGCTCACGACCGTGCAGACGTACTGCGCCCTCATGTGGATCTCATAGCTCTGTTTGCCGCGTGCCCCGTTGATTGCAATGTCCGCGTCACACCCTTCGAAGGTGCAAAAAAATAGCTTGTGATGTCTATTTTGACGTCTAGAAGACGCGTAGATCAGCATACGGACGCGTTGACGCATGATATGGACTCACTCGATCGCGATGTGGGAGTTCACGACATGACGTTTGACGTCGCTGGGCCTGTTGACGGTTCTTGAGCAGTAACCGCAGGCGTGGCGACCACTTCTGCATGCGTCGGTGCATTGGTGACCCTGGGGGACAAAGAGGACATGTCGTCAGTCATATGACCGAGAGGTGGCGTTATCCAAGCCCGCTTACCATATATGTATCTTCCGTGAGACCAGGCACCGGAAGCGGGACTTGCTTCGACTTCAGGCTCACGACCATGTTTGCAAATGAGAACGCGGGATGGGGGAAAGAAGGTTGTTGGGGTGTGTACGACGGGGCTCTGGTGGGGGCAGAGGATGCTTTCCCTCGCCCAGAGCTCCCGCCGTTTTATGCGGACGGGATGGGGTGAGCCACTCGACGCGCCTTCCATAAAGGGCTGATTGATTTGGTCGAGTAGCGGGGTGTTACCCTTTTTGGACGCGATGCTGCGGTAATTACTTGAAAAGGTAATCTGGCTGATCGCCTCGTGTTCTTGGGACCCACTGATTGCTGTGGGAAAGCTTTGACTTCCCTGTTTGGGCAAAGCACTACAGTGTAAAGGCACTGGTTGATGCACTCAAAACCGGCAGGCTCCTGCACTTCGCACATGCCACATTCTCTTTCTTTTGACCACCTACAACTATGTAAGCTACTACTTCCATACCGCACAATTTTTTTCGGATGAAATCTAGGCAGAAGTGAGCAATGAGGGTTGATCCGCCCAGGGGAGGCCTGGCGTGCAGAAAACGTTCGTTGATGCAGTGGCAGTGCCCCCGGCAGCTGATGCAGCCATCACATCGGGTCACACCGTCGTTTTATGCCGGTAAGCTCTCACACGCTCCCAAGGCGCGTCGTGCGTTGGTGCATCACCCTCCGCTCTTCAGGATAGGCTCTGAGTTGCTACCCGCCACAGATGATCCTATGTCACTAATGAAAACTGCACCCGAGATATAAAACAATGCATTGGTGCTTTGTGGAGGTTATCCGATTGTAATTGGAAGCGAAACAGGATGCACATCTTGTGGTACATACTCAAAACAGCCTGTTTGCGAAAGTGAACGATTTTTAGAAAATCAGAGAGTGCTTCGATTCGTTAGAAAACTCGGATCTAGTATATTCAAGCATGAATCTACCCCATGATTTAATCTCAGAACTCTCAGACACTTCCTTCGTGTGGAATTGTCGTTTGCATCAAGGAGTGCGGCTGCATCAAGCAGTGCCTTTACACTGTATTTGCTTATGTTTGCTTGAGTGGGTCCGTGAGCGCGTGCCATGCTTGTCTTGCTTTGCAGTGGCTCAAAATGAAACAAAGCATAACTTGCGACAACACCAAAACGCCATATGCGGCAATCCTATCGGAGGAGCTGGATGATGCTACTCTAGAGTTCACGAAAACCTGATCAAACTGGGGCCTTCTCCGTCCCTCGGGCATCGAAACATTGCAACCTGGCATGCGAGCTATAGAGCCAACCTAGAGCACTGGCATCCCGACGTTTGCCTCTGCCGGCACACATATGCTTCTCTTACACACGATCAACCGGCACGGTCAACCGTGCCGTCGAATTGTTTGCAATCACTGAATACCCTCTGACAAAGAGAATCTGTCAATGGGCTGACACCCGGCATATTACTTGCCTTCAATAGACGAATTATCCGCTGGCCGTTGTTCAGTTCAAAGTCGTCGCTTGCATCAGATTCACAGGGAACTCTGGATCAAGGCGCCTATCTCAGGCCTGCTGCTCTTCGGCCTCGGTCATATGAAACCATCAAGAAGAAAGACGAACGACGTAGTTGTGCAATAGCATCGATGTCACGATGGGTTCGGGGTCGCGTTAGAGGGTTCGCGTTCTCCATCGCGTACCTGGGGTAGGTGGGTTTGAACGCCTTCACCTGCATCGCCCCAATAATCCCATCACAGGCTACAAAATGCCTGGTCAGCTTTCCACAACAGAACAAGAGTTGGGCAAGCTCGAGCAGCGCTATAACTACAGTTTCCGCGTGTTCAGCGCGTGCTGTCTAATGGCACAAGCATAGCAGCATGTTCTCACCTTCCCGAAAGATACCACGACATGATGGTCCGGCACACTCATGATTGAAAGTTCAACCATGACAATCGAGGGAATGTAGCAGCTTCCGACGGTCAAGCTACACGCCATCACCCGTCCCATGAATACGACATTGATGCATCTTGGCCGGATGTGTCCTATCTCTCTGATCACTGCAGCCGGAAGCGACTGGCGATCGTAGGCCAGACGCTGTCTACATGACACGACGGCTGAGGGAGGAGGACGATGTGCGAAGGTGCGAAGCTGATCAGCACGACGGTGATTCAGAGTAGCACCGCTGCCGCCAATGACCCACGGTATGAGCGAGTGAGCCGGCTTGGTGGGCGCTTTCCTTCCCTCGTCCGATGGTCCACGGTCCGAGTCGTCGTTGCCCTTTCTCATGATCGTCGGCGGTGGTAGGCGCAACTTTGTCGCCTTCGCGTCGCGGGGAGATCGTTCGGGGAAGAAGCGCACCAAGCCCAAGCTTGGAGAGGAGCGCCGCGGCGGACGATCACCGCGCCCGCGAGTAGAGGAGAAGTGGCGCCATGATGGGCCCGTGATCCGCAGAGGAGGGCTAGACTGATTGCGTGCAGTCGGGTAAGTTGTCCCTCGGAAAATCGCAATCAGACCGGCGGTGAGCTGGGAGAGAACCAGCGCGAGGCGACCCCAGATGGCTAGTGTCGAAGAATATCACGATGTAGAAAGGGATGCATGGCAGTTCAATGCGTACCGTCGTCCCCGTCTTCGGACGAAAATAGAACGATACGGCTGCGGAACGCCTGACCTGAGACAGCTTGAGCCTATATCAGCCTGAGGAGACGCGCGGGGGAGATAGAGTCCATAGTAATGAAAGTAAATGGAACCTGCAGGACAGACAGAGTGGGAGAACCATATTATGGCAGAACCCCGACCAGGCTGACAGTTTGCCTTGAGCCACGCGGATATATACACAGTCCTGGAGGCTGGAATTATCAGATCGGGTAGTTCTAGCACGTCCACCGCAAGTCCACTGCCCCCCATCGCTCAATGGCGGCAGCAAATAGTCGACGACAGCGTCAGTTAGCCCATCTCCAAGGTTGGTCACAGGGCAAAGCCGAACGACCTGGTGCGGCAAATGCCGAGTGCAGCTCGTCTTCCTCTTCCATCGGTACCACGACCAGCGGGCGTAATGATGGGAGTCAGATCCTTCTTAGCACATCCATTGTCAACGCAACATACACCCCCGGCGTAGGACTGCAATTTCCAGCTCTAGAAAGAGTGGTTCCTGGCCTTCATATTCCCCAGGTTTGCGCTCGGTGCCGGCGACCATGTCGACGTCTCTTGCGGTACCGATCACGACGCCAACCTGGCGGGAATCCAGCATACTGTCCGTGCTTGGTCGCGCGCTCGCGTCGCCTCCTCCCCGACTTTTTCTCCTCTTCACGCCCCTCTTAGCCATCTCTGAGGTATGTGCATCACTCTCAGCTCGATCTCACAGTGGAGACCGCTGACGTTCACCGGCCCAGCTCGTCATGCTCCTTTCCAACATGGAGTTTAATCTTTACGTCGGCATCCGCTGGGACGTCTTCCTCCGCGATCACTGCAAACCGCTTGTGGCCACGCTGGACGGCCTGTACGCGCTGACGTGGTTCACCCTCCTTTCACCGCTCGCGTACCTCTTTGCCCTCTCTCGGCTTCGGACAGACGGCACACCTGCGCGGCCCGTGCTCGTCGCTGTTACCAACGCGATCTGGTATTCCCCTACCATTCAACCTCCTACATGCCCGTGCTGACGCGCGAGCACATAGCGTGCTCCTCCCGAGCTCACTCTGGGTCACCGTAGCGATATCAGTCACAGTAACCACGAGCCGCTGCGAGTACGTCTGAACCTTCCTTTATCATCCTCCTTGCACGGCATCAACCGATTCACCCACCCATCGATCAGAATCCGTCACGAGCCGTACTTCGACTCCCGCCCACTGCTCATCCTCTGTGCCGTCACATGGACACTATGGTTCGCATGCGTCCCTATATTGCGTCCTACGCTTATAACCGCACATCTTGCAAAATCGCAGCCTCCATCATGCGATCGCCGTTTACGGCGCGACCGCAGCCGCTTGCCGTCGCAGACAAACGGCGCCGCTTGGCGAACTGTCCCCCCTCCGTCAGTCAACATGACAGAAAACTTGAAGGCACGACCCCTGCTACTGATACATGCAATATTGGTTTCGTCGAGGCACGCGGATTCGCTATGTTCTCCGCACGTGGGCACTGCTTGGGGCCCGAAACTCTGGCTAGTTCGGCGATCGGGAGTTGAGAGGGGTGTGATCATATGAGCATCTCGCCTCCTACTCGCGATGTCGTAGACTTACTAGAGTGTGAACACAACACTTCTCTGAAGTCGGCCTTATTGTCAATAAGTAGCCTTGCAACCTGCTCCTATCTCGTGTCTTCGATAATCTGGTATGTCACGACCTCGAAGTTGCTCGTCCGAGTAGTTGATGGCTGACTGGTCTCTTGCCGCAGCATCTACTTCAGCTACGACCTTGTCTGTGACCGTGGTCGTGCTCAGATGGCCGCGACGCAGGAGCGGTGGCGTTGACAATACGGCGACCCTCGAGGAGCATGGCTACGCACCCGGAGACAACCACATCGAGGCTCGCGCTGATGTGCAGTGCGCCGCTGATACTAAGAGTATTTGCCCGACATGTTTCTCCATTTGCACTCGCCCGACGTCAGAACCCACCATTCCCCGACGCAACCCACCTCCGTCAGCACAGCCACCACCTATGCCGGGCGATCCACAGCTGCCTCCGACGCCCAGCGCCCAGTGTCCTGCTGTCCTTTTCTCTCCTGACGAAGGCTCTGCTCGATCAGCATAAGTTAGGTGGCTATCGGACAAGGCTTAATCAGCGACAGTCATCCAGGTCCGCGCATAAAATGGCGTTCCGCCGCTGCGCTTCGTGGTTAAGCACATCCCCCCTTTGAACGCAGTCGCCCGAACACCTAAACGATGACGCCAAAACTCTTTCTGTACGTCATGCCACCTTACGCTTACTCCTCCCTCTTAGAGTGAAGTTAACGGTACACGCACAGTACTGGTGCTACCGGTTACATCGGTGGTTCCATCCTCGACGCGCTCGTAAAAGCGCATCCGGAATGGACCTTCACCGCGCTCCTTCGCAACCCGACCCCGAGGTTCTCAGAGCGATACCCGAACGTTCACATCGTCAAGGGCGACTACGACAGCACCGATATCCTCGCCGACGCCGCCTCGGATGCAGACATCGTCATCCGTACGTTACCCGTCGCCCGTGTAGCCCCCTGCCTGAACTGATCCAACACCGACCAATGTACAGACTGCGGCAACTCTGATCACGAATCGTGTGTCCGCGCGCTGCTTTCGGGTCTACTCAGCCACGCTTCTCCATCCTCGCCAGCTTTCTACATCCACCTCGGCGGCACGGGCACGCTCGGCGACCAAGTCGAGGGCACCCACCTCGGCACCCTCAACCCCAAAGTCTGGTCCGACCTCACCGACATCGACACCCTCACCTCTCTCCCGCCCACGCGCTGGCACCGAGTTACGGACGAAATCATCCAGTCCGCCGCAGACGCGCACGGCGACGCGCTCAAGTGCGCGATCGTGGCGCCTTCGGATATTTACGGGCGCGGGCATGGTACGGGACGGACGCAGAGCATGTTTTTACCCGTGTTCCGGGACGAGATCCTCCGTGTCGGCGCCGCATTTTACGCCGGGGACGGCACGAACACCCGAAGTTGGGTGCATGTCGATGACGTGGCGTGGCTGTTCGTCAAGCTCGTCGAAGAGGCGGTCGCAGGTGGCGGAAACGCCGTCTGGGGAAGACAAGTAAGCCTCTTGCTGTTTCCTCACCTTTACTTGGTAGCTAACGTTCAATCCTGTCATAGGGTTACTACTTCGTATCGAGCTCTGAAGTGTCGCAGCTTGAGCTTGCGCGGGCGACGGGAAAGATCCTCAACGCGCAGGGCCTGATTCCTAGCCCAGATCCAAAACAGCTCAGTCTTCAGGAAATCGACAGGATGCTCGCTGCGTTCGGCATCCCGGGACTTTCCCTGTACGAATATGCGGCGAACTCCAGGAGCAGGCCAGACCGCGCGAAGAAATATTTGGGGTTCGAGCCGAAGGGCCCGAGCCTGTGGGACGTGCTGGAGGCAGATTTACCTGGGACGGGCGACGCGCTCGTGTCATCCTCGTTCGACGGTATTGCCAAGAAGTAATCATGGCAATCGAAAATTCGATAATGGCGGATGATGAAATCGCTCGCAGGGGTGGTGAGCAGCCCGCCGCGTTATGGAACCCCGCCATCGAAGCAGGATGGTGACCAAATCATAGCCTTGTATGGTCTACCTCTGGATGTGTAGGCTTGTCGCCGACATGATTTTAATGATACAACCTTGAAGACATAGACCCGACGTTGAAGCGTGACGAATGCATAGCTCCCTGGCCTTTAGCCCCAAATTATGACTTCGACGGCGCAAGCTCGACCCGCGTGCTTCTCTTGGAAGGAAAACCATTCACCACTCCCTCTTCTCACCGTCGATCGAAATCAGCTGGCCACCACGACTGTGTCGCGTTGCCTCCTCCACGCGCAGGACGACCTGGTCCGCGACTACCTGTGCCGGTTTCATCCTCCCGTACGCCCTTGCGCGCTTGATGGCTTCTTCGGCCACGGCTCCCTTAGCACGGATCGCATTCAGAGCTAAATCAAAACAAGGAACATGTGCGCTCTCCAGTGTGAGCTACAGTATGGGCGTACCCATGTCCGACTCGACGCCCCCGGGAGAAATGGAGAACGCGACTACGAAGGCGCGGATGAGATAAGGTCGAAGCATGAGATGATCACGTACTCAACCTGTCCTTCTCGTGCTCGAAGTGCCACTTTCTGGTCAGGTAGTTCTGCGCCACCTTAGATATGCCGTAGGCGAGCACGCCCTCGCGTTGCGCGCCAGTCGCGATACTGCCAAAGCCAGAGGTGATGACGATGGACTTTGGTTTGGGCGAGCCGGCCTTCAGCAGTTTGAAGCTCGCTTGGTACAGCACGAACGGCCCGATGGTGTTCACCTATCAATGAGACTATCCATACTGTGTGAGGCAACGCACCCCGAGATGCTCCCGCAGCTGATCCGCGGTCACGTCGATCGCGCGGCGGTAATCCTGGAATCTCCCTGGGGGGTTAAGATTAAATGGTCGGCGCTGTTGATCTGCGCGAAAGCGCCGCTTGCCTGCGTTGGATATGACAACGTCCCGGCCGGCTTTGGCCTTGATCTCCGCAATACCGGCTTCGTCGCTCGCCTTGTCGCCCGCGATGAACCTTAATGGAACGACCACGTTTGCAATTCTGTGGCTGTCGACGGGTTCCGTGCAGTGGCGGAGATGATCACGTCTGGTCTGGCGGCCAGCACCTTGACCAAAGCCAGGCTGAGATGGAATCGTACCAAGTCCTCGGTTTGCGCCAGTGACGAGGCATACAGTGGGTTGCCATCTGTGTATCGTATGTTGCAGATTCTGGTTAGGCTTATAGCAATGATCGTTTGTTTTCCCTTGCTGGAATGAAGCAGTGAGTATATTTGACCTTGATGCTACTTAACCTGTCTTGCATCTCGGGAGGCAACATTCTTGTTCATCGACGTCATCTGGAAGGCGAACGAAAGACGGCAGTACTCTCGCATGCCTTGCCGACGCAGGTCGCTCCCGGATGGATAAACAAGAGCCATCGCACAACGTATACACCATCCTCAATTCCTCACAGCACAGTTAACATGATGTATTGCTGGCACAGAAATGAGTAAGTACAAGTCGCAAGAGAACTCGTGAAAGAGGTCATCTGTGGTTCGAGGGCTAAGATGCCCGTCTTCGCTATCCCGGTGCACGTACAACAATGCCGTCATGACCTTTCAGTGCTACGAGTGCTGGTCAGTCAGACCTAAGTAACCGGGGGCGTTGAACATAGTCAGGTCGCAGTTGCCTCAGATGATTGTGGAAACGAGACGGAACTCTCGGATTCAGAATAAGCTCTCACGATGACCTCTGGCAGAGGGGTTTGTGGGCTTTCCAGTGCCCTTTCTGACAGGCGGCATCACAATCTACAAGAAACATCAACATGCCGAACAACGGAAGTGTGATCGACGGCGTCTCACATCGAGTTTTACCGCAGCCTCCACACTTTTTCAGCGCAGCGCTCGGATTTTCGCAAAAGCTGCATAGATACAGCGACACAGAGTCGATCGTCACCCTACGCGGCGCAAGGCGGACTTGTGCAGGACGATCCGCGCTCGATGTCGACTCCTCTTCGTCGGAGCTCACCAGTGGCCCGTCGTCCAGCCACGCGGCCAGGTCGCTCATCGCTTTTCCCGGATCCAGAAGTTGAAAGGGCTCGTCGGAGACGTCAAGGGGGGCGTCGTCGCTGCGTTTGACAGCGCTTCCCCATTCCTCGTTGGCGACGGCGTACCCTTCCACCACCATCATCCGCGCCAGGCGTTGCTGGGTGTTGGGCACTCGAGCCCCGAGCCACTCCGCGACACCTTCGTTGATCCGTATCTTCTCCAGCGCGTCCTATGACGTGAGCAGTCCGTGTGAGTCGACCGCTGTCGTCGTATGGCCCGTACGCGGAATGGCAGAGTCACTCACGGCGACGTCTCGCAGATCGGTCCGGACCTCTTTACCCTTGATCGCGAGGAACAAGAGGATATACCAGTTCGCGATCGCCTTCATGGCCATGGCGTCGGGCGGCGCCTCCGCCATGAACGTCCTCGCGTCGCCGAGCGCGCTCACGAGGAACGCGACGCCCTCCTCCCGCCGCGTGTCCCGTTTCACGTCGTGCGCCTGGAACGCGGCGAGCGCCAGCGCGCCCGCGTGCTCGACGCACTGGCGGAGCAGCTCGAGCTTCACGTTCAACGTCAGCGTCTTCGTGCATCGTAGCCCCTTCTTCGCGTAGCGCAGCCCGACATCGCGCTTGGAGCTGATGCTGGCGACGTAGTAGTAGTAGGCGACGTCCGGGTCGCGCGCGGCGGCGGCTTGCGCCTGCGAGCATGCTTCATCGTACATCCTGCACACGAGCAGGGTCTTCAGGCGCAAGATGACCGGGTAGTGCGCCTCGTCCCGGGAGCCTGTCTGATCCATCGCGTCTGCCGCAAGCAGCTGTGGATAAAGTATATTCGATGAACACCAGTAAGCGGGATATGGCGCGTAGTGAAACGCATACCAGAACGCCCGTGGTCAGCTGGAAGCTGGGCGGGAAATCGGGGCCTCGTCCGTAAAGTTCGAACTTGCCCGGAGTGATCGGGCACTCGGAACGTAGCATACACCTGGCCTAGGCAACGTCGATATCCATGAGACGCGCCACATCGGTCGCAAGATGACGTACAATCGTCTTCCCGAATCTGCACAGGTTGCCGGTCTCGACTAAATCCCACTTAGCCCTGTCGATATCGAGGGCCGTATTGTACTGGACAGAGGTGTCGCATCTCTCCCGACCAAACTCCGCCATCGCGCCGAGAATGTAAGGGGGCCAGTCCCAGGTGTCGAGAGTATGTCGGAGCTTGGAGACATCGTATTCCAACCGATCACGCTCGTGGGCGCAAAAGTGGACGAGGAGCAGGCTGGAGACGACGAAACATCTCGTTTCGAGATCGTCGCTGCGCAGGAATGCGATCACCAGGTTGATCGCCGAGGGGTTCCTGCGGAGGTCCTGATTGGGCAGAAGAGGCTTTTCGTCAGGATATCAAGAACTCGGCGTTATATAAGCGGTGTCCTCACCTCGGAGCAGTTACAGCCTGCGTTTTGGAAGAGCGCCAACACCTTGCCGATGAGCCACGGCGAGCATCCCGGGCGCTTCGCGGCTCGTACGGCCTTGTCAAGCGTCTCCGTTATGCATATGTCCCTCATGGTCTCGGCGTCGGGCGGGTTGTTCGGGTCGTGCACCGCGATCGAGATGCAGGCGGACAGGATCCCGATGCACATCTCTTCCGTCCTGCGATCGTTGGGACGTTCGTCTACGAGCCGGAGGAGTCGCCGCGTGACGGTGCGGGCGATCTCGCGTCGCACGGGACGATTTCCGTATCGCGTCATGGTCACCAGCGACCGCAGCGCGACGAACTGTTAGATATGATGAAACGCCGGGTTAGCATTTGAACAACATAGACGGGGTGGGAAGACGGCGAACTCGACATAGATCCGAGTCCAAGAGAGGCATAAGCTTCTGCATTAACCCTGCGACGGGTGATCGTTGTGAATACGAGCCGGAGGTCTTGTCAAATCTCATGCGCACCTCTCTCGAAAAGCTTGTCACGAAGTATCCCGTCCGCGCACATCTTGGAGTATATCCTCACGATGCCACCCAGAACCATCACGTTCCCTTCCTCCTCGTACATGGCATACGCGGCGTCGAGGCGATCACAAAGCGCGTCGAAGTTGACGTGGACCTGCTTCAGCCCCTTGCGCGTCGTTAACGGCGGGATACCGAACGATTCGGAGAGGGCGGCCATGACGACCTCCGGCCAATCCCCACCCAGGTTGCAGATCCTGACGGAGAATGCTTCCTGCTGAGCATGAGTCGGGAAAGCCTTCTGCGCAGGGTTTGCAGCAGCAACTTGAGGGTGCTTGCTACGTTTCTTTCCTTTGGCCATCGGGATGGACGTCGGCGAAACGCGCGCCAAAGCCGAGGCCTCCGCTCCGTCGCGTAACGTGGCATGACAACGTAATAAACCTATGACGATCCGCCTACATTCGTTGCGCATCCTTCGCCAGACTCCAGTGGCTCAAGACGTGCGATGTCCACGCTGGCTGTTTGACTCCCATCCCCCACCAGGGGACACCCTATATTCTTGCGCCCATCGTAGCACGATGGTCGGAGAGCCTGGCACGAGGTGGGTGGTTGGTGAGAGACGCGCCCGGTTCACGCTATAGCTCAGGTGTCGGACCAAGGAGAGAGCGCTTTGAAAGAGAAGTGTATCGTCAACGTGATAACCATGCACTCCCCGGTACGCATCAACGTTAAGATCATGGCGTCGAGTACGAGCGAGCCCTCGGAGGATGCCGAAACCCCCCGTCGCTCCCACCATGGCGCCAATCGCGTCGGGCATAAGTACGAGCTTGTTGGGAGAGACGCTCTTACAATCATCCTTGATGACGGTCGGCGCAGCTACAAGAGGCGTTCCGCGCTAGCCTACACGTTTTCTAGGCTCGAGCTCGTCAGCCACGGCCATGCCCCTGCTAGTCATCGCAATACCGACCCGCGGAGGAGTCCAACGGGCTCGCTGCGGTATGGCGCCTAACGACGCCTCCTCATCGAGCATTCCTCCTCTCCATGCCCTTCCTGGCCATCGCCGAGGTGTGTATCGCATGCGTGATCAATGTACACGTACCTGATGTTGATACCTCTCGCTCCAGTTCGTGTTCCTCATCCGCCAAGTCCAGTTCGATTTCTTTCCGGGCCGTGGATAGCTTCACCTGGGACCGCGACCTCCGCGAGCACTGTCCGTCCCTCGTCGGCGCACTTGACCTCGCCTACGTCCTCGCGTGGTGCGCGCTCCTCGCGCCGTTTGCGTACATCGTCCCCCTTGCCCGGATCACGCCCGATGGCATACCCGCCTGGCACAGGCTTCTTGCACTCACGAATGTCCTCTTGTGTGCACTCAGTTTCTCTCTCCCCAAATCTGTGTTCACTCTCACGCCGCGGTGCTCCTTCATTCTTCTTCTACCGTGCTTACTCTGGATGATCGTCAGCCCATGGGTGACGGTATCCACGAATCTTCGCCAGTACGCCCCCTCCGCTTCGATCTCTGCGCATGCTGAACATACTGAAGAACCGACTCAGAGATCGCCATCGGACATACGGTGATTTCCGCGCTCAAATCTATCTCTGCGCCGCAGCCTGGACGCATTGGTGAGTCTCGTCTTCCTCATCTTCTATCTTTTCCCCTTGATCAGCTTCGTCTTCTCTTCCGATCACGGTGTCCATCACGCCTTTGCTATCGGCACTGAAGCCGCATTCGCCCGTCGCCGACATCGACTCAGACAGGCAGCGCCTCCTACCGAATCTTCCGCCCTCTGTGCGCCGCAGACGAATCCTGGGCCTTCGACATGGGACCGCACCGGTGTATAGCGTCCTGGTCCGAGGGGACAGGCGTCCGGGCCTTGTTCATGCCGTCTACCTCCGCGAGAGGATGGTCATTGCGTTTGGCTGAGAGAATACATTTGGTTGCTTGTCTGTTCAACGATGTATACTGCCGATACTGGTGAAGTACCAGCGACAATCATTGAGGGCGCTCGCGTCAGGCGACGCCTCTGACACTAACTTCAAGACGTCATGCCTAGGCATTTGGCCATAGCGGAGGTGATAACTTCTGGGTGAGCTGATGTGACACTCAGTCGTTACAGTATTTCCCATTCAGCCCTGATTGACTGTGTGTCGCACAAGGTAATCCGATTGAATAACGTGGCTGCACTAGGCCAGGACCCCTCCAGTCGTCGCCACGTTATACTGGCTCCTGTACATAATACGAGCTAGTTCCGGCATAACATATACCACGGATATGGCAGCGGGGGCACTAGCAAGTAGAGCTAGAACCTTAAAGTAGGTCATCAAAATGTGAATGTCGTCAAAATGTTATGATGACCCCGTACCTGTCCGAAGGAGATTACAAGCCTATGGTCCGGAATGTCTTGGACAGACAACTCCACCAGTACAATCCAAGGAACATAGCAGAACTCAACGAGACCGATGTACATCAGATAGCACAGTGGCGGTGATAGCACCAGCCTCAAGTAGGTTGCTATGAAGCCGATGGCTGTGAAGTTCACCTCAACATCAGGGTCATAGAGAGATCTGGATAGAAGTCACTTTCAGTCTCTGATTTAGCTGAACCCAAGCATAGTATGGCAATCAGAAACCATCGTTGAGGAGACTAACTTGTGAATTGCAAACAGAGTCCTATATCCCCGATCCAAAGTAGAACGTATGAGCACTGGCATATCCGGATACCGGGCACTCATGGTGCTGCTGAACTCTTCCGGGGTCTTCATTTGATTGACAGATCCACCAAGTTGCAGGGTTGGTCTCCAATCCAAAGGAGAACGGGCCCTGATGTTGCGCATGAGCCTTTCTACTATCTGACTTAGTCTACAATCACAATTAGAAGGACCAGAAACCATGATTAAGGAGAGACTCACTGGTAAGCTCCGAAGAAAGCATTGTACAGCTGATCCAAAACGGCATATATATACGCCGGCATATTCGGATACCGGGTATTCAATGCCAGCCTAAATTCTTCCGGGGTCTTCCATGAACTACCCCCATGCAATGTGGACTATATGAAAGTTATCAGCTGCGATGCAGGAATCAAACACCCAACTATGTCAGATTTACCTGAGCGAATCCTAGGTTTATAGCATAACCTATTGGCATGATCACGATAGCGATTGCAGGCCTTAGGATATTTACGTGGCAAGAACGCTGCGCATAGTGAACAGCGTGAGATGGGATGAATCCAACCAGCATGATAGCAAGCCATAGTAGCACTGCCCCGATTATGGCATACGGTAGTGCCCGAGAGGTCAGGTCCTTTCTGGCCCTTGCGATCGACAGTGTGCCTCTAGTCTGCGCCCTGCGATTTTCGTCCTCATCCCGAATCTGGTCCGTAAACCGGTGCCTGCTCTGCGATTTGTTATATATTATTAGTTCTGCTGATTGCCGCCCACTGTACATGTTTAACCCTACATTGTTACCTGCGGGCTGTACTGGGGCACCTATGTGTTCGACTCGTTCCGGGTCCGTGACCTGATGCCTGCTCTGCAATTCACCGGATATTATCAGTTATCTCAACTGCCTCCCACTGTACATGTTCAAACCTACATCGTCTACCGTCTGTACTGGAGGCGCTGTGCGTGGTGATTCACGGCCATCGATCATTGGTACCTGCCACCCATGTTTACGTAGGAGCGTGTCAATGGGAGGAAACCGTGCGACCGAATAATAGATAAGCTGCATCATCATGGGTGATCCGCAAAGAAGCGCCACGACAATCGTATGCAGTCGAGTCAGCTGATGTTTGCGGATCGCGACAAGTGCTGAAATGAGTTGGGAGTACAGGAGGGCAAGATGTCCCCACATAGCTAAAGTTCATAGTGAGCATAACGATGATGGCAGAATCGAAGAATCATAGATTCTACCTTCCTCAATGTCTACGCCCTCTGGTTCGCACACAACGAGTGTAGCTGTCCACGTTCATGGCCACCGATTAGCGTCAAGAAGAGGAACATATGACAGCGTGAACGTACAAGTGCACAATGCTGTAACGTATGCTACCGGCCATGGTCCGATCAGCCAACCATGAACTGGCCCGAAGGGCATGTTTAAGACGTACTGGCGATGCGTACAAAGAGACCTATACCATTTCTTGTCAGCCATCATTGCGAAGAACTTATGCGGACCATCTGGGGCGCCTCCTGAACACAGTATGAAGGCTGACCTGCAATGTCTGAATTTGGGCACGCGCCAAACGGACAACCATCGTCGGGCTACATGAAGAAAAAAAAAGAAACTTCATCAACCGTTTAATTTGATCGGAGTGCGGTAAGCGTCGTACGGGAGGGTTGACACAGTACGCGGCAATGAAGCTGGGCCAGGTCACTCCACCGGACACCGCTCCGGCGGATGTGAGGTTGAGGAAGGAGACGAGTTCGTCCGTGACGACACCACCGGTACAGTTGTTGGTTGTAAGAGAGGCCTTGGGATGTGCTTTGCGAAAGTCGGCCAGACAGGCAATTAGTGCTGGGCCGGACGAGTTTGCGTAGGTGTCCATGACTATCTTCAGGAGAGATTGCAAATGAAGACGGGAGCAGCAAAAATTGAATGCAAGGCATCTTATGTAGCACTTCAGACAGTGGGAGACGTTGGCGCTCGGTGGAACGTGTAGGCCACGAGCGTAGTCATGTTGCACGTCAATGGTAAAGAAGGAGGTCAACTTGGCACGAGGTCACGGTCTGGCGCCTATACATGCTGTACAGGTCGTGCGCGTGGTTCCTTATCGTCCGAGTTTGTGGATATAACGCGGTGAAGGCACACGGCCGCGCCCATAAGAGATGAAACCAAGCTACTTCTCGTGCTTCTGAATGGCTTGCGATCGCGCGGGTATAGAGCCACGGCGAGAACGGTGGCCGCCGCCCCCACCGAAAATGAGGTTCTTGCGTCTCTTGACGTCGGCGGCGCTGGGCGTGGAGGAGGAGGACAGCGACGACGACGACGACGCGGGGCGAGCGACGGCGTTGGAGGTGGCGGAGGAGGAGGACCCTGGCGCCGTGTGCGACCGGTCATCAGGGTCTGGCATCGCTGCTGCGCTCGCTCGTGCCGGCGTGCGCATGGCGTCCCAGCGGCGTAACGTGCCCCGCTTCGGATAGGTCCCTCCCTAGAACAACATGGAAGAAAAACGAAGTGAGAAATCACCGTACACGGGGCGTGGCTGCCCCTTAATATATGGAGATAACGCGGTTTTACCTTCCCCGGTGCCGAGCGCCCATTTCGTCCACCAGCCGCGCGCGACGGCGTCCGTCGCGTGCGCGTGCGCGATGTCGGCCACTTCGTCGACGTTATCGTCGTCGTTGTCGAAGGATCGCACCCTGACGACGCGTACGGCCGTTCGGGAACGCACGTCATCGCGCGGGGTCTCGAGCCGCGAGTGGGCGGAAGACTTTGACGAGGCGCTCGACTGCGACGGACCCGGCCCCGGGTCTTGCCGCGCCGTCGTGGCCCTGGTCGTCGTCGTCACACTCCGTGTTAATGTCGCTGCTCGATCCGCCGCCCAGCATCTCCCGCATATCGGGCGTCCCGTCCCTCGTGCACGTCACCTGCCCCGGTGGCGTAGGCGCGTGAGAGCCTCCAGACATCTCGAGCACGCATGGAGGGCGTGGGCCGGTACGTCGTCGTCGTCTACGTCGGCGCCCCATGGCTGCCGGGGAACGGCAGGCGGGCTGGAGAGGACTTCGATATCAGACTCGCTCTCGCTCCTTCGCCTGGCCCGATGGACGTCGTGCGACGGCTCGGAGTGGCGTCTCCGCTCCTTCAGAGGACTCGAGAGCTCGGGCGCGTCGTCCCAGTCGTCATCGATATCGATAGCGTCTCCCTTCACGCCGTCTCGTCCGGCCTCCACCATCATCTCCGCTTCGTCCGAGAACACGACCGCGTCCAGATTGAGCTCGTCTTCTTCATGCTGTCGTCCTTCGTCCCTAAGCCCGTGCGCGCGAACGTTCTCCTTGTCCGCGGAATGGGACCCTGCGTAGTCGTCTGTCCGTGTTCGCGAAGGTCCCACCGCCACAGGCACGGCCGGGCTCGAGAAGAATCGGCTCTGCTGCACCGGCCGCGGTGGTGGTGGTTGCGATAGAGCGAGACCGGCGGTGACAGTGTCGCTTCCGCTTCGCGGCGAGGTCCTGTTCGAGCACCTCCGTCAGGGTGCGCTTGCCGCTCTCGCGGCCCGCGATCACGGTCGGCCGCTTGTCGGACGAAGTCGCCTTCGTTGGTTGAGGCCTCGGCGCTGTATGTCGGCAGGACGCGAAGTTAGAGTTCGCCTGCAACAGCGGAGCCGAACACGGCACACGCACCGAAGAAGTTGAGGAGCCCGCCGTTAGGCGAAGGCGCGGCGGCAGTAGGGACGGCCTTGCCCTTGCCCTTGTCCTTGGTGGAGGACAAGGTGGAGTGCCGCCGGTTGGGCTCGGTGGTGAGCTGGAGTGGTCTGCGCCCGCTGCCGGGGCGGTAGTGTGGGTTGATGTTCGTCATTGGCAGGAGGCTGGCGAGGCACACGTCGCCAGTGGCGATCCGCGCCGCGGTCTCGGTCGCGACGTCACTGCACATCCCAGCATCGCGTTCAGTTTTTGCATGAGGAAGAACCGGGGGATGGAGGGGCACTTACGCGCCGACGTAGGCCTCGCTGCGCGCGTCCCAGGGCTCGCCGGGCGGGAAACGTCGTTCAGGTGGACGAGGCGCGCTTGGGCGGGGTCGTACACGCGCTGGTGGAGGAAGACCTTCTCTGCGAGCCGGAAGGCGTCGAGGTAACCGTCCGGCACAGGCTTCTTGCCCTCGAGCCTCAGTGCGCGAACGGCGTTCTCGACGTTCTTGTGCTTGCGCAACAGCGACCACGCGGTCTTCAGCCCGACGCCCGGGATGGAGGGCAGGTAGTCGCACCCGCTCAGGATGGCCATCGCGCGGAGTTGGACGTCGGACCAGCCGAGGAGGGTGATGTCGGAGGAGGAAAGCGAGCCAAAGTCGGGGCGGGAGACAGCGGAGACGGTCGCGGAGACGTGGTCGAGCTTTGAGAGGACGTGGCGGCAGCCGAAGACGAGCAGGTCCGAATCTTCAGTGAGGATGGCGGAGACGGCGCCGGTGCGTTCGAGGTAGGCGAGCTGCGCGTCGGCTTCGTAAGGCGCAACGACGTAGGGAACATTCTCTGCTTTCAGTGCCTGGGTAGAATGGAGGCATCGTTACGAGGGTAAGATGGCGATCGGCGAAGAGGACGCACCTTGATGAGCTGGTAAGCCATCTGGGGCGTTACGTCTATGCAGGCTGCAGCGCAACGCAGGACTCAAGCGGCTCAGGCCAATCAACGCAGGCGGATTTGAACTCATCCGTCACGCCAACACCGTCCTTTGTGTTGAACATCCTCCTACAGCAGCATTACTACAGCAATCAAAAATCGGGATGGCGTAGCAAATAGGATACAAGGTATTTAGTACTATAAAATATTTTTATGAATTTTGCGTTACCGATCCGGCGAAGCGAGGCCGTGGAGTACTCGCGACATGTTGCATCAACTCACTCGAGCAGTCCTAATGTTTTTCTGTAGCCCGAACCAAGCCTCGCTCCTACTTCATATCTTACATACAGTATGTATAGATGGATGAGAGTACATATTTTTTTTTCCGAGGCGAACAGCTGAGCAGGAAAGGAACGGGAGAGGGATTTGTGTCGATGTTGCATTAGGGGGCGATGTTGCATTAGGGGTGGATGCACAGTATACTAGTCATGCTTCCGGAGAGCCGGATGCAACCACAGGGGGATTGCGCAGCGGTGCGTAACATGCACATACGTTACATATCTCAGCGAGGTGACAGTAGATCGATGAGGTACGGGTGTAAGGTGGTGTTGAACGTATGTCGCATTCGATATTAACCGTCCCAAAGATAAAACGAGCTCGGAGGAAAACTGTTCAATGTGTCCAGTGGTGGAAGCGTAACGGTGTTGAGTGACAGTATCGAGGTATATCATGGACTCCGGCGGCCTTTGGCGCGACGACGATGCTTCCGGTGCATCGTGATTTATATCAGCGCTCCGAAAGTCCGCGCCGGCGCTACATCCCGTCGACTATGTAGCCACTACATGCATAGTCATGAGTAGCTTATCCTATGATACCTGAAAGGTAGCTTTCCCAGATCCAAGTATCTTTGTCAAGATCGATACGGTGTCTTTCCCAGATTCAGGTATCTTTGTTAAGATCGATACGGATGAGAAAGCTGTACCGTATCCCATCAGTTCTTCTTCTCAACCAGCACCTCCCCGTGCTTGGCCCTGGGTATCGACGTCCTCTTTGCCTCCTCAAATTCTTCGTCCGACAAAATGGGCACCGTCGCGGCTCCCTTGTACGAGAAGATCTAAGCGGCAAGTCAGCATGTCGTTCTCGTGCAGCTTGCTTGGCACCAAGGCCAAGTCGGACGCAAGTCGGGGAACACTCACTGTCTGCATGAAGTTCCTGGGATCGAGCAATTCCCCTGCTCCTGCTTCCTCAATCTTTCGCGGACCCATGCCTTGGGCTCGGGAATAATTTTGGACGGTGCTCGCACGGACGTAGCGTATCTTTTCCACGATCTTCAGCTTGTCCTCCACGCTGGTCTTCAAAAACGGAGATCCAGGCTTGGTGCCAAAGATGTACTCGAGGGCGTCGGCGTCTTCAATGGCCATGCCTCCTCCAGAACCCTGATCTATTGGACGGTGAGTACCACGATCCGCTTCGAAGCCTAGGCCTAACGGAATGGACGAGGACATACGAGGTAACATCGGATGCGCCGCGTCTCCGAGGATGATCGCTTTGCCTCTGGTCCACCACGGCAACGGATCCTGATCCCGCAGCTGCCACAAACGGCACTTATCCGCCAGTGCCACGATCTTCCGACAAAACTCGGGATACTCCTTGAAGAACTCCCGCATCTGGGCAGGGTCGCCCTCCTGCGACCAAGACTCAGTGGACTCCGCGATATCTGGCATGATCGCCACGCAGTTGAGGAGCGTGAGGTTGCGGCAGGGGTAGAGGACCATGCGCCCGGACTCCGTGCGCGTGATAGAGAGCTGCGAGTCTGTGATCAAGTGCGCGAGTGACGGGTCCGATGTGATCTTGGCACCGTCGACGAGGAAGCGGTAGGCGCTGTGACCAGATGGCACCGCGCGATAGCTTGCGGCACCTACAGGTCACGGCCGACGAGCAGAATGAACACACTGGCGAGGGCGGGCGCAAAGAAGCACTGACCGAGGACGGCCTCACGGACGACGGATTTAATACCGTCGGCACCTATGATGGCGTCGCCTTGGATGACCTCGCCGGACTCGAGCGTGACGGTAGCTTCCTCGCAGTTGACGGACTGGATGTTCACGCCTAGACGAAGCTCGGCTGGATTACCGCCGCGTCGTTTGGGGTCCGTCGCGAGAGACCTCAATTCTACAAAGACGGATTACGATGAATCCCATTCATGGAAATTTTCAGAAGGAACACCTACCCCGATGAAGGTCAACTCTATGGTTCATCCGCCAGTCCGCACCATAAGTCTCCTTCGCGTGTGGTGCAAAGGAGACTCGAGCAGCCCCCTCACTCGTGTATTCCGTCATCTTCAATACCAACGGGCTGCCGATTTTATCGAAGTCGAAGCCCCAACCTTCGAGGATACGGGTGGCAGGCGGATTGGAAAGTATGGCGGCTCCAACCTCGTCGTTCAGTCGCGAACGCTCGAGGATCGTTACACGGTGATAGGGCCGGAGCGCCGTGGCGCAGGCAAACCCGCAAATACCAGCTCCAACCACGATGATATGCAGGCCCCTGCCTTCTCCTTGAGCCACTGTACGCGGGTTGGATTGCGCTGTCATTGTGCTACGGGGGGGAAAGAGGTGTGCAGGTTAGTAAAAGATCGATTCGCGGGCAAAGGAGAGACACGACCCACTCTCAACTCCTTGAGGCCTTTATACTTCCGCCTGCACGCTTCTCAGCTGGACCCTTTATAGGTCACCGTTGCAAGGAACTGTCCCAGCCCGGCTTCTTGCCGTTACAAACCAGCGACTCAGCCGATCCCAGCGCGTCCATGTACGATAAGCCTCCCTAAAGTTCCGTGACCCTGGCCCGGCCACGAGTCGACATATGTGACGCATGGGAGCGCGTGGACCAAGCAAAGAATCGAAACGGCAAAACGGGCCAGGTGCACCTCTAAGAAGCTACCAATGCTCAGTGCTTTCAGTTGGAGGGTACAGAGGGCGACCGACCCACACCGGAGCCCGACCCATGACCCCGGGCTAAGCTTAGCGGCTCCCACCGTACAACCTGGTGCTTGAGACAAACGGCGGCGCCGTGTAGACATGCCTGTAGTTATCCAGAGATGGATGCAATGTTGTCGTGCTGCGAGCAGGAGGTGGAAGTCGGAATAGCCTGTGCGTTGATCGGCAGGCGGTGCAAACTCCAGAATCAGTCCGTATCTCTCGTATGGCTGCTCTGGAACCACGGGCCGATACTTCGGCTTTGCCTGTACATACTCCGGCTTGATGCAAGACGGGTGAGGGCGCAAGCAAATGCGACTTTGTATGTCACGTGCACGCGCTCAGACGGCGCCGGCAAAGCGCCGTGCGCTTTGCTCCGGACGCCCACCTCGTTTGTCCTCTTACATACATCAAAGCATCCTGATTTCTCGACAGTGCCGCTCAAGAAGCTTGCAAGAACCGATGTATCTGATACACAACTCTCGCAACTATGCAGTCCGACTTGCTGTAAACTTCTGGACTCGAACATCAGATGGACCGTCCTAATCTTGGCGCACTCAGTCGCGCTCCTCGCAACTGCGACAACGCACGGCCGCTGTCGCGAGGTCGACGCCACGGCTGCTGATGTATCCACTCATTTGAAGCTCAACCATTTCTAATCTGAACAGCGGCGCTGACGAGGGGGATGCATAGTCTTGACCTGGCACTAGAACATACGAGGTTGACGATCAGATCGACCAGCCGTCCATAAACATCCGTCAGAGCTCTATCGGAATGCATACGGGACCAAGCGCGCTGCCTCGGTTGCATATGCACCTCCTCTACGATTCATGTCCGGTCAGAATCTCGACACTGCATCTGACCAACTCAGTGCAGTTAGGTTTCTACGGAAGCGATATAAACCCATCAGGGGCCCGCCTTCATCGATGTTACGGACGGAATGCCTCCTCTCTGGTCCTGGCATTCCAGTGTTCTCCCTGCTCTCGTAGCCTCGCTTCTGGTATGGAACGCAGCAAGGGCATCCTTGGACTGTCCTGCAGGCCAAACAGACTGGTATACAGAGTTCATCGGAGAAACATCTTGCACTACATATCAGCGTCTTCGACAACTATGTGATCCCGAATGTAAGTTTTCCTGGTTATAGCGTGCCTTCGACAGGAACGATATCCTCATATTCTTGTCGAATACCAGACGAAGTTAGAGAGTGGATTGCGGCCTCTCCCTCACCGGGCGACATCTGCGACTCGTTCGACGGGCGGTGCTGCTGCAATTACATTGCATTCTCCCTCGGAATGCTCTGTTTGAAGTTCGTGATATCCCCCCTGTGCAACAGTAGGATGCTGATACGCCGTCCAGCTGTCAGGTCGGCGAAGGCGACATTCCGAATGGCGCCGACGTTGGCATTAACGCTCCAAACGGGTCGTACGCCAACTACGTGAGCGAATGCGAGAGTGTCTGGCTCGACAATAAGAGTCTCCCGGATACAGTGCAAACGGCCGTATGCAATGCACAGATTCAGATACGGAAGCCGTTCTATGGAGGAGGTTGGGGCAATTCCGATGGATGGCACGTAACCGTCTTTCTTGACTGCCAATAAGCAGCCTGAGCTTACCGACCGTTGGTAGGTTCTACGAAAACTTCAGCAAGACCTTACAGCTGGACTTCGCCGAAACCCCTTCCGCGACGTTCACCAACTGCACGCAATCGCCTTCTAATGCGTCCAATGACACGATACCTACAGCATCGTCATCGTTGCTGATGTCTAGCTCTCTGACGACGATTTTATATTCGAGTACCACTTCAAGTACGACCTCGATTTTATATTCGAGTACCACTTCAAGTACGACCTCGAGCGCCCGCTCGGCTCCCTGGCCAAGTTCGTCTTTGCCGTCCAGCTCAATATCATCGATGTTGAAATCGACATCCACGATGACATCATCGTCGACCTCCTCAGCTTCTTCATCTTCAGCAGTGGATGCTATCACCAAAACACAGTCCAAGCAGAGAGACCTACGCATCATCGGCGGCTCCGTCGGCGGATTCCTTCTCGCTATGCTCATCCTCCTCAGCATCATCTTCTATCGCAGACGCCGCTACCGCGCGATCATCCCTGCCAGCGCCATACCTGTCGCATTTGACCTCATGGGCGATGAGCCGCTAGAGGACCCTCCACTCTCATCTATCCGCCGACGCACTTCGATAACGCCCTTCACCGCGATCGCCCCGAGCAGTCCGGTAGTGCTCGAGAAGAGGCCGCTGCCTCCAGTCCCTCCGCGTATGTCAATCGGCGAGAGCCCATCACACGCAGTAGCCAGGCGCTCTCAAATGGAGCCTACATCTCGACCCTCATCCTCCACCTCGTTGAATCGCATCCCGAGTATGGATGGCTCGCAATGGACGACGCATAGCAGCGGCTCGGCTGCAGATGGCTCGCAGCAGGACTCGGAGCCTTCCCCGCCACAGACGCCTTTGCCACCACCTGATTCACAGAGACGTTTGGAAAAGCTCATGACGTTGTTAGGCAACCCGCGATATGATGGTTGAATATGTTGCTCCTGCTGTAGTCATTCCACCTATCTATGGAGCATAGTTTGGACTGTTCTTTAACTGTGCAGTATACTTGTAATGTATATCTACAGATTTTGAGAATCACATCCAACGGTCGCGTGTTCTAATGGTTATGATTTCTGTCTCACATTGAGATGCAAGGGTATCTGCAGGGTGCTCACAGAAGGTTCCCGGTTCGATCCCGGGCGCGACCAGTTTTCTCTCTTTCTCTTACCTCTTCCTCTGATGTTTTACCTTGTACAGCCACGATCTCTTTTCTTGGCTCAATACGCGCATTATGTTCAAGTTCAACTTCGACATCGAGGATCAGGATGACACCGTCATCGAAGATGTAGACGCCGAAGCCTCAGCGCCCTCCAAGCAGAGCTCACAGGCATACAACGATTGCGCCGAGATTGCCCTCTCTGAACTTGTTCGTCTTCTCACTCAGCCGAAGACAATACCAAAACGCTCAGTGACTTCTGCATAGCTAGATGTTCTACCCTCTGATATATCTTTTTCTCCTGTCCAAATCCCGTTATCCTCCGGAGGAAATGTGACGCTCTCCCGACGAGATTTGTTCGACACGCGCTTTCAACTCATCGCACAAACCGGCGCCGAGCCCGCAGAAGCTGCTGAAAACTCCTCTGACCCTTCGGACGCTGCGAGGGGGAACACGCTAGACTTCGTGGATGCACCATCCGACCTGGTCCCAGGCATTTACGAGGGTGGGCTGAAGACTTGGGAGTGCAGCCTGGACGTCGTGGAGTATTTGCACGAATCAAGAGGGGAGGACTTGGCTGCATCCGTTAGTGGCAGAAGAGTGCTGGAAGTACGAGGGTTCTTTTGTCATACAGGACGTGTACTGATCTCTATTCCAAAGATCGGATGTGGAACGGCAATACCCTCGCTGTATCTGCTCAAGAACCTATTCGAAGGGAAAAAGCCGGAGCACATCCGGAAGACAGAACTATCACTGCAAGACTACAATCGATCCGTATTGGAGCTCGTCACCCTACCCAACATCCTCCTATCATGGTGTATGTTCTTTCACCCGCGCCACTCCCAGACTCTCGCCTCATCTCACTGCGCTGCACTCAGATATGTCGTCGGCGTCAGCGCTCTTCCGCTCATCCTACGCCATCGCGTCAGATCAGGACACCAACGATGAAACTGCAGAAGCGTATCCACCTGCGGATCCCTCTATCCCTGGTGAAATCGCCTTCACTCCCGCTCTCAAGTCCGCCTTCCTTGCCTCCCTGTCCGCCATAGGCATCACCCTCAGATTCTTCTCCGGTTCATGGGACAGCTTCTCGTCTCGGATAACTTCGCCATACGATCTGATCATCACGTCGGAGACGATCTACCGTACCGACACCGTCGGGTCCCTCATCGACGTGATGCGGCGCGCTAGCGTGTCTTCCGAGGACAGTCTTACTGCAGCGACGTCGAGATTGAGCATCGGGGATAACGAGCGCACAGGGCCGATATGCCTGGTTGCTGCCAAGGTCTTTTACTTCGGTGTTGGCGGTGGCGTAACCGATTTCGCTCGTCGCATCGAAGGCACAGGAGCGCAGGTTGAAACTGTATGGGAACGCAAATCAGGCGTAGCTAGGCAAATCTTGAGCTTACATTGGCCTCGATGAAAAATACAAGCATTCATTTCAAGCAATGCGCACGGCGAACAGCAACGTGAATTACTAGTGGACACGACGAAAATACAGTATAGATGCTGGCCAGAATTGAGAACAAACAACGAGCAAAGCGGATACATAAGCACTCGAAACAAACCAAGACCAATCTATGACAGCACGATGACCTCTTGTGCGGCATTTATTTGCTTATCCTCTTCCTTCGCTGGCGGAGTGTTCAGCGGGGTGTTGAGGTTCCTCTTCTCGAAACCTTCGATCCACCGGTTCCGCACCTCGTCCTTCTGTCGCACCTTCTTCTCGCAAGCCTCGATCTCTTGCGCGGGCGCAGTTCTTCGCCAGAACACGTCCTCGGTGCCCGGCACGTAGAAGAACCGGTATGTTTTAACGCAAATACGAATCTCGAGCTTGTCCGAGCCTAGGACATCCATCTTAGCGACCGGATGCTCGCGTCCGCGAGCATGTCCCAGGCTTCTTTGCAGGAACGGCCGGCGGATCTTGTTCTCCGGGACACCGGCGGTTGTTCCGGGCTGAGCAGAGGGATTCCATCAGTGTACACTGTAGTGCTCAACGGTCGACTCACGGAGGTAAATGATCTGATGTATGCTTCCCATCGGCCGCTCATGACCTCTGGGTCATCGACATTGACGTCATCTTTGCCGAGCAACTGGATTCTCATCGCCTTCACATCCGGTAGCTACGAGCAGAGAGCCGAATCAATCACGACGATGTTCGGATGCCACAAAGTAAGACGATGCTCACCCATTCGATGCGGAACAGATTTTCATCCGGACCGACGACCCTCTCCGCATTCTTGCGGTAGTTTATAGCGTCTTGCGTGGTTGGTTTCGAGATCTGCCGTTCTCTCTTCAACAATTCAAAGAGTTCCGGTGTGCGAGGGTCAGCAATTGTTGTTTGTGTCTAGGTGGGCCTCAGTCAGTCTGAGAATTTGGAGGGAGCATTGATCAGTTCACCTGCTTGACGATAGTCCCTATCAACCGATCTATGGTAAACATAGAATATGCGTCCTGCAGGAGGATTGTGTCAGCGCGTGTTAGGTAGAACATCCTGTGATCGAACCTTAGGACCAAACATAAACCGCATCTGGTCCTCAAACGCGCTCATTTCGATCTCATTATCGAACAGCCGCTCGCACGCATCCAACATGACGTCGTAATACTGCGCGGCCTGCGCCTGTAGCGCTGGAACGGCCGCGGATTCGTTGGCAGCTGTCGCACCCAGATCTTTTGCGAGAGCTTCCTTCTGCCGAGCAGCGACGACGGGCTTCTCGGCCAGTCTCGCAGCTGCTTCCTTGAAGAACGCGAGACGGGAATACAGCATCTGTAAGACATTGTAGTCAGGGGTCATCTACGCATGCGCATACGCGCGGGGCAACCCACCTCCAACTGCCTCATCAAGACATAGAAATTCGTGTTGGTGAAGAAGCTCCCCTTTCGCGGCGTCTTCACTGCGGCGATGTCATCCGTGTGGCGCAAGTGCGTATCTTGCTGGTCCACGTCCATCGCGTCCGATCGCGCAGGGGACGCTCGTCGAGATCCCGAGGGCGACGGTGTGGCAGTTTCTTGCCCATGGCCTCGCGTCTTCCTGCTTGACTTGGCCTGCTCGCTCTTCAACAACCGCTTGCGCAGGTCACCCGTCGACGCGCCGGCCGATTTGCGACTGCTTCTCGCAGCGCGAGTCGAGCTGCTGGCTGCGGTGGTGACTTCCGCATCCTCCGTGGCGCCCGCACTCGCCACGTCGTCGCTCGCATCCGCATCCTGCGACGAAACCGTGATGGCGGCCGCAAAGGCGGCGTTGAACGTGGTGGCATCCTGCATAAAGAACAGTGGGACGAAGATGCGCAGGAAGCCCTCTACCCGCCTACGATCAGCAGCCGGGATCTGGCCCGCAGTGCGGTCCAAGAACGAGAATATCAGCTTCATCGCGTCCTGCAGCACCGGCATCTCTGCCACCTCGAGCTCGAGCTGATGCCGTGGTCTTGTCCGCGCAAAGAGCGGGTCGATGTACTGCGCCCGGCGCGCCATCTGCTCCTCGCGCGCAGCCTCGATCTGGCTGACAAGCGTCCGAGCCGCCATCGCGCGCTTGTCCGCCTGCCGAAACGAGACGCCGCGGTAGTCAAGGGCGCGCCAGTAGTTGCGCGCGTCCGCCTCGCGCCAGACCTTGTTCCATTCTCGCTGCGCGCGCTTCCACTCCTCCTCCTTCTGCTTTAGCCGCGTGAGTACAACCGGAACCGCGAGCGCCGGTGTCTCCTGCATCGCACGGACGACCTCTACGCCCGCCTCGCGTCCGTAGATTTTCTTGATCACGCGCTGGTGCACGGCCTTGCCCATCCCATTGAGGTTGGGCTTCAGCTTGAACGCCGCGAGCTCGTCCGGCGCGAGCTGCAGGATCTTGTGGTTCAACGGTTCGAGCATCGCGATGGTGCGTACGATAGCCTCTATGTGGAAGTCGTACTCGTGCCGCTCTTCCTCTGATCGGTGGAGCGCCTCTTCGTAGATATTCTTCTTGTGTGTCGCGAACCCGCCCGATCCCGCGTCCTCCGACGCCCACGACGGGTGTGACACCCACTCGTCGTTTAGTACCGACTTGCACATGTCGTCACGTCCGGAGCATAGGACGTGCCGTTCCTAACAATCGTAACTCGTCAGCATCCAGTTGCCCACCCAATGGACGACAAATGACGCACGCTCTCCGGCAGCCGCCTGTAGCTGCCTTCCTTAGCATGCATATCGGCGCGCATCGCCAACCCCACCGTCCGCTCCCGATCCGCTCCAGCCGTCTGCCGGCCCTCCCGCTCCCGTTTCTCAATCCCGTTGATCGCGCCCATACCAGCGATCCCACCAAACACCTCCTTCTTCTCGTCCCAGCCCAGGATCTCTTTCCAACGCGCCATCAGTTCGCCGTCGCCGAGGAAGCTCCGGCTCTCGGCCACGAGCCTCCCGCGGTCGATGAAGCCCTGCGTGAAGAGATTAACGAGCTTGAGGAACTCGGCGTACGTCTCGCGCGAGTCGAGCGCGCGCTTCACGAGCGCGAAGAAGTGCCCATCCTCTTGGACTGGGTGGCCGGCGGGCCCGTGGGGCCCATTGGAACGTCCATGCGCGGGTTGCTGGTGCTGCTGCGAGTAGTGATGAGACCGGTCTCTATCAGAAGCGGATGCGCGGTCCCGCTCGCGAGCCGACGAGGCCACCTCCCGATCTCGCTCGTGTCCTCTCGACTTCTGGACATGCCATCAGCACACCAAGATCTCCAATGAAGCGTCTTACGGAAGCATACCTTAACAACGCTCCGGTCCCTGCCCGACTCCGACCTCACATCCCTCTCCCTCTCTCGCTCCTTCTCCTTCTCGGGCACCTTGCGCTTCCGTTTCACCGGCACTACCGGCGCATTCTCGCGTTCGCGCTCGCGGTCCGCCTCCCTCGTCCGCTCCTTGTCCTTCCGCGCCGGAGCGCGTGGCGGCGGGCTCACGAACCGCCGATCGTGCTGTAGCGTGTGCGCCGGCTGGTGCTGCCCGTGTTGCAACATGTACGATTCGGACATGATCGCCTGGAAAGACGCGTACAGATCCGCGTCCTTCTCCACGAGCTTCTCCATCTGCGCTAGGATCGCCGATTGCTGCGCGACGTGTTCTCGTCAGCCGTCATACGTGAGAATACGATAAGAAACGTACCTCTTCTTGAGAGAGCCCCGCTCCTTGGCTCATGATCCTCAAAAACTTGGCATACGTCTCAGGATCGGTTCGCGTCCGGAGCTTCTGGACGAACAGAAGCGCGGGCGGGAAGTGCTCAGGGTCGTCCACCGCCATCGGCACAGGGATTTTATCGCTGCCACTCGCCTCAGGTCCTCTCTCGCGATCCCTCTCTCTTTCGCGCTCTCTCGCATGGACCTCGCTCGCAACCTCGACCGAGCTCTGCAACACCTGACCAGGAGTCGTCATGGGCTTCTCTTTATCCTTCGCGGTGGCCGGGGGCGCGCGCGCAAACGGTGGCGCCGATGGTGCCGAGCTGGTCGTGACCGTCCCGGTCGGGGTCGTGACGGTGATGAGTGACGTGTGCGCGGGGTCGAGCGGATCTTGCGAGACTGTGCACTCGATGCGATAACCGGCGGGGAGAAAGGTGTTGAAGCCCTGAATGAGCTGTGGGTGGCCCGCGAAGAGGGTCGAAACCCGTTCAATTACGCCCGGGGTGTCGATGCTATATAGGGAGATATGATAGTCGATTAAACATGATGAGACAGTATTGAGCATCGATTGGTAGGAAAAAGACCCACTGTTGCGATTTGAAGTCTTTCATAATATCCAGAAAGCGGTTGTACACGTCCGGCCGCTCCGAAAAGCGGTTCTTGACGGCGTCGAGGTAGCTCAGTGCGTCAGTCACGTTCAGCGGCCTCTCGTTTGCCCCAACCATGCTTGTAGTCACCGGTGGGGCGCTTTCTGCATCCGGGGTGGAAGCGACGGGTTGATCGCCGGGGGGTGGTACAGCTTCGGCGGCTACGTCCGCATTTGCGGTAGGTTCTACGGATGGGAGAGGCGAGGTGAGGCCAGAGGATGGTACCGCTTCCGGTTCAACGACGAGGGGGAGTGGCGTGAGAGGGCGCGGACGGTTGACGCCTCTCGAGCTGGAGCTGGATGACGCTGGCGGCGTCAATGAAGGAGTTGCCGCCGCTTCGACGGGCGTCGGCATCAGTACGGTGGCAGATTCGTCTCTTGGTGGTGGAGGCGACGCGAGTGGCATCGGTTCGTCGCGTTCCTCCGCCTCGGACTGGGTTGCGGTGGGTGGTGCAGGGGGTTGCGCCTCCGGTTCTACTGCTGGTGCCGCTGGTACAGAATTGGATGCAGAAAGACCTTGGGTAATGGGTGCGGGATCGGCGGATATGTTTTCGGATGGTTGGGAGGGTTCGGCGGGATCTGATGCGGCTGGAGGGATGGGGGGTGGCGGGGCCAGGGGTGCCACCGGCGTTGGCGCCGTCTCTGCAGCCTCGTTCGGGGCTGAGTCTACAAGCGGAATATCTTCATGTCTTTGTGCTGGATTTGGCTGCAACGTCGCATCCTTCCGTGGTTGATCCGGGTTTGCGCCTTGTGTATCGGCCATCCTGAAGCTGCGTGGTGATGGGCACTAAGTCAGTGCTCCGGAATGAGTGGTCGTCGTGCAGGCTCACAAATCTCAGCTGTATGCAGTATTTTATTGCATAAACAGCCAAAGACAATAAGGGTTGACAGACAACGGAGCGCGAGGATGTGTTGGCTTGGGGTCAGTGAGACGAGGACGAGAGACCGCAATACGCGCCCAGATTCAGCGATTGCAGGAGGATCATGTGATGTTACTCAGTGCTGCCAGTTCCGGCTGCCGGGTAACCGTAGTAGAGCTATCGGCCCAAATTACCTGAGCTTGCTCTGGTATCTCCCTGCCCGTAATTAGTAAGCATCGCTAACCGTGGCTGTGCTGCACATTTAATCCCCGATTTGATTCTCCGATTCAAGTAAACGGCAAACATACATGATAACCTCGTCAATTCTACGCAGACTTTACCAAGTACAAGTATACATGGTTGTAGTGCTACTGAACAGAATGATGTACGGTACGTTACATGCTTCCGAAGTTAGAATTAGATGAGTCAAGACCAGGAATGGCTGGCATGATATCTATTTAGTTGTCAGGTATACACGTTGAGTATACTAGCGCGTCGCAAATCACACAAGGAAGGTGCAAGCGAAGGTGGATCGGCGGGAGACCGCCCTTTCCTCTAGTAGATAACACGGCGAATAAATGTAACCCGACCTCCATTACTACAATGTGACGCGGTGAGCAATGCCCCTCGTTTCGAAGATGAGCAGTCCCTATGCACGATTGGCGAGGCCTCCGTATCCGTTTTCGCCAACGAACGACGGTACAAGAGAATACTGACTTATACTCTCAGACATATTTTTAGGATATACCGGGAGACTGACTAGAAGAAATCTCAAGAGATTGCAAGGAGCGGGCACACTTGGCTATGGCCCTGGTTCGCTAACACACGCATCCATAGATATGAGAAAGCACAGTGGATTCCCATCGCAAATCCGGAGAAAAAGCACATGTAAAGCAGCATTCCCTCCTCCCACATCAAGGCTATATATAAGTAATCAACTTAGATGGTGCCGGGGTCGGTGCTCGGGTCGTCGTTATCGGTGGCCGGGCCGTCGGTGTCGACGTCTGCGCAAATCTGAGAGCCGTCCGGGCAGTGCGGGATCAACGTCTCGGTCGCGCCGCCTGAGAGAGGCAATCAGCGCCCGGCCGTGCGAATACAGATGCACGATACTTACGGTCAGAGGTGAGAGTAGGGAACGTGCGCGCATCACAGGCAATCTCGAGGTCGGCCGGACCCTTGGTCGCGGGGAAGGAGGCGGGCTTGACGGCGACGGTGCTAGCCGGAGGAACGGCGTCTGAGCAGTCGATCAGCTTCTTGGTGTTCTGGCCGAGGACAGCGAGCTTCTCAAATGCGTTCTTGAAGCTGGTGGCCATGAAATCCTGCTGGTTAACAAATCCTTGCCAGAAGCAGGCCGTGCGCGAGTCGCGGGCGAGCGCGAAGTCGGACTGGAGGCGGAGCTCGCCCGTGTCGTTGCCGCTGCCGACGGGGAGGGGAGATAGGACCTCAGCGGAGCTGTTGCCGGGTCCGGGGAGCCCAACACCCTTGAGCAAAACCTCGAGGAAGATCTGGGTGTCCATTACGAACGGGGTCTACGGGGCAAAAGAATTGAGCAAATGAGTGCGCGTTACAATTTGGCTCAACTTACCGAGTCGAAGGGAGCGGCGTCGATGGCAAGATCGACCTTGTCCGCACGCGCGATACTGTGAGAAGCCAGGAGGGAGATAACCTCGAAGGGAGAGAAATTGCCAGCGTCTGCGAAACGGTCGAGGATGGTGTCGACGCTGTCCTGCGGCTCAGGGACGAGACCGTTAATGGACGGGTGGGTCGCGTTCGGACGGCCGGCCAGGAATTGGACGCGCGGCGCGCCAGGGCAGTTGGTCAGGGCGACCGCGCCAGCAAACTGGACGAGGTCACCGGCTGTGACGTCGTGTCTCTGCAGGAATGGCAGCAGGTTGTTGACGCTGTCAGAGATACCGTCGTTCTCGAAGAACTCCGGCTCGACCGTCGGGAACAGCAGGACCGAGCCGTCAGCGCCTGTGCCACTGTAACCTGAAGTCAGGTATTGTATTGGAACGCAGTCTGGTTCCACGACTTACGCTGAAGGACCAAGACTCTGGCTGATACCGATGGCGTCGTGGAACGTAAGGCGGAGAATCTCGTGGGCTACATTATTGTGAGCCCAGGTTTGCCATCCATGAAGAACGGGACCTTACCGGTTTCACCACACTCGCCATCGAGAACGTTCTCTTGCAGGTCCTGTGCGAGGGGGATGAAGGCGCAGCAGGCGGCGTTGGTGACACGAGTCCCGTCGGAGCAAACGGCAGCTTCAGACGTTGGAGCAGCACGAGCGACTGCTGCGAGAGCGACGAGAGAGAGGAGCGACGCAAAAGCCATTGCAATGCGTATGACCGACGGTAGGAGCTGAGCGAGTAGAAGACCCGATGTCCTGAGGAGACTGTGCAGCAAGTTGGCTGCCTCTTATACCCAGCGAAAAGGCGTATTTCTGTACTCTGAGTAAACAGCCCTGAGCGCCTCGCCTCTGCATGCCACCAATTGCGATGAGAGGATTTGCTCGGTCGCAGAAGCGTGGAGGCCAATGAGGACGGATCACGCCGTCGACGGAGGGGACTTGAGAATGCTAGGCCCAGCGGCAAGGAATGGACAGACCATCCGGACTAGTTGCATCCGCCCCGGACATACATCGTGGACGAGACAGCGCCGACGGGGAGGTAGGGCACACGCAAGCATGCGCTGTTACCTGTGCAAATGCATATTATATGTCGAAAACATCCACGCAACCGCTCGCCGGCGCACGTTGATCCTCAGGTTTGGGTCTATTGCGGGTCGCAAGAAGTCAAAGAATAGAACAGGATTGCTAACAATACGTACCATCTATTCTAAGGTCCTATAATTGGATACAGAACCGCCTCCGGAAGATCTGAAGTCGGTCGGCGAATGCCTCGAAGACGACCGAGACAGCGTCTTGTCCAAAGGCGAAGTTACACCCTCGATTGCTGGTTCTCAGACCCAACGACAGTAGTTGTCCGACTCATGAGCTTACAGTGTTTTTGAGAGAGGATGAGTTGTACAGAGGATCGTCTATGAGTCGATCCAGAATGAGAAATCACGAAAGAATGTTGAGCTTACGGACTGACCAGTACATGTTGTATTGAAATCGATGCCGCTGGTCTGGGCTGCGCTCGTACCATGACTGTGGTACGTCTCCGAGTCTCCCGTGGTCGTGAATACAAGGGTAGCAGTCGATGGGCTTATGATATCATCCTTTCTCGCGACGTTTCCTCGTCTCAACGGAGTAGCCCGGAGCCGGTTAGTCCTCCGTGTAAACATTCACAAGACTCAGTATGTGCTGAACTGCCCCAAGCTGCGCGGGTGAGACTGGGAGACGGGAGAAGTGCAGTTCGTGGGAATCCACCAGGTTGCGTGTTCCATGACTGATGACCAACGAGCAAGAGAAGTTCGGCACCTTGCTTGCGGAGACGGAATCAATCTGTGACCACGAATCAAACGTGAGAGTGAGATAGCATCTTTGACTCAGAACTGGAGCCATCACTTTGTATAGCAGGGCTGATTTCTTGGCGGATCACGAAGGAGGAATGAAACCCAAATTTTATGCCCAGAAGTTCTTCCTATGGTGTCGCGACCTCCTCCCATCCGTCAAAATGGTCGAAGAGCGTACTCTCTTCGGTAGTTCGGTTCTCAACTACGCACAGCCCTAAACCAGAACGCCCCGCGAAGAGAGGAACTTGAGATATTTCTCGACCCGCGCGTCCAACCCGTCTCAAGAAGGCGGATTGTCGTCTGCCGTAGATCTGACCGCGACGTATAACTGAACGCTGAACGAGCCGACCGAATTGCGGGACGGCGAGCTCGGCTGCGATCGCCTCGACCCTCTCGCGCATTAACTCGGAACAATCTCCGGAGGATAACCCGCTGTCTACCTTCAACACAAGCGATGATAGGGACTCATTGGCCGTTGTGGCGAGCGAGCGAGTAAGAGCAATCGGGTCCAGCGTGGGGTGCGGTCGAGAGAGGATGCAGACTACCCGGACGAGGTGACGGTTCCTCGAGGAGTCTAGGGCTTTGACCAAGGGTGCGATAGAAGCGCACATCAGGCTCGGGTCTCCTTCATGAGTAATTTCTGTAACACGACGACTCACGCTTATCCTCGTGGTAGTGAAGGGAGAAGTCAACAGAGACGGAAGGAGCGCAGGGACGGGTATAGCCGTAGCGGGGAGCTGATCGCTGCGATTTCTTCTGATGACTTACATTCCAGGCTCAGCTTCTCTACCGATAGAATACCGTCTCCGCGCCCCCCTGAAGCACAAAGTATCTCTCCGATGACGTCTATCTCGCTCGTCTCGACGTGCAGCGCTGTCAGGCCGGTCAAGAGGCTTGGCGCCGGCGCCGCCGCGACGTGTCTGGCCAACGCCTCGATCGACTCTTCGTTCTCCTCCTCGAACACGACGTCGAACATGTAAAGTTGAGAGACCGTCTCGGGGAGGGAGCGGAGGAAGCATTCGATCAGCGAGGGAGAGGAGGGCGATTGACGCATCTGGACCAAACGAAGGCTTGGGAACGAAGCCAGGGCGTACTGGAGAAACTCGTAGTACTCCGCGAGAGTAGCGCCTGGGTCGACGGCCAGCCATGCAAAGTGCAGGGATCGAACTTTGGCATGCTTATGCCCGTAAGGTCATGGAGAACGAAGCAGGGGGTGGATACGTCCGTTATATGGCGAGGCTAGGTGTGGGGAGGCGCGCAGGATTCACGAGAGGCGGACATGAAGCTCGTTCAGTCCCGGTCTGGTGCGGTTGAAGAGGTCCACGAAGAATGGCTAACGTGGCACGGAGCCATCCCCGACAAATTAGTACGCAGGCTTGCAGCGTTTGTTCATCATCGATGTACCCGACGAGGTGGTCGAAGACTTCTTGTGGAAACCTAGGAACGATCATACTACGAGCGCTGACCTCCTCATATACAACTTTTCTGCCAAAGGGTGGACAGATCGACCATCGAAGTCCGAACAGCTGGAGCGGTACGGACAACTTGAGACCCTACAAGTACCGATGGGCTGCACAATACGACGTTGAAACATCACGCAGAATATGACGCTTGATGCGGCTAGCGGAGAATAGACAGAGAATGAGAAATCCGTTGGAGATGGTGAACACTGTTCAAGGTGAAGGAGAACGCGCGATCAAGAGATCTGTGCGAATTCATCGACATTATTGACTCCAGCTTGTCCTCGCTCGTCTCTGGGCCCGTTCTCCAGAAGAGAGCAATTGTGCACCTCTCACTGCAATAGCCATGTCAGACTTCCCGACGACCATCGCGCCCACCAATATTGCGCCCCTCGCCCCTCAGGATGACGGCTCAGGCAACATCCCCCCGCCTCCCGAACAATCCGAGCCGGCGCCCATTACCGACCAAGAGGTCGGCGAGTACCGCGAGCAGGATCGTTACCTACCCGTACGTCGACCCCTAGTTTATTCTATTCGCGCCCTCCCCGCCCTCCCCCTTTCCCATCATACACGAACATCCGTCTCCGTCGCTGTCACGCCTAGGTTCCTGCGAGCGCGTTCAATGACGATCCTCAGTGTGAACCTGCCCTCGTATAGATCGCCAACGTCTCGCGCATCATGAAGAACGCGGTCCCGCCCACGGCGAAGATATCGAAGGACGCGAAGGAGTGCGTGCAGGAGTGCGTGTCCGAGTTCATCTCCTTCATCACGTCCGAGGCGGGCGAGAAGTGCGCGATGGAGAAGCGGAAGACGATCGGCGGGGAGGACATCCTCTACGCGATGATCAACCTCGGGTTCGAGAATTACGCGGAGGTGTTGAAGATCCATCTGGCCAAGCTGCGGCAGGTGCGCGTTACCGAGCTCTCTCTCTCTCTCTCTCGTTCGCCTTGCGTGAGTGCTGATGGTGATCAAACTCCTCACGTAGCATCATCAAGCTGGAACCACTGCTGGAGGAACTACGCGCACAGCTGGCCAAGAGGAGTAGGCAGTCAAACGCCTCGTCACATATTTCATCTGTCTTGTTGTCTCCGTCTAGCTGTTGTCTCGATGTATCGTTATATCATCAAGTATCCACACGAAGCCATACTACACATCTCCATCTATCTCGGCGCGGTGTTTCATTACAAGCAAGTCGGATACTTGACCATACAGTGGGGTATCAACATGGCATGAAATCGTCGAACGTGAGGGTGTCGTGAGGGCCCAATGCATGCATGGGCAAGATTTTCTGAGTGGACCCGGAGCAAGGAGCGCGAAGACGGGCCTAGTCGTCTCCCCTCCGTGCGAGGAAGACACCCGCATCGCTCTTCCCCCTCCGTGACCCGCCAAACCCGGAGCTCGGGAAAGATGTCGTAGTCGTCGCGCTCGCCACGGAAGGTGCCTTCGTCTTCACAGGCGTGTCGTCCACGGGGTATCCCTCGAACGTGTCATCTTCAGCCGGGTACCCCTCGAACGCCGGCGTCGACGGCGACAGCACCACCGAGCGCGAGTCGGAACGGGAATGCGACGAGTTCGAGTTGGACGCGATCCCCGACTTCCTGCTCTTCTTCTTCTTGCTCTTCTTCTGAGCTTGTGCAGGAGGCTGAGAAGAGAGGAAGTGGTGGTTGTACTCCGCACCCACGCCCGCGGATTGCGTGGCGTCCGCTGGATACGGTGCGTATCCGGAGTTGGACCGCGACCCGGACGTGCGCGAGCGCGAATCCGACCCTCCCCCGTCCGACGTCCCCGCCGCGCCGCCCCGCTTCGCGTAACTCTCCGCGCCAAAGTCGGCGTCCCCTTCGAGCGGCTCGTCAACGTCCGGGTGCGGCGCCAGCTGCTGCTGCTGCTGCTGCGGCGCGCGCTGCTGGTACGAGAGCTGCGAGTCGGAGCCGGTCACGCTGGGCGAGACGGGCAGCGCGCCGCGCTTGAAGGGCGACGGGATGCCTCCCGCGCCGCCCACTCCGGACCCGGATCCCTGGAAGCCCTCGAACTCCCCGTCGTCCGCGCCGTGCCCCGCCGCGAGCCGCAGCGCGAGCTCCTTCATCGCCCTGCGCTCGCGCCTTCGCCTCCGCCGCTCCTCCCGCTCCCGCTCCTGCTCGCGCGCGACCCGGTCCTCCTCCGGCTCGACGCGCATCCGGGCGTGTTCCGACGGTTGGCCGCGCGGCGCCGGGGGTGACGACGAGAGCTGCGCGATGGTGGACGGGTCGATCGGGGCGGCGTCCGAGTCGACGCTCGCGCGCGAGCTCAGCCGCGGTCTGCCCCTCCTGCCCTCCCCTTGCTCGCCATCGTCGTCGTCCTCATCCGGCGGCAGCTGGATCGCGGGCCGCCCGAACAGGTCCCAGCCCCAGAGCGTGATCCGTTTCGGGTTCCGCTTCTTTTTCTTCTTCTTCTTGCGTCGCTGCTCGTGACCGACGGTGGAGTGCAGCGAGAGAGTCTCGGCCTCGGTGTCGGTGCTGTCGCCCGGCTCGGCGAGGAGGCGTTGGAGATCGGGGCCTGCGCCTTGGGTGGAGGATTCGGGGTGCGAGTGATAGCGGCGGCTGGGGAGGCAGGCGAGACATGGGGCAAGGACGGCTTGAACGCCGTCGGACCAGGAGAAGTGGTCCATGGCTCGATGGCAGGAGTGGTTGTGAATGTGTTGGCAAGAGCCAAGAGGCAGGATGATGCAGGTGTCGCGGGGTATGAGTGCGTCAGAATCTCGTGAAAGTTTGCCGTGACCCGGCGGGACGTGTTCGGACACGCGGTGGACGCGTGCGCCGTGCGGGGTCAATCAACTGCTGATCCCCTCCTGAGCTGAGTTACCCCTTGGTTTATCACTTTGACAACAACTGTCATGCATACCGATCGAGAGTAGCGAGTCGGAGGACTCGAGAGCAAGATGAAAAGGTGTCGCGCAGTGATAGTACGTCGGAGGTTATGTATCCGCTTATGGTCTGCGCTGATATCTGGTAGACCGATATCCACAATCGAGGTGGAACGATGCGCTCAAGCAAGGTCAAGGAAGCGAAGAGGTGGACGCCTAGATCGCCCAGCAAGGCCTTGGGGTGTCGGGGGGCGAGATAGGTGGCTCATTCACGTCAATCGGGCCAAAATAACAGCCCATGGCGGGGCTCGAACCCGCAACTTTCAGATAACCTGACACAAGGGTCCGTAAAAGTCTGACACTCTGGCCAATTGAGTTACACGGGCACGGCTTTCGATACCTGCTTTGTAAGTATATACCGTTGCCATTGTGTACTGGGAATCATGTTTATGTAATCACAAATATGCGAGTCTTTTGGGTGCACAGAAGTAACGATTCCATACTGTACGTTTATAGTTTTAGTGCCCGTACATCAAAGTAAGCGCGGGCAAACGTGGCGCGAGGGTTGGATTCCAGGACCGGCATGTCCATATATATCCTCCCTAAACCTACGCCATCGTCCTTCCTTGTCTTCGTCGTCGCGTCGATACCGATCTTGCAAGCATGACCTGCCCGCACACGCGCGCCTTCTCCTCCTCTTCCTCGCGGCAAGTCGTGGCACACTCGTGGACGCCGGACGGTGGGGCGCCCATGTACAGGTGGATCTCGCCACCGGCAGATCCGGAAACCTCGGTATACGTTCTGATCCCCGACCCCCTGGACTCGTGCCGGTCGGGAAATTGAAATGCATGCGTGCTGCGGCGACAGCATTCTGGCAACAACCCCGGAGCCTACCTGAACCGTTCTTGTCCTGCGTTTGTCCCTCTCCGGTTCGATATACCTGGGTCGCATCGGTCGCCGAGTCCGGTTCGCACCGTAACCCCTCATCTCTTGCCAAAGACGCGCCGTCTCTCTGCTAGTCACCTTGCACGACGAAAGGGCACCATGGTCGCCTACCCCGATTCACCGACACCCGAATTTGCTCGCATCAAAGGAGAAATCGAGCGCCTCCAGTTCGCCAACATGCTGCTTCGCGACGAGCTCTCCGCGTCCAAAGCCGAAGCTCGGGCCTACAAAGCCGAGATGGCCGCCCAAGCCACGACCTCGCCCCCAGCGGATTCGGACCTGATAACGACCCTGAAGGCCCGCCTAAGTTCCCTCGAAGCTCAGGCGACGAAGGACAAGAGCCGCATCCAGGCGCTAGAGGCGCAGGCGACGACGGACAAGAGCCGCGTCGAGGCGCTGGAATCGCAGGCCGCGCGGGACGCGCCCTTCGTTGCCGTCGGGCGCGAAGTCCGCCTGCGCTACCTCGAGGTGCACCGTCAGCGACGCATGCGCCGGCGCATCGGTATCGAGGGCGAGCAGCGCATCAAAGCCGGCGACCGCGCCGCGCACCGCGGCCGCCCGGTCGCGGACGCCGCGCTCTGCCTACCGGGCGTCCCGGACGCTGACGCGAACCCGAGCCAATTGAAGGAAACCTACGAGGACCTCTACGGCGTGGGCGCAGACGAGATGCGGCGGAGGCTGCAGGACGTGCCGGAGGTCGTCGCCGCCGCCGGGTTCCACGCGTCGTTGCAGAGCGCGGGGCGGAAGACGACGGAGTTCGATAAGCGGTTTGGAGAGGTGATGCGCTTGGTGGGGAAGCATCGCGACGTCGTGCAGCTGAAGATCGCGTTCGGGGAGAATGCGGCGCTGATTCGGGCGCACGATGACTTGCAGGATTGCTTTGACAGGATTATCGCGACTGAGAGGCTTTGGCAGTCCCCTCGTCCTCAATCCTGATCATCCACAGGTACGTTGGCGTTTCGTTGTGGTTGCGACATCATCTGGAGGCGGTTCATATGCAGCACGTCGCCAATGCACACCCTACAGGATACCCGCACATGGATAACGGATTTCTGGCTGATCTCGAAACGTGAATGTATAGATGCTGTATGTAAGTATGAACGTGTATTATCTGGCCAAGGTATCGCTCTTGGAGACCAATGTGTATGCTACAAGCTGAGAGATGTGTTAGCAATGCGAACGTCGTAAAGATGAACCTTGAAAGCAGAGCGATGATGGGGAAAGACAATAGCATGAATATGTAGCGCTGATCATCATATCTCGACCTCTCGTAGCCCGAGGATATCGGGACTCCAGTCCCAGAATGCCCGTGCCCGCTGTCGCTGAGCAGACTCGGTCTCGCTGTCTGGGACCTCGTCATCCTCGTCGCCTTCAGCGTCATCTTCGGCCAGTTGGTCGACCTCTTCTTCCTCCTCTTCGGCCTTCTCTTCGGTCTCGTGCCCGCGAACGAGACTTGCGAACGAAACATGGCCAGAGTGTGCGAACTGATTCTCGTCCTGTTCATGTTCGTCGCAATCAAAGAGCCCATCCTCCGTATCGAACAGCTCGACCTTCACTTCCTCTGTTGCTTCGTCTTTCACCTTCTTCTCGCCATCGTCTTCCTCGTCGTCGAGAGTAGCCATGCTACGTTGAGATAGTCGCCTGATCCTTCGCGCAGCGATATCCACCCGTTTCTGATGCCCAATCCGCACGGGAGCAGGGGTGTATAGTTTAAACGACGGCGACGACGTGAGCGGCGAGAACGCGGGCTCGTCTTCCTCCTCCTCCACGTCCGTATCGCCGCCCAGACTGCGCTCGTGCTCGAACCCGGCTATGATGGCCGCGAGCGCACGTAGGAACGTCGCGAAATCGCCGGGGTTGTTCCACCGTGCTCCCTCCAGGGCCTCACGGGTGAATTGGTCGGGCGGCGGCTGCTCGTTCTCCTCGTCGTCGCTGCTCTTCTTCGTCGGCGACGAGGGCGTCCCGTAGGGGTCGCTCGACGGAGGGAGAACGCTGCCCGACCTTGAGTCATCTCCGTCCTCTCCGGCGATATCGACAACCTCCGTACGCAGGTCCAGCGAGCCCCGCGCGCGGAAGACGTACGGCTCGTTGCTCCGGCCGGATCGTCTTGGCAGACTCTCCATGTTGAGCGTAATGTGAATCGCGGTGAGCGGTGAATGCCACTGCGAAAGGAGGAAGGCGTGCGCCGCGATGTAAGATCACCCGGACGCCAGGTGAGCGCGTTGACTCACGTAGATGATCCCGTTCTCCAGCTCAGGGCCGTTGGGCCACACGCGGCCGACTTCGAACTCGTCTTCGTTCTCCCAGATCCAGCCGCCCTCCTCGCGCGGGTTCCCCTCGGCTGCGGCGTTGTCGTCTTCCGAGAGCGCTTCCTGCTCGTAGGGAAGATAGGACGTGGAGAGCTTGGCCACGGTGCGGCCGCTCTTGATAGCGTTGGACTGCAGGACGACGTCCCGCTGCACCTCGAACGCATGCGAGGAGGAGGGCGGGCTGGTCGCGGTCCATTCGCTTCGTGAAATCGGCCCTCGGCTCCGCGAAGGAAACAGGTACAAGATAAGAGCGTGTAGATGGCGAAAGGTGTAGTTCAACGGGACCTGTACGACGCGAAAGACGCCGGCACGGTCGAGCTCTGGTCGGGCGGCGCCACGCGCGTGACGTGCCTTGCTGCGCCGCCGATTGTGGACCGCGGCAGCTTGGACGACCTGAAAGCGTAGCGCGAGATGCTTGCTGAACGACGTGACCTCCGGCAACGCGACGCGCAGGCGTTTGCCGCGCTCGAGACCCACGGGATTTGTTGGGGAGTCGGATGGGATCGTGAATGGCGTCGAGCGCAGGGGCGTGGAGAAACATGATGTGTAATCTCGGGAAGCCTTGGGTGTCCGGGGCGTGAAGGGTGCGGAGGATGGTCCGGCTCGTAATTGCAGGAGCGTGTCCGACGTGGGCGGCGAAGGGAGTGCGCGATGAGTCCGGATCGCCCTTTTCTTAGGACAAGGGCTGTAGTCAGGATCTTCGTGTCCACGCTTTCCAGGCATAGGTTCAGCTACCATTTCCGGCGAATATAGGATCAGAGGATGAAGAGTGGGGAGAATAAAGCTGGGGGCTTACAAGTTGTTTATGGTCTTTATCCTCCGAAGGACTAGCGATGAAAATGTACCCTTTCGACGATGAAGCATACAATTACGTAGGATGTAAAATTTATCGGCACAGAGTCAAATACTTGAGCAGCTTAGCAGGTTGTTCGTTAGGTATCCCAGTGTAGCGCCGTCGCGGTCGTTCAGGTCGACGGAGAAACCGAAACGCGCTCAACGGAGCTTTGACAGTCACGTGCTCGCGCATCGCTACCTCGTCGCGCGCAGACGACGGTTGCTTGTTTCCTCTCGACGCCGTCCAGAAAAGAATGTGGTCACCGCCAGGGGCGAGTCGGCATACAAGACACTGAAAAGCTCTGCGTTGTGACCATCTTGAAGCTATTGGAGGGAACTACGCCTTGCAACCTTGGGGCCTGTTCCTGGATAGCGATCAGAATACTCACTGCCATTGCCTGCTATTCTCCCTCGGGTCTATGCTCATAAGCCGGTCTAGTGCCATGTTCTCCCGCTTGTCGGACTCAAGAACGAGGAGAAGGCATGGTGTGCGAAAATGTCTAGGAGGCCCGCCGTACGGGCGTTGAAGCTGATGCATCTTCTGCAATACCAAGTTACGGGCAAGTCATACTCGTGTGTACCTTCGGACGACTCCCCCGTTCTTCCAACACCTGGGTATTACGCTGGCCTGTGCCGTCGTTTTGGATGATCTTTCCCTGGAACAGTCGTTAGACGCGGGGTTCACCTCTTTTGTCCTGACTGCCGCCCGGCAAGCACGGTGCGCGTTCGCAATGTTGGCCCGTCCATGCGTGGAAACGACCCTTCACGGTCTCGGGGCCGCGTTCATGAGAATCGACGTTGCGCTCAGGCTCACATTGGCCGATCACCGCGGGTCAAGCGCGCGACTCTCCTATTGGGACGCTCCGATTCGGTGCTCTGCCACGCCCGCCCTGGCAGATGGTGCTACTGCTGAAATGCAACGAATCTGGGAGCACTGCGTTGATGGCCTGACGAAACCGGCACTTGGTTAGGACAAACGCAACTGTTCTGCACGTGGACTGTTGGATGGAATGTTGGCCAGTCATGGTCGAAGATTATCGTCTGCAGCCATGGCAATTCGCTTCTGGCGACGGCGAACCGACAAGGTGCGGCGCCGCAGCAATTCAATCGGCACCAAGGAAGGCAACGGAGAAGTGAGTTGCAACTGTGCTGCGAATTCTGGACTATTCCACCATGGATTGGCGTGCCTGGTCCTGAAGCGGGCCCTTGGGATGTCCCTGGGAAGGCGCACTCAGGCGCTACATCATCCAAATTGCAAACAGCTTACACGATGTCCCGCTTGGAGTCGGTGCGTGGGTGCGTCGGGACAAGCCATGGTCCCGCCTGCGCCATACAACGCGCCCACGTGCAACCCACTCTATACAGCTGTCATCCTGCCGCTCAAGTCGCGGTGCCCTTACCGATGAAACCTCTCCGACTCGAAGGTCGTGGGTTATGCGCCTCAGCGACGATGACGACGCCTCGGCCATTCACCCCGCTGGTTGGTTCTCGTGCGACTCCCGAGATTTTCGGGGGGAAAGTTTAAAGTTGCAGGGAAACGCTGTGCAAGCGATGGCGGCGGGAGACGCCTGGGAGCCCGCCGCACACCGCCACTAGCTCCTTCCGGCCAATGAAACGCGACCACCAAGGAATAATTTGGGTTCATTCCAGCACGTCGGGGCGTCGTACCCGCGCCTGGCTAACGCGGAGGTTACGAATCCGGCTTTCATGAGCGGTCGGCGCTTGATGCCTGCATCTTACGTGCTCTGCTCCCTGGGAGTCCCTCTCACCACCTCGGCACGATATGCCCGCAAATCGGTACTACGCGTTTGCAAAGGTGCTGCGCGAAGATTCGAATGAATGGATGAATGGACTGTCGCCTAGATGCAGTGCCCAAGGACCTCCTCCAGAGCGTATATAAGAACAAGGACGGACGAGCCACAACCGACAGCGAGCTTTCTCCTTCTACAGTCGTCCCTTTACGCACAGTTCTTCAGCCATGCAATACTCTCGTCTTCTCGCTTTCACTTTGCTCGCTGTCGCGAACGTCAGCGGTGTCTTTGGCGCCACCGCTGCCCAGCCTGCTCTCAAGCCCCGCCAGAGCAGCGTACGAACGACGCCTCTGCTGAAGAGTACGCCGTCCGTTTTTGCTGTCGGTTCAACACTGACGACAACATTCCATCAGACTTCAAGGGCCAGCCTGCGTTGCCCTCTCTCGCTTCTGTGCAGGCGACCAATGCCACAGGCAGCGCTCTGGACCTCGCGAACATCCAGGGTGATATTTTGTGCGTGTCGGCGAGGCAGCGACCGATGGTCGTGTCATTGATCGACTTCTTCCAGTGTTGGGATGAAGAAGCCCGTGGAAAACTTTTACTTCTTCCACATCAACGATGCGGCCCAGTTCAAGGCCGACTTCAAGACCCAGCTCTCGATCATCACCTCGGCGGCGACCTTGATCTCGCCCCCCGCAGACCAGCCTGCGGCTTACGTTAACGTGGGCTTCTCGCAGAGTGGCTTGACCGCTCTCGGTGTCACCGACGATCTCGGTGATGCCGACTTCAGCTCTGGTCAGTTTGCTCAGGCGGCGGCATTGAAGGATGATACTACGCAATGGGAACCCGAGTTCAAGGGCACGAACATCCATGGCGTCTTCCTCGTCGGCAGTGACGTCGGCACCAACATCCAGGACACGTTCAACGACGCCATCCAGGAACTCTTGAAGTCTGCCACGATTGTCTACGAACTTGACGGTGCCGCTCGCCCTGGCGCTGAGGCCGGCCACGAACGTGAGCTTCTTTTTCTGGCTGAATCATCGGAAGTCGTGCGCTAACGGTCGCTCTTCCAGACTTCGGCTACTTGGACGGGATCTCCAACCCTGGCGTCGACGGCTTCACGACGGATCCGAAACCGGGTCAGTCCGTCGTCGACGCCGGCATCATCCTCACCGGCGAGGATGGCGACAGCGTGACGCGCCCGGCATGGGCGCTCGACGGCTCTTTCCTCGCCTTCCGCAAGCTCAAGCAGCTCGTTCCCGAGTACAAGAAGTGGCTGCTCGACAACGCCGTCCAGAGCCCGGCCGGAAACCTCACGCAGCAGGAAGGCGCCGACCTGCTCGGCGCGCGTATCTTCGGTCGCTGGCCCAGCGGCGCACCCATCGACCTCACCCCGCTCGCGGACGACCCCGCGCTCGGCGCCGACCCGTCCCGAAACAACGACTTCGACTTCAGCCACCCCGACTCGGACATCACCAGCGACCAGTCGCACTGCCCCTTCGCCGCGCACATCCGCAAGACGCGCCCGCGCGCCGACCTGAACAACGCGAACGTCGTCAACCAAGCGATCCGCGCCGGCATCCCGTACGGTCCCGAAGTCACTGCAGATGAGTCGGCCTCCAACACCACCAGCATCGACCGCGGCCTCGCCTTCGGTGAGCGCGCTGCTTAATTCCCATTCGGCGCATGTCACTAACCCGAGGCCTTTCTCAGTGATGTACCAGTCTAACATCGGGAACGGCTTCCAGTTCCAGCAGACCGTCTGGGTCGACAACCAGAACTTCATCTTCGGCAAGAACATCTCGTCCGTCGGTCTCGACATGGTCATCGGCCAACCGGGTGCCGGCCTCGAGCGCAGCGCGTCCGGCTTTGACCCGACCGACTTCGACAAGGTCTTCACCCAGAACCCGACCATCATCTCTAACGGCGGCGAGTACTTCTTCGTTCCCTCGATCTCGGCCCTGAACAACACCATCCTGGCCTGACGATGAGGAAGACGCGAGTCTTTCCTGCGTTCTTTTTCCTATGGGGGTTTAATCGGTCGGACACTGTGACATTGCAACGGACTCTGAGCAATCAAACGTAATATAATGGCTGTTACGACATGTATAATTTAGGGTCAACGCTACACGAATGATCTGCAGCGCGTCCACTTGAAGTCCTCAATCCAATCGAATCATGGCGAATGGTGGAACTTGTTCCCGAACGGGTTGGGGCGGGGCAATCGGTGCACAAGTATTTGAAACTTCGGTGCAACGATGACGCCGACTCGCACCTGTCAATGCTTACGTCGCCACGATTGTATGCACCCACGAGCTAGAGAGGGCTCCGTCGCAGTTTCCCGTGACCGTTGCATTACGACGAGGTGACAAATATAGCGTATGGTATACCACCCCGTGGAATTAAACGCGGTCCAAGAGGGCCCAACGTCACGACGAGAAAACGCCCATGCCCGTGAGCTCGAACATCATCGGCAAAGCCTCCACCGAGATGAGCGCGATACCGCAGTAGACGAACACCTTGGTCAGAACTACGTAGAGATGGGGCGATGCGTCAGCGCTCGCCGAGAGTAAAATGTTTCAAACGTACCGTCCGCGTCGTAATGCTTCACGTACTCCACGTCCACGTCCGAGTCGAGCCCCAGCCCGAGCTCGCCGCCGTTCCCCGCCTTCTCCCTCGCCCCGCCCTGCTTCCCGCCGCCGCCGCCACGATACTTCATCCCGTTCGGGACCCTCAAGCTCGGGCGCCCCAGCCCGTCCCCGTCGACGACCTCCTCCACCTGCGTCGGCAGATCGATCACGCTCGGAATCGGGTGGAGCCCCTTCTCCGCCGGCACGCTCTTGTAGTCCGTCGCGGGCGTGTAGAACCGCCGGTGGGGCAGCGTGAAGATCTGGGCGAGGAGACGGAAGGTGGGCGGGAGCAGGATGTGCAGGGTGGGCTTGGCGATGAGGCGCCAGGCGAAGATGACGAGCGTGCCGAGGAGCATCTTGAGCGCCGCGAAGAGGAGCCAGAGCCCGGCGTCGGCGGGGGCGGCGAAGGCGGAGCCGGGCATGGAGGTGCGGTACCATTCGTCGTCGAAGCCGTACTTGACCGAGTGCCAGCGGCCGAGGAAGCAGCCCATGATGACGGAGATAAACGCGATCGCGTCCTCGAAGCAGGGGCAGTCGTCGACCGGCTGCGGGTGCTTGTGCACCATGATCAGGCACACCGTCGCCACGATCGCCGGCACTGTGAAAAGAAAACGTCGTGTCCTCGCGTCAGAAAAAAAAAAGACGTCTCTAGACTCCGTGGAGACGGAAAGGATGGGGGCTCACCGTCCCAGCCCGGGCTTGCGAGCCAGGCCTCGAGCGCGTCCTCGCACGCCCAGTAGGTCGCCCACACGAGCGCGCCCGCGGCGCTGCCGGCCGTGACGTCGGTGAAGCTGTGCATGCCGGTGTAGAGCCGGCCAAAGACGATGCTGAACGTGTACCAGGCGAGGAACACGCAGCCGACGGTGTAGGCGCCGTCGGCGATCGCGCCGGAGGCGAGGAGGCGCGTGATGGACATGAGTCCGAAGAGGGCCATGGCGACGCCGTTGGCGGAGTGCGTGGAGGGGAAGCCGTATTCGAGATGGTGCGAGCCGATGGCTGTTGAGTAGGTGACATGAGTCTGGAGCGGGAGGGGAGGGGGGGGGAATGGCGAGGACTTACTGAGGCGCGTGACGGGAGGAGCGAAGGGCCGTGGAGAGCAGATGAGGTCTTTGAGGAAGGAGGTCACGTAGCCGCTCATGGCGACGACGAAGACGATACTGGACGGGGGTCGCGCGTGAGTGAGCGGGCCACGGAGCGTCGTGTAACGGCGATGGTCAGGCCTATGCTTACCCGCGACCGAGCTGGTGAAGGCCGAAAAAGAAGCAGGCCGGGAGCGCGATCATGAAGAAGGTGTGGGTGCCCAAAGAGGAGGTGTACACAAAGTACGAGTCCAGGAAGCGCGTCCGTATCTTGGCCTGTTCGTTCGGTCAATGATCACCACTCGTTCGGATCGGCGCGTTGTTTCGAACCTGCATCGAAGCGATGACCTTCGACTCCCACTCGACGCTCCGGACGAGTCTGCGCCGGATCGCCGCCCGCCACCAGCCCATGGTCTGCTCGTAGACGTCGTCCGGGAGGTAGCCCGGGCTGCCGGAGCCGTGCAAGCTCGAACCATCGCTGCCCTCGCTGTCTTCCGATATAGATTTCTCGTGGTACCTCGACGGGGCTGGGGTATCGGCGTGTTTGTCAGACCCTACCGGTCCGAGGGTGAAGCTCGCGCGGCGGGGAGGCGCATCTGCGCCGTTTTCGTGAGGTGACATCCCAGTATTCGTTGGTCGTTCGTCGTCGTCGGTGGGGTGGCGGGGAAAGAGAGAAGAGGAAGAGAAAGGGGTATGTAGGCTGATGGTGTTGGCGGCGAGAGAGGAGCAAGGCGTGCCGAGGGCTGAGGCGGTCAGGCCATGCAGAATTGATGCGAACGCGAGCGAAGCAAAGAGGGGTCGATGACGAGAGCGTGCTGACGCCCACGACATCATACGGAGATGTTCCCACGTGTCCTTTCTTGGCCTCGTGAAATGCACACGATTCTATTGCGTACAACGGGGACGGTGCGAAGAGGATGGTGCTGCTTATCTCGGACGTTGATGGAACAAGCATCGATAGTTTACGAAAGGGCCCGGAGATTGGGATAACAGTTGTCTATTCCTTTATCTGCGCGGTCACATCGAGGCTTAAGCTTGATCTCTTCACCCATCCCACCCACTCCGTGCTTGGAAGTCTGCACTTGGAGTCGCGATGGCCACGGTGAAACTCGACGTAGCATTCCGCTTCGGTCCGCTCGACATCGTAGCTCTATCCCTCTGCCTGGCCATCGGCACCCTCTGGTATTACTATCATCATCACCGAGGTCGATCCCAGCTCCCGCTCCCTCCCGGCCCAGAAGGGCTCCCCCTCGTCGGTAACGCGCTGCAGATCCCGGGCTCGAAACAGTGGCTCGCGTTCGATCGCTGGGCGAAGCGATACGGTGCGTAACCGCATCTCGTTCACGCCATGCAAGAACGAGATGGAAAAGGGGTTTTTTGTTTCACTTGTGCGTGAACGGCTTACGACGATTATTCATTTTCTACTACGTAGGCGACGTGGTGTACGTCACGATCATGGGCCAGCCGACGCTCATACTGAGCTCGTTCAAAGCCGCGAGCGATTTGCTCGACGCGAGAGGTGCTTACCAGTCTTTTCCTCCCCCTCCGTCTTCGGTAAACACGATGATATATATATACTGACGAAACGGACAGGGACGATCTACTCCGACCGGCCGACGGCCGTCATGGCCGGCGAACTGTGCGCACCGTTCCTTCCCTCCGCTCTTTTTTCTCTCCCGTTCACGTTCAAGATATATCCGACCGATATTGATTTGATCGACGCAGCGTCGGCTGGTCGCGCGGGCTGGGCTACACCCCCTCCGCCCGCTCCGCCCGCTTCCGGGCCTTCCGCCGCCTCTTCGCCCGCTTCCTCGGCCTCGACGACCTCGTCTCGGCGCAGGAAAGGGAGAACGCGAGAATGCTGGGCAGGCTCGCGCGGGAGCCGGCGCGGTTCTTGGCCCACTTCCGCGACTCGACGGGCGCGCTGATATTGCGGTTGGCGTACGGGTACGAGGCGGGGCGCGAGGACGGGGATGGAGGTGGAGGTGGCGGTGGCGGTAAGAGAGACGAGATGGTGAGGATCGCGGAGGAGGCGATGGACGGGTTCGCGAGGGCGAGCGAGCCCGGGCGGTATTGGGTCGACCAGTTTCCTATACGTACGTGCCCCGGTTTATATATATATATATATACATACATACAGCTCCCTTCAAGTTCCCTCCCTTTTCTGTTCGACTCCGTTTTTTTTTTTTTTTTTTTTTGTTTTCGTTTCGTTAATCGGGCCGCCCGCGGACAGTGCGATACGTACCCGAATGGATGCCCGGAGCGGGGTTCAAGGCGGACGCGAGGGAGATGCGGAGGGCGCTCGAGCGGTTGTACGACGTGCCGTACGCGTTCGTGAAGGAGCAGGTGGTGCGCCGAGCTTTCCCCTTTTTTTTTTTGTGTGCGCTCGACGACCGACCGTTCGTTCGTTCGGGTCCTCCCGGCCCTGGTTTTTGTTTTGCAGAGAGAGCGTAAAGCGCTGAAATCGTTCACGTCGACGTATCTCGAAGAGAGAGGAGGAGGACGAGGCGCGGCGGCGGCGTTGGGCGAGGAAGCCGATGGAGGGGAAACGGGAGAGGCGGACGAGGAAGGGGAAGAGCTCATCAAGGCCGCCGCGGCGTCGCTGTATTCCGGCGGGGCGGAGACGGTGAGAGGATCCATCTCCCCGCGCGCGTGTACTCTTTTCGAATCGTGTGGATGACGATCGGAATCGGAAATTGTTGTAGACGCCGTCCTCGCTCGCCGCGTTCGTGCTCGCGATGGTGCTCTTCCCCGCGGTGCAGATCAGGGCGCAGCGCGAGATCGACGCGCTGCTCGACGCGGATGCGGAGCCGGCGCGGCTGCCCGCGCTCGCGGACCGCGGCTCCCTGCCGTACGTGGACGCGATCGTGAAGGAGGTGTACAGATGGAACCCGGCCGTCCCGCTCGGTTCGTCCCCGCTCCCCCCCCTTCTTCTTCGCCCCCCTCCCCCTCCCTTGCGCCGATTTATTCCCCCGCCTCCCCACCTCTACCCCCGCGAGGTTCCCGAAACTGAGATGGTGCGCGTGGCCGATTAGGACTGCCGCACCGGCTGAGGGAGGAGGACGCGTACCGCGGCTGGCGCGTGCCGCGCGGGACGACGGTGTGGGCGAACATCTGGGCGATGCTGCACGACGAGCGGTACTTTCCCGATCCGGAGGCGTTCAGGCCCGAGCGGTATCTGGACGCGGAGGGGTGGTCGAGGCGCCGATTGGAGAGGGAGGAGGATCCGGGCGAGATCGCGTTCGGGTTCGGGAGGGTGAGTCAAAAAAAATACAAAATAAAGCTATCGTCACGGGCCTACTAACGATGCGGAGAAGAGGATATGTCCTGGGCTTCATCTGGCGGACAGCAGCGTGTTCCTCGGGGTCGCGACGATGCTGTACGCGTTCAGGATGTCGAAGGCGCGGGACGAGGAGACGGGGGAGGAGATCACGCCCGTGGCCGATTTCGACGGGTTCATCAGGTGCGGCGGCGATTCGCGGTTTCTTTTTTGCTCTGTTGAGACGGCGGTGATGATATATCCACAGCCATCCAAAGCCGTTCAAGTGTCGGATCGAGCCTCGCACGAGCGCGATAGCGGCGTTGTTAGCCCAAGCATAAGGAAACGGCCGGCTCTGTACTTAAGTAATAGTAGTTTAATAGTATGCCATCGCATCAGTAAGTTATGGCCCGATCCTGGATCGGAACGCGCGCGGCGACAACGGATGCATCCGCTTTCAGGCGTGATCGACGCGTCGATCGTGTGCATGTTTTCGTTCACCGGGATTCGCTGGCATGCTCAGGCACGTCGACCCGAACAGGCCCCAGCCGGGCGTACGCAGACATCAACGCCAAGGCTGTTAGCGCGGTCGACGTTCCCCAAGCCCATTGCGTAGTGTGTCGCATTCGCGGGACCGGAGAGTGGCCAAGGGCGAGTGGCGAAGCGATACGTACTCTACACCGCCTACGTCACGGAAAGAATTGAACGCCAGGCGTCGGAGCGCGAACACGCGCGACCCTGAGTTCTAAGAATAAGACATCGCACGTCGCTCTGTTCGTGTTCATGGAGGTAAACACCGCCCTTGGCGCCGTCCTCGACGTACTCGCCGCCTCTCGTATGTGTCCGGGACGTCGCTGCAAGACGCGTCGGGCGGCGGGGCGGCGCGAGAGGGCGGGACGGGATCGGTGACGGCGGCCTGGTTCACTCCACACTCGTCCCGATCCGGCAGTTGGACTCGATCGTGCCGTCATAGCCTGTCGATTCTACTCGCCTCCCCTCGCCCCTCCCTTCATAAATACGATGTAATTCCCTCCAGCCTGGCTTCTACGTATCTCTCCCCCTCTCCCCCTTATTTAGTTTTTTTTTTTTGTAACGACACCCCCCTCCGCCCCGCGTACATCGCTAGTGAGCTCGTCGCAGCCATGTCGGCGACCTCGAAGGATACCAGCACCGCGACGACGCCCTCGTTCTTATCCGGTGAGGCGTTTATTCACCTGAAAAAGAACATGGCGCGCGTATACTGACGCATATACTCGCGGGCCAGCCCTCGTGGTGGGCGTCGTCGTCTTCGCGGTCTACATGATCGCGTTCTTCCTCCTCCACGGGCGCTACCGCCACATCTACCAACCGCGCACGCTCCTCGCCCCCGTCAGGTAAGCATGCCCTCCCCCTTTTTGAAGCGCGCCCTGTTCTGACCTTGCGCTCGCACAGCAAACGACCCCCGGAGCTCCCACCCGGTTTCTTCGCCTGGTTCGGCGCGATCGCGCGCGCGCCGGACATCCTGGTCTTCGACATGAACGGGCCCGACGCCTACTTCTTCGTCCGCTTCATCCGCCTCATGTGCCTCATCCTCCTCCCCGTCTGGATCCTCACCTGGGCCGTCCTCATGCCCGTCACCGCCACCAAGCCGAACGGCGGCCTCACCCAGCTCAACATCTTCACCTTCGGCAACGTGCAGAAGAACCACCAGATCAAACATCTGGCCCACCTGCTCGTGTCCGTCGTCGTCATCCGTGCGTACCACCTCCCTCTCATCTCATCGAGCTAATTATGAAACAAATGCGCAGTGTACATCCTGTTCATGATCTACAGGGAGTACAAACACTTCGTGATCGTCCGGCAGGAATACCTGTCCTCGCCCGCGCACGGCCGCCTCGCGCGCTCGCGCACAGTCATGCTCAACAACCTCCCCGCCTCGCTCCTCTCCGCCGACGCGATCCGGTCCATCGTCCCCACGCCCATCACCCACGTCTGGCTCCCGCGCAAGACGAAGGCGCTCGACAAACTCTTTGACGAGCGCGACGACGAGTGCGCCCGGCTCGAGAGCGCCGAGGGCTCGCTCCTCTCGACCGCCGCGAAGAACGTGCGGAAGAACAAGGTGCCGACGACGGACGCCGTCGATCCGGAAAAGGCCGGCGGCGTCGTGGAGCGGTACGTCGCGCCGAAGCAGATGCCGACGCACAAGACGGGCCTGCCGGTGCTGAAGATGCTGGTCGGGAAGAAGCACCGCACGCTGGAGACCTCGCCGGCGTACGTGAGGGAGCGGAACGAGCGGATCACGGAGGAGCGCCAGGCGTACCGCGCGGCGGTCCGGACCGGGGACGGCACCACGTTTGCGCTCGTGAACAGCGCGTTTGTGCGGTTCGAGAGGATGGAGGACGCGCACGCGTTCGCGAGGGACGTGAAGGCGATGGCGGGGAGCAAGCTCGTCGGCGCCGCGGTCGAGGTCGTGCCGGAGGACGTGAGTCGTTAACCTTTTTTTTTCCCCCTTGGGAAACACCTCGTGCCGTCGGAACGACGCCCTGACGCGATATCTCCGCAGATCATCTGGAGCAACCTCGCGATGTCGCCCGTGATGCGCAAGGTCCGGACGGGCGTCAGCTGGGCGCTTACCATCGGGCTCATCATCATCTGGGCGATCCCCGTCGCCGTCGTCGGCGTCATCTCGAACGTCAACTATCTCTGCTCCGAGGTCTCCTTCCTCTCCTGGATCTGCAAGCTGCCCAAGGTCGTCGTCGGCATCATCCAGGGCGTGCTCCCCCCCGTCCTCCTCGCCGTCCTCTTCATGCTCCTCCCCATCGTCCTCCGCATCCTCGTCCGCCTCCAGGGCGAGCCGCGCCGGTCCGACGTCGAGCGGAAGCTGTTCTCCCGGTTCTGGCTGTTCCAGGTCGTGCACGGCTTTTTGATCATCACCTTCGCGTCGGGGCTCCCGGCGGCGCTGAAGAACATCAGCAAGACGACGAGCGGGCTGCCGACGCAGCTCGCGCAGCAGCTGCCCGGCGCGAGCATCTTCTTTTTGACGTTTGTGATCACGACGATGCTGAGTACGGCGGGCGGGACGAACGCGCGCGTGGTGCCGCTGGTGATGGCGAACGTGAAGAAGATTTTGGGGGCGAGCACGCCGAGGGGGGTGTGGAAGATGGAGTGGGGGATGGGCGCGCTCCCGCTCGCGACGGTGTGGCCGCCCGTGGCGCTGTTGGGGTGCATATGCATCGTGTATTCGATCATCCAGCCCGTCGTCGTCGGGTTTGGCGCCGTCGGATTCGTCTTGTACGTCCCGCTCTTTTCTCTCTCTTTTTTGTGTCGTGTGGCTGATGGAGGGGTTTTTTTCAGGATTTATATCACGTACAAGTATCTGGCGATGTACGTCGTCGACCAGCCGGACGCGCTCGAGACGGGCGGGCTGTACTACCCCCGCGCGCTCCGGACCGTGTTCGTGTCGCTGTACCTGCTCGAGGTCTGCCTCACCGGCCTGTACTTCCTCAACACGAACGGGGGGAAATCGGTCATGGCCCTCGTCGGCGGCTCCGTCACGGTACGTTTCCTTTTCCTCTCCAAATATATATATAAGAGAGGATGTTGATGCGCGATTTTTATTTTATTTTTGGCGTGGATAGGCGGCCTTGATCGTGTTCACGGCGGTGGTGCAGATTTGGATGGAGCGGCGCCGGTTCGCGCCGGCGCGGTACGTGTTCCTCGATACCGGCGCGCACCTGCTCAAGACGGGCTCGGCGGAGGGTCTGAACCCGGCCGTCGGCGCGCCCCTGCCCCCCTCCGCCGCCGCCGCCAAGAACAAGAACAACGCAGGAAAGGAGCCGAGGGCGGAGGAGGAGGGGGAGGAGGAGGAGGAAGACGTCGTGGCCGGCCCGCAGTACGGGAACACGACGGGCATGCACGGCGCGGCGTTTGACCCGCCGAGCACGTGGAAGGCGCAGCGCGTGGTGTGGGTCGCGGACGACGCGCTCGGGCTCGGGAGGGCGGAGGTGGAGAGGTTGAGGAGGGAGGGCGTGGCGGCAAGCTGCGAGTGGGCGAGCATGGACGAGAGGGGGCAGGTGAGCGTCGAGAGGGGCCCGCCGGACGAGGCGTGGTACGGTGGGATGACGGCTGCTTAGAAGGGCAAAAGAAACGATATTTCCTCGGTCCCCCCTTTCTACTTTTGTCCACCCCCTCCCCCCCCCCTTATACTGTTCGTTCCAATCCAGCCACCTCCCCGTATCCCACGATATATCCCGCACGACCACACGACATCGTCGTTTTTGTGATTCTTGGAGTGGACCAACCTATAGTGGTATCATATGTAATATCTAGTTTCGTTGCGCCAATACATGCACGTATACCTACGCGCAACGGGTAGCGTCATGCGATCATTCGAATCGAGAACTCCCAGTCCTCGTATTTCCGAGACAAGTCGCGTATGTCATATATCCATCGTTCACATTTTTACCGAATCACCATCCACAGAGCTTATGATACAACGAATTGCAAGAGGGAAAGCAGGAAACTGGGGAGGGGAGGGTAGGTAGGGAAGGGGGGCACGGGCAACCCATATAACATCCGTCAACGACCCACTCGGAATTCTCAGCCGCGATAGATGAAAGAAAAAAATCATCGTGCTGCACCAGCCGCCGCCGCCGCCGCGTCCTTCTCGCCCGTCGCGACGTTGTCCGCGAGCTTCTCCCACTCGGGCTCGGCCGGGTCCCCGCCGTCGACGACCTCCTTGATGAGGCTGATCGTGCTCTCGAGGCTACGCCGGCGCGTGCTCGGGCTCGTCATCGTCGTGCCCAAGCTCGCCTGGCGGCGGTGGCCCGCCCCGCGGAACGGGGCCGAGAGCGGGCCCGGGCTCGTCGGCGTCACGGGCGAGGCGGGGGTCGCCGGGCCGGTCGAGGGCGACGCCGCCGAGCCCGCGGGGCCGGGGCCGGCGACCTCGGAGAGCGCGGCGGCGAGCGCGGGGGACGAGATGGGCTCGGCGGGCGCGGCGGAGGGCGAGGCCGGCTGCGAGAGCCGCGCCTTGGCCTCGTCCGAGTCGGCGTCGATGAGCTCGGGCGGCAGCCGCTCGTTCTCGATGTCCGACCGGCGCGCGTCCTCGAAGTTCTTGATCGCGTCCTTGATCCCTTCCGCGCCGAGCGCGAGCGTGCCGTGCGGGAGCTTGGCAGAGCCGGACACGCTCTTGAGCTCGGACACGCGCTCGGATTCCTCTCTGTTGGGGCGTGAGTGAGGAGTGAAGACGAGGTTGAGGAGAGGGGGAAAAAAAGCTGGGGGCACGCACCGGAGGAGGGCGAAGACGCGCGCCATGCGGCCGACGGCGAGGATCTTGTTCTTGATCACCTTCTTCCGCTCCTGCGACTCGTCGATGGGTGCGGCTTCGGAGACGACCGGCTCCACCGCGTCCTCAAGCTCCTCTTTACTACAGCAGTTCAGCACCGCGACGAGCATGTCCGTGACTGTCGACCGTCGATGCTGTTCAGCGACATGAGGATGGCAAGAGGTCAGATACGCACTCTTCTCGCCCACGAACGGCAAGCTCCAGGTGAAGACGTCCATAAAGTTGGGGAGCCAGTACGGGTGCGGGCTCGCGTTGAACTGCCGGATGTTGAGCACGTTGGACTCGTATTTCAGTACGGCCGCCTTGTTGTTGTACACGTCGAGGTAGTTGGGCGCGGAGAAGATGGTCATGACCGAGGGGAAGCCCGTCGTTCGCGTTTTGCGGTACATGCGGTATCTGTCGTTATCTCCCCGTCACTCATCCTGACGCTGGTCTGTTTTATGGAAGGATGCTTACCCTGCATCTTGCGCTTCGTGTGCCCTGACGATAGAGAGGAGGTTGTTCCGCTCAAGGAAGTTGCAGACCGCTTGGTATCTGGGCCGCCATCAGCTTTCGCTTTTGATCACGCATCGCGAAAGGGAGGGGGCGTACGTGTAGAAGTAGGAGCAGCCGCGCACATGGTTGTGCACGAAGCTCTCCGTTGTTTTCTCCTGGCCAAAGTCCTCGACCGGGTCGGACCAGAGGATGTCACACATGAGACCGTGGGTGGGCGGCTCCCGGAAGCGGTCGATCTACATGGATTCAAGTTAGCCATACGTTATTCGGGTTCGCTGCCTGTTCTCGCATACGCTACGGAGATCGTCGAGGGTGTTGAGTTCGGGCGAGAGACCACCGTGGATGCAGAGGAACTGCTTGTTCATGATGGCGGCGAGGGGTAGCGCGCAGAACGAGTCCATGCACGCGTCGTATATCCGCTCGGAGTACTTGTGTTTGCCTATGGTCTCAGACGTCAGATGCGCCCTGACGATCAGTCAGACTGCGAACAGGCCCACGTACATTCGAGCTTGAAAGTGAAGTAGTCCGTGAGGTGTCGGCATTCGTGATTGCCGCGGAGGAGGAAGAGGGTGTTTGGGTACCAGATCTTGAGCGACCAGAGGTACAGTACGCACTGAAGAGAGCGAGACGATAAGAAAATGCAGAGAGATGTAGGCAGCAAGAGAGCGGGCTCGCCTCGATACTGAAGTACCCCCGATCGACGTAATCGCCCAAGAAGAGATATCGCGTGTCCGCCGGGTTACCACCGATCTCGAAGAGCTTCATCAAGTCGAACTAAAACACGAGCATTGTGGCCATTCAGCATTCAACAATCCGAGACAAAGTTGAGATAAGGTAGAACGCACGTATTGCCCGTGGATGTCCCCGCACACTGCCAAAACACCTGTAGCATCAATCGGCCGATCACACGCAAGCATGGACGCGGGGCGCGCGCACCTGTTACCGGCGCATCCACAGTAAGCAGATTCGGCTCCGCGCGGAGGATGTCGGTCGCCTTCTCGATGATGAAGAGCGCCTGCTCTTCCGTCAGCCGGCCTTCGCGGTAGAAGTGGTTCTTGAGGAACGCGATGTCGGGTTTGTTCGGGTCCTGGCGCGAGTAAAACTGGGCGTCGGTCGGGACCGACATCGCGGGCGCTTGGACCTGGGCAGGCAAGGGTTTTTCAGTCTCGTACGGACGCGGATATCGGCGATGCGGGTGCGGGGGAGCCAATGACCATTGCTACGCACATCTTTGACGACCCGCTCTTGGGTGCTGACCGTGATGCCGTCGTCGAGGGTGTGCTGCGTAAAGTCGATTTCTGGGATGGGCGGCCTGTCGCTGATGTTCTCAATCACCCGCCGGATGTGCTCTGCCTGAGTGCCGCCGTTGCTCATCGTCTCTTCCTTGCCGTCGAATACTCGTCGTTACGATTGTGACAAGGCTTATTGAGCAACCTTCGTCGAAGCCAGACAGATGATAGACGAGGGGGAGAAGGGAGAGAAGAAAGAGGGAAAAGAAGGGCGGCGGTCAAGGGCAAGCGATGTTCTTCTCTTGACGGGGCCTCAGGTGGCGCGTCGCGATCATCAGGCGTTCCACTGCTCGCCGAACCTATATAATCGACCGCTTTGTAGGGAGCAACAGCAACGGCGAGCAACAGCTTCTATAGCTTTGGCCTAGTGTTGGCGGTACTGCGTCCGCAGGCGCATGGCTTTGCAGAATGGAGAAGTGCGGCCGGATGCACAGGCAGTGTTCGTTCACACCAAAGCTCGGGAGATCTCAATGTGAGTTACGCGCTCGGTCGGGCATGTTGTATATTTATGGAGACAAGTATGTACATGGCCGAGATACTATTTCTGTTACGATAAGCACGCAGCTTGAGACATACCCTGCATGCTTCAGTCAGCGTTCATCCGACAACGACGGAGAAAAACATGAAGGAAAGCCTCAGACCCAAAATGAAGTCCGTCATGAATTGTCGGACATATGCTTGTCAATTTGTATTTTGTCTCGTCCTCGACAGAACGAATATATGTGCGGAGGAAAGGGACACTTACGTATACGACAACAGCCACCAGGGACTCGCGTGGATCTGATAGAACTTGAGGGGAGCGGTTGATAGAGCGAGTGAGAACACGAGAATGGAGTACGACGAGAGGAGCCAGGTCCTTCATAGGTTAGTGTGTGCGTTCCCTTGTCCGTCATCCGTCAAATTGGTATCTACACGAGGACCCCGCGTTGGGATTTGGCGGAGAGACGGAGTCGCACCGCATAAACTACGGGGGTTGTTCAGGCTACCTTTAAGATAGACGTATGAGCGGCAGGTCGAGATAGAACCATAAAAGAGCGAAGGATAGGAAGGGGTCAGTTGGTGATGCATGTTGGAGTTCGGGCTCATTCTCTGAGTAAAAGTCGCCAACTCGAAAAATGGATAGATATCATCATGAAAAAGCAATCGCCGGAAGCGTACTCACATATATGTTACATGGAAAAGGCGGCCGAAGGGATGTCAGTACGAAACGGAAGATGCAATCGCAGCGCGAGCCAGAGGACATCCACGACGAGACGCAGGATGCGACGAAAAAAACGCGGTTTTCCTTCATTCGGTCACGTGAAATATCGATAGCCGTTGAGTATTTTTCTTCCGCCGCGTTTCGTCTCTTGTTCTCTCCCTCACTGTTCTTGTCGTCGTTTTTTTTTGCTTCTGATCTGCGCCAACTGCGTCAAGTAACTTTCGGTGAGTCGATGTTCCCGCATTTTCTTTCCATGATGATCCCATATCAGTTCTGCTTCCGAAAAGCGAGAGCATATCTCCTTGTGGACAACCTTTATACCAAAAACTATCATTCTGATCCTCATCCGTCTCTTCTCGACGTGTCGATTCTCGAGCTAACACGCACACCCCCAGGTTCTATACTTTGTCTATCTCGAAGCAGTCCTGTTCGTATCCAGTCGAGTGAGTGCCGCCTCTTGCTTGTAGCACGTCGACCGACAAGACGAAACCAAGTTCATCCATTCTTTGACTTTTGCCCCGTCTTTTGGTGTTCACCTGGTTGCTGTCTTCGTCCGTTATGGCCGCAGGCGGTGGCTTGGGCTCGCGTGGCGGGGACAATGAAAACATCGGCTTCTCTGATTTCTTCCGTTCCCTTCTTCGGACCGAGCTTCATGAGTGAGCGTCGTTGCTGACTCCAGTTGTTCATATAGCATCCTTCTGTTATCGCGGTCGTCGGTAGTCACCTTTCTCCATGTATCGTTGCGTTCTTCGTGTCGTTAGTCGAACATAAAAATGATCCTCTCATGCAAATGTGAAATGATATTATATGACATGAATAACCTGCTGTGTACGTAGTCATATGGGGCTACGAAAATCGGAAGTAGTTATTGAGTACGTGTTTTGCTACGCTGAACCCGACGAGGGAGACTATGTAGCTCGCGAAGAGCGGTAACAACTGGGACAATGGGCGGTCAGCTCCATTGATCGAGCGCCTTGATGGTAGGCATACGTACGGGTGAGAGGAGGATTTCGGTGCGGATAAGGAACGGAAGGGCTGTTGGCATGGGAAAAGTCAGAACCTTTGAACCACATGGGTCAAGAGAAGTGGAAAACGTACCCTTCAGGCCCGAGTACACGCCGTAGATATATTGCGTGAACCTATAACGTCCGCGAAGGGAAAGACTCAGCGCCCTGTCGAAGACGAACGAAGGGGAGCGAAGGGGGGCTTACGCGATGAGGTAGAGCGTGTTGCCCACCCAGAGGCACACCCACCTGTCCCGGAGTATGACCGGAACGAGGAAGAGCTGGGCAACGTAGAGCGTCAGGAACATCGGGAAGAACGCGTTCGTGTGCACATCGAACGCGTACGCCCACTCCACGCGCGAGTCGGCCGGGGTGGAGTGCGAGGGAGGAGAGAGGAGCAGGCGGTTCGAGATCGCCCTGTCAGAAGGATGAATCGCAGGTTAGCGGGAAGAGGCGGTTCGAGATTGGGGCTAGGTGCGGACCATAGTATGGTGGCCATGATGGCGCCGACGAGGAGGTAATCTCGTAGGATCATGACGCTTGCCAGTTCGATGCCGGCTCCTATGCCGGAGTACCATACTATTCCCCATGCTATCCCGGCGACTGGGTATGAAGATTGATTGATTGATCTCTAGATGACTGAAAGCTTCGGAGGCTACGTACCAGCCAAGCATGCCGATATAAGTACCATGATGGCTGGGTCATCCCTCGCCCATGTATTTTTCGTTTCTGCAGCAGTTGACTGAGTAAAGCAAGGGGTCCATAGTCAGGATAGACCGACTTACGTTTGTGGAAGTACACGTTTTTGTACCTAGCGCAGCGATGAGTGCGTGCATTGGAATATAGCTTGGAGAGGACGGAGAGGGGACTGACACGCGTTTGGGCGCTATGCACAGGTATGTCAATTGCCAGGCGGCGAGCTCAAAGTCCTGCCCATTCAAGCATAAGACGCGATAGTTGCCAGGAACACTTGGCTGCTGTTTATATGTACCATTGATTGGATCCGGGTGAGCCTCTTGAAGATGAGCGGTACTCTGCTCTTCGCTGTCCATGCCGGCGCATGGCTTTGCAGTGGGCTCGCGTGTCCGTTCACGCTGCCAGGATGGCTGTTGACGGGTAATATCGACATTGCGAATGCTGTCCGCGCGATAGCAAGCGAAGCAGAGTATTATAAGAGAACGGGGCTGGCTCGGAAAGTACAAGAAGGAGGCGACAAGGGACAGCCACGAGCCTCATAGCCCATTCAGACTCCGCCTCAGCTCAAAGCGCCATCTTCTGCCTCACCGTCCTCTCCATCCCCCCATCTGCCCTCTCTCTCTCTCTTCAACACCGACCAACATGATGGACGACGATCACGAAGCGCTCGACTGGGGCGCCGGCGATGACGACGGCTCGATGGCGCCGCACGAGTATGATGACTCTTCCCGCCACCCGGGCGGGAGCGCGCAAGAAGGCGAAGACGAGGACGCGGTGTCCGTCGGCGGCGACGAAGACGACATGGACTACGGCCTCTTCAACTACACCAGCGGCGGCGTCGCTAACGCTCCGCGCGACGCAGACCGCCAGTCGGCGCAGGACGAGCCGGAAGGAGGACAAGGAGCAGGCGGCGGTGGCGGCGAACAAGCGCCCGCCCGGTCGCCGCCTCACGAGCACTCGCCCTCGCGCGAGCGCGACTCCCGCTCGGGCTACGGTAACGGAGATCGCACCCACCGCTCGGGAGGCCCGCGCAACGAGCGCGGCCGGAATGGTCGTCGCACCACGACGCTGATGCCTCCCCCGGACACGCTCACGCACGCGCTTCCCCCGAAGCCGGTCGCCGCGCCCGTCGTCCCTCCGCCCGACAGCGAATCCATGCGCGGCACCATGCGCCCGCACGCAAAGCCGATGGGCGAGCGCAAGGACCGCAACGAGCGCCGCAACGGTCGCGCCGCAGCCTCTGAAGACGAGCTAGACGCGGCCCTGCCTCCAGAGTGGGAGGTCCGGCGCCCGCGCAACGGCAGGCCGGACGAGGTGTACTACTACAACACGGCGACGCGTGAGTCGACGTGGGACCGCCCGGGCTCCGGCATCGTGGATGAAGGCACAGGTCGCGGACGGCGGCGGGACCGGTCGCGCTCTCTGGACCGGGAGGAGCCCCATCATCGCACAAAACCATCTGATCGTTCGGAGCCACCCAGCTCGAGAGCAAGAGACGCGCGAGACGGTCGCGATTTGTCGCCGCCGCCGTCTCGCGAAGATCGGCGCTGGCGCTCGCGCGAAGGACCCGCTCCGGCCCGCGAGCCTAAGCAAGCAGACTATGGCTACTCATCCAGACAGCGAGATTCTCGTTCCCAGCGGCCTTCTGGCTACGAGCACTCTGAGATGTTGGTATCTGCGGAAGACGCAAAGGCAAACCGTCGCCCATGGGGACCGGATAACGTTTCGCAGGATACCCAGACCCAACGGTTTCCTACCGAGCCCGAACTAGAAACTGACCGCAGGTGGACGCCTCGAGGCGAACCGCCTCCCCGAGTTGCTGTCCAGCAAACATCTCAGAGGCGAGAGCGGCCTGTGTCTCCCTTGACCCGCCGTGGAGCGTACACTGGGCCCAACGGCGCTGACTCCCGCGCCGCACCAAACCGTTACGAAGAACGCCTCCAAAACGTGCCCAACAACGATCACGGCCGTTGGCCCGCCTCCAGTACGTTTTGCCTATCCTGCAGTGCCCTCTCTCGCCTTCCTCTCTATGCCCCTGTGTTCGAACGGAGTCTTGCCGGCGGTACGGCCCCCTTCCTTGCTCGACATGTCGTCGACGATCATGGACATCCCGTGTTTGCCGCGCTCTGTTTCTTGTTCTCGTGCCCGTCTTCTCGTGCCCTCTGCGTGTGATGTTCAGCGCCCTCACGCATTGTCCTCTCCCTCTGTTTGCCTCATCTAGGACCCCGATCCCCCGTGGCCCCGCCGCAAGTGCCTCCGCCGGTGCGACCGGACTTCCAGCGTGCGCCATCCGGCTACGGCCCCCCGCAGCCGCTCGCTAACGACGTCAACGGGAACAACAACAACCTCGTGCCACGCCATGCCGATCGCGAGGCCCGCGCGCCGCCGCCGCCTCGAGGCGTCCCTCCTCCACACTCTCGCGGATATCAAGATGACGGGCCACAATCGCGCCGCGTGGATGCGTACCCACCAAAGCGACCGCCTCCTCCTCAAGAGTTCAGACCCAGGCCCGACGAAGCCGCGCCGCCCAGGACAAGCCCTGAGAACGAGTACAAGCGTAGGAGGACGAACGACGCCCCGATAGACTCTGCCCCGAGCCGTAGGCCTATCGACGTGGAGTTTGAGGCGGCGACACCCCCGCCTATGGATCATCGTGAGCTCGTCTTATCCTGGAGTCATCGTTGACCCCATTCCTCATCGTCGCGCAGCCGGGGGACGAAATGTTCGCAAGCGGCCTCCGCTCCCGCCTCAGGAAGACCGATTCCGACAAACTCATACGGCTGGTCCCTGGGCGCCTCCATCAGAGGGTCGCTACGATAGGTATCTTCGCATACCTGTCCCTCTGTTCTCATGCTTACATAATGCCAGACGGGACGTGTCGAAACACCGGGATATTTCACCGCCGCCACACCGAGACCAGACCAGCGTGTTACCGCCACCACCCGACATACCTAGGCAGCGGGCCCCCCCGCCCCCTCCGTACCGCGAACAGGCGGCGCCATATGGCTCACGTGACCGTGCCCCGCAACCGGAAGCGGAAACCGCTCGATGGACGGGGAGGAACGCCTACCCCGGGCCTCAAACAACGCCTCGCGAACAGGACCGTGACCAAATGGACGTCGATCCGCCTGCGCCCTCGTCCGCGCCAGTGTCACGCGCGAGCACGATCTACAACGACGACTACGGCGCAGGTGGGGGCGGCATGCGCTCCGACCGCGAGCGCGAGCCGGCAAGGCCCGAGTTTGGTGCAGGAGGGGACCCGCCTAAGGGACCGCGTGCGACCCGGGTGCCGCCCCAGCCCCAATCCCCGCCCCAGCTGCCGCCACCGCCGAGGATGCAGCACCGATCGTACTCGAATAACCAGTACCCGGATGCGCCTGGTCGCATGCCAAACAGCCAATACCCGGACGTGCCTGGCCGCCAGATGAACAACCGGTATCCGGATGTCTCCGGCCGTCCGCCGAACAACCAGTACCCCGATGCGCCTGGTCGCCCTCCAACCGATCGATATGCGGATGCGCCTGGCCTTCCACACGCTGCGCCCCATGTTCCACCTAAAGCGCCCTGGGTACCTCCCCTTGGGCCGAACCAGCCGTTCCCCAATAGAGATCCGGGGGCCCCACTACCACCTATGAGGGACACGAGGTACGATCGGGCTCAAGACCGATCTATGGAAGCCTCTGCATACCGTAATGAGCCGTCGATGGTACGTTATGATCTCCCTGTCCGTTGAGGCTATTCGATTGATGGTTCGCCGCGCAGCCTTCGAGCTCTCCGCGTGTGCCGCCTTTGGTGCCTCGGAACCCCCCACCCTTGCCGCAGCAGCAGCAGTCGAGAGACACTCAGATGTTTGGTGCGAACACTGCTGCCCTTCCTCAGCAACGCCGATGGGGTGGCGCGGATGAGTACCGCAGCGGGTCCGATTCGTCGTCCCTGGGCCCCGTGCCCACGCGCTGGGAGGCTACTGACACGGCCGCTTACCCTCCTCCTGCTCCTGCTCCTGCTCCTGCTCTTCGGAGCGACAGTTATTCGCAGGTATGCTTCTACCAAGGTTGCGCTGTGATCAATGAAACTCAGAAATCAACAGAGGGCACCTTCTACCCAGCCCGATCGCTCGCCCGAACGACCTCGTACTTCGGGCTCAGGCGGTGGACGTCACAGATCGCTGTCCGCGTCCACGAACCCCGTACGTCGCCTCGGATAGCGTTGCCTGCTTTTCTGACTGATTTGATTCCGTTCTTGCAGATGCTGCCCAACCGCCCGCCTTCCCGCTTGTCTGACGGGAAGCAGCCCTCTGTGCCCCTCGATCACGTTACAGCCCCCCGTCCGGTTCGTCCATCCCCGGAACATCCGCACCTGCTGGCGCTAACCATTGTACTTCCAGCGTCGTACGCGCTGGGGCCCCGAACCCCCTCAGCTGGAGGTTCTTCCTCCGCAAGACTCATACGCCCCTCGCGATCGCATTCCACCTGCGGCTCAGGCCTACGATCGCTCGGACCGGGCGGCCACGCCTCCGCCAATCTCCAGAGAGACGACGTCCGTGGCCAGCAGTGTGGGGTCCTTGTATGCTCCCGCCGAGCGCGAACCTCCCGAGACGAGATCTGAAAGTAACGCGAGGACTGCCGACGGCACGAACCGAGACGCAACGAGCCATAGAGATGCGCCATTCCAGAGGGAACCACCGATTCCGAGAGATGCTCAAGTCCACAGAGAGTCGCAAAACCAGAGGGAATACCAAAATCGGAGAGAAGCGCCGCCTATGCAGAGGAGGGGCCCTAGTCGTTTCGGTGATGGCAAGGGACCGGACGTTGACGATGCGCCCCTGCAGAGGAGAGGCCCCAGTCATTTTGATGATCGCAAGGAATCAGACGTGGACTCGAGCACGACCTTCAACAACGGCAATCGTGTTTCTCGTCAGTATGGTGACGCTCAGAGGGAGACGGTACGTGGTTCTCTCGCGTACCGGAGATGAATCCTCGCTAATAGAAGTGTTCCGCCAGCGCGACGGAGGCTATGAGCGCACTACCCCGCTATCCTGGGACAGGCCTCCACCTCAAACGAATTCCCGCTCTTCCCGATTCAACGACGTTCCCCCACCGGCGAACGCTCCACAAAATGACTCGTACCAGAACACTAACTCACAGACCAGCGGGCCGGTGAAGATCCGGCGCAACTACGACAGGCGGACGGACGCCCCGGCCAGTACTCCCCTGACTGCGGTAGACACTAGCGTTCCACACTCAACGGAATCGTCTACGCGTCCCGCTGCGCAACGGAATCCGTCTTTGCTATCTAGGTTAGGCATGGGGGACGAAGGCTCTAGCGAGCAAACGCAGGAGCAGCAGCAGCAACAGCCGGCTTATACTTCTAGCTTTCGAGAACGGCTGGGCCCGCCGGAGCAATATCCTGGCCCTGAAGGGGGTCATCAAGGTAACGGGTACTCGGGTCGATATAATAACAAGCGAGGCCGCGGGGGACCGCGCAGGGGACGCAGGGGCTTTGCTGGCCCGTCTTGATAATCTGGGGAAAAAATGCGTTGACGAAGAAGATGCGAACGTCGGCCCCAGCCACGTGAATACGTGAAGTCTTGTTGTTCCCACTTAGCAGTCTCTAAATGTCCAGCTCTGAAACATCTAATCCAACTTGCTGTAACATTCCCCGCATCCATGACACTCGCGCATATTCGTCGTGAGCCGGCCCGACGACTTGGAGCGATTCCGGGATGAATCACGCTACGGGTCTCACCGCACTCGTACTGGCCCAAGGACGGAGCTATTTGGAAGAATGCTTCAAAGGTCCCCGACGAGATCGAGCTGCGTTCGGCCGATCCTCTTCTCGTCGCATACGCTCGGCGTGCGATACCCGGTCCCGTTTGGACTGTCAAATGCGTTGTCCTCAATCGGTGTCTCGGGCATTATGCCAGAGAGATCGTGGTATAACCGTCACTCACATAGCTATAGCACTTGATGGTCTCGCCAAGACACCCGAAGATGACCATCGCTCAGCTCGGTCGAGTCGCGCGCATATGCCCATAGCTTGGATGCTATGCTCTCTATTTAGGAAACCGTCTACTCGGATCTTCTTCGCCGCCCTATTACACAGATGCCCATCCCGCTCGTCAGACTGAACCTACAAGGTCGATCGGGTAACGAGCAACCATCGATTCGTTCTCATTATCGTCTTCTCATCGGATACGCAACGCGCCAATCGCATCCGGGTTTCCGATGGCTGCTACCATGGAGAGCAGATCGAGTCATCCACAGAGGCAGGATACACATAAGCACCCGACTAAGTTGCTGAGCACATATGATCATATCGCCATCCGTATGTTGGATGTCGAATCCGCTATTGCAGCAACGCGCTGGACAATCAGGACCCGTTGGTGCAGGAGATTCACCACCCCGCACTCTCACTCATTCATGAACACCGCTTTCCTTCAATGTTTTCTATCGAAAGCGTTCACGATACCGGTTCGCGTGATTCAGTCACGATTGCAAGAGAACGAACGTGCGAAGCAATCACACAACCAAAGGACAGGATGGTTCGATGGATAGCGCGGACCGGTGAGCTCGAGCGCCGGTATCTCCCCTAAGTGCCATGGCTTACTCCCCTGTCGCGGTGGGGCGACGCAATGGGGGACGGTTATCGGTATGTTTTTGATGATCGTCAGGGTGCAGGACCGAGAAGAGTATCGTTTCCGAGAAGACAACGGAATGGAGCGCTGACTGTTTGCAGCTGGGACAGGCATATCGGCCAGCACGATCCAATGCAACTCGCTCGGCACCATGGTACTGAAAGCAGGCAAAGGATCGAATGTGTAGAAGGTTGCGCTGCCAGCCCTTCTCGCCATGCTAGCACCGCAATTCCGTAAGTTGGCGCAGGAGCATTGACGATTTCTATGGATTTCACAGAGATATCGGTGGTCTGGAAACCTTATCGACGAACCCGTGTCGCGGAGATGTTACCACCATGCGTGCACGTAACTGTATTTATAGTTTGTTCATACTTCACTTTGGTGTGCAGTTATAGAATCCCCGTTGCGGCGTTTTTAGTCGCGTGATTGTGTTGCAAGTCATGCACCGGTTGCCACCGTTTTATGCTTCACCTTCGGTATTTGAGTAGCTTTCGCGAGTTCATATTCCTCGTCTGATAGGACGGATACTGATTGGGGTCCTTCGTATTCGAAGACCTATCAAGCAGGCAGGTGAGCTCAAACTGCATGAGGTATCATGACGGCACAAAACTCACATATCGGAAGAACCTAGTCGGATCCATCTTGTGCGCCTCACCGCCTCCCCGTCCGTCACCCGCAATGGCTCTTGAGTGGAGCTGAACGATACTCGCGCGGACGTATCGTATCTTCTCCACGATCTTCAGCTTGTCCTCCAAGCTATAATCTTTGTATGGAGATGTAGGTCCGAGGACGTACGTCAAAGCTTCGACATCCTCCACGGCCATGGACGCACCAGACCCTTGATCTATTCTCTCTCTCGTCAGAGATCGAGTCCGAGCTAGGAACGCAATCAAGGAAGCCTTACGGGGCATCATGGGATGGGCGGCATCGCCCAGCACGATCGCCTTGCCTCGCGTCCAGTACGGCAGGGGATCCTGGTCCCGCAGCTGCCACAGCTTACAACTGTCCGCGAGATCCAGCAACTTGTGGAATTTCGGCGCCCAATTCTTGACGGAGTCCTTCATTTCATTCAGATCTCCTTCTTGCCTCCAGCTTTCCGTGGCGTTCCCGATGAGATCGGGTACGACGACAACGCAGTTGAGCTCTGTCAGGCCGCGGCAAGGATAACAGACAAAAGTTCTGTCGTTCTCGCGCACGAGAGAGATGCAGCTGTCGGTGACGAATGGAGCTATTTCGGGGTCTGCTAGGATCGGCTTGCTGTTTAACAGGAAACGGTATGCCGAGAGGCCAGAAGGCTCGGCGCGGTATTTTGTGTCGCCAAGTATACAGGATCGGACGAATGATTTGAGACCGTCGCAGCCCAGTATGACGTCGCCGTGGAACTCCTCCCCGGATTCGAGGGTAACAGTGGCGCTCTCGCAGTCGATGGCGCGGATGCGAACACCCAATCGTATATCTGCGGGCGCACCAGGCCGGTCAGGGTCAAGCGCGAGCTTTTTTAACTCTACATCGGATGCTTGAACGTGAGATGGGATACAAAGCTCCTACAGCAAGGAGTACGTACGCCGATGGACATCAATGCGATGGTTCAGATAATATCCGTGTTGATACTGCTTATTCTCCATCATCCGGAGGATCTGCCCATCCGGTGTGTATTGTTTGATCCCTCTGTGAACGGGACTACTGATTTCTTTGAAGGAGAAGCCCCAGCTCTCAAGGACTCGGGTACACGGAGGATTAGAAGTAATCGCAGCGCCAATTTCTTCGTTCAACGACGAGCGCTCAAGGATGGTGACACGATGATGGGGGCGAAGAGCGGTTGCAGCCGAGAGCCCACAGATTCCGGCGCCAACGACAATAACATGGAGACTTGACATGCCTTTGGATAGAGGTATGGTGGCCTCTCGCGGGAGGATGTGACGTTGCTCAATCGATGTTGCTTTGTGTTTTAACTATGCGACTATGGGAGGTGCCGCGAAGAAGACAACGAAGCTCACTCTCGAGACCAGCACCGTCGGTGGCTAGGTGGGTCGAAACGCGACGAGAAGGATAGGATGTGACCCCAGTCATATTATCCCAGTAGGGGCCGTGTTCTTGATGAGCAAGCCAATTCCAAATGAGTGAAGCATCATGAGAAGAAAAGATGGCCGAAGCTACTAGCCGTGGGGCATTTTATGACGTTATCCAGTCAGCTGGTGAATATGTGATCTTCAGCTATGCATATCAGTCAGTCGGGGTGTGTAACTTCTTCAATGTACGTGCGCTCTACACACAGGGATGTTGGTCCGAGACTGGAAGCTAAATAGACGGTCTGGCAATTGGTCTGATCAGAGCCATGAGATGGATCGTGTTGGTAACTCTGCTTGTGCTTCATACCATCTCGTCCCGCTGCCCGTCACACGCCGAAGATCTCCCTGCTATGGCCATTGGTCTCAGGGTGTGTGTGAATAACGGCCATCTCGCCCGCGGGATTCGTCATGCCGTCCTCCTGCCTGAGGGCGCGCCTTCACCTGCTGCGCGCATGCAAAGCACAGTCCCATTCCGATTCCCAGCAGAAAATACCAGACCCAGGTCAAGCACTAAGAGCGCGTTTAAAGCATTTGTAGACCAGTGGACGAGCCTAGTCACTGTCAGTCTGCTGCCTAGAGGAGCTGGCACCGCCACGTCGGGAAGCACGTGTTGATATCCGGCAACTTCCAGGATTTCTCTTGGTCACCAACTTCCACAAGTCAGCCAACCATAAAATGCGTCTCCGTGCCGGGGTCGCGAGGCTGTAGTCGCGTCGTGTTCGGCATCCTTATGCCCGAGAATACGGAGGTTACTGATCCATTCCGCATGGTCTCCGCGGCTGGTCGGACGGCGGAAGACCTACCATCTGATCATCGCCGCCGGTTGCTCGTAGATCAAGGAGTCGGCATCTAGACAACGGACATCCTCAAGTATCAGCGTTTAGTGCTCGGATAGCACGTCACTGCATGAAGAAAACACGAGCCGGAAGTTTCGCTAAAGCTGTTGCAAATCCTCAGCCGAGCCGGTCACCAAGTGCCATGATCTTCCAGATGAGACTGCTTCCAGCACTGCCGGAGACCATCCGGCGAGCAGACGGCCCTTGCGACGCGGAACAATCAAACGCCCCGACGACAAGAATCGGTCGCTTCCGACATCAAATGTATACATAAACGTGCCTCGTCAACCACATCGTAGCAGGACCTGCATTTGCACACGATGCGCCCCTCCCTCTGGCTCGCGCTGCTCGCCGCCTGCGCCACCGCATCTGCAGCTCCCCGCCGCCGCCTTGCGCGGCGGGGTTACCTCGGTTGGTACATCCAGGCCGATACGCCGACGTCGACGACGCCCGGCGCCACCTTCCAAGAGGAGTACCAGGGCGAGTGGTACGACCTCGACTCCGACCAGACGGGCGTCGAGCTCGAGGGCAAGTACACTACGGAAGCGTATCGTCTGAAGGGCTACAATAACTCGAACGTCCTCCTTTCGGTATATTTTTTGTCCAGGGGGTAGCTGCGTGATGTTATTGACGCGAGATGGCTACAGGTGAACACGTCGGCTACCCCGTTCGTGTGGTCTACCGATGCTCCTGGTTGGTCGCGACTCCTCCATTCGTGGGCCTTCTTTGTTGACCCAGTGATGCTCTTGCTAGAGGTCTCCGTCGACGTCAACGCCAACATCCACACGACCTACAACGTGAGCGTGACCTCGAAGAACGCCGGAAAGACCAAGACTATCCCCATCACGGGGACGTCGTTCAGCGTCTCCAACGTCGAGTGCGACGGCAGCATCAACATCACTGGCATCGTCACGTACTCGAACGGAACCTCGGTCAAGTCGGATGCTGTCGACAATTGGAACACGGGCGTCTCTGGTTCCGTAAGCGAACCTTCTCCTTCTCCCGTGCTCCGGTGTTTATACTTACAAACGTGCCACGCCCTCCTCGCGCGCAGGTCACTGCCATCAAGATCGTGGCGAACGGGCCCGCGGTCGGCGACGAGTCTTACAACAATAGCGTGATCAACTTCACGTTCAACGGCAGCGCGCTGTACACCGCGGAGTACGGAAAGGGACCCGGTCGTAAGTCATTGATATGACACGGGGACCGGTTGCTTTTTTTCTGACAGTCGCCGCCGTTCGCAGTGCCCACGGTCACCGCCTCCCACGGCATCGAGGTGCAGTTCTGCCCCGACTGAGAGTGGCGGTCCTTTCGTCAGCGGACTGGTAGATATATACCCCTCGCACCTATGATACCTGACAATTGGCGCAATTCGGACCATGCGGAACACTCGTAGGTCTTGCAGCCAATTGAGGAGTCAAAGTCTGGTTGAGAGTGGGAGTTTTGAAACCGTATAACGCAATGAGCCATATAGTATTGTCAGATCATCAACCTGGCCTCTATATATCAAGAGATGAGACCAGTAGAGGTTGCGTCGCGTCGCGTGTGGTCTTCAAAAGCTTGCACGCAATCAACCATTCTGCACCGGCCATCAACCATTCTGCACCGGCCATCAACCATTCTGGGCGAAGTGCTGCAAGGAGCAACCATTCTGGGCGAAGTGCTGCAAGGAGACGTCGTCTTGGGCTGCGACGGGCTCAGGTCGTTCGTCCGGTCATGCGTACTTGGCGAAACGATCTACCACGCCGAGCCCTCGACAGCAAACCCGTCTTGGCCGATCCGGAGCTTGCCCCGCTCGTGAGCGAGAGCTGCCTCTCGATCGTCCGGGAAGGAGACATCGCGTTCGCGTGCTGCCCCTGCCGCGGCCTCGCCGAGCTCAACTGCGTCTTCATCGTGCCCGACCTCGTCGGGAACGCGACCGAGAGCTGGCGGCAGGAGGGAGATCTCGGCGAGATGAGGGCGTACATCAAGGACTGGGCGCCGAGGTTCCGGAGGCTGTTCGACCTCGCGGAGAACTGCAGGCTGTGGCAGCTGAGGGACCAAGATCCGTTGCCGTACTGGGACGCGGGGGCAAGACGATCGTCTTGGGCGACGCCGCGCATCCGATGTTGCCTCGTAAAAATCCGTTTCCCGTCGCTTCGTAATTCTTTGCGCGTATCTTCTGACGTTTTCATTGGCGCGCTTGCAGATGAGGGGTTCTGGCGCGTCGATGGCGGTCGAAGACGTCGAAGCTTTGGCATACGTCCTGGGACCCAGCTCTCCGTACACGGATCTCGGCATGCCGGAGAAGCTTAAGATCGTAGAGAAGATCCGCTACGTGCGTGCGGGCATCGTCCAGATGCAGTCACGCGCAATCGCTGGGGATCGTCGAGCGTTCGCTGAGCACAGCGAAGACGAAGCGTGGAGGCTGACGAACCCGACCCGGTTCCACCAATATGTTTGTTTGCCTGCTGTATCCGTTGAACGATGGATAACTGAAGGTCAGATAGGTCTTCAACTACGAGGGCCCTCAGTTGGTGCCCGTGCTGTCCGACGAGGAATACGAGAAGGCGAAAGCGACGGAGATCCCGAAGGTGAAGCATAGGGCGACGACGGCGGTCAGGGCGTGAAAACTTGGCGAAATACGGACCAGGGCAGCCGTCTTCCCATCATATCGTTCGAATGTATTATATTCAATCCACTCCTGCTATCTCTTGGCTGGTCCGCCCAGGCAAACGCCGATCGACGATAGTAGGCATGGATGCCAGAGTTCCTGGACAATGTTGCGAAGGTTCGACGCATGGATGAGCCCACTCATGTAGAGCACTGGCTTGCGAGAACAGGAACATTCGGCCCGGTGACTCCGGCAGCGTCGGGATCTGGCGCGTCATTTTACCATAAAAGGCATCCCCGCCACGACCCACTCTATCAGTGCATAGCCCATTGGCTTCCATCACGATCGCGCAGCGCACAGCATGCTCGCCGTGGGCCCCGTCGAGCTCAAGATGGTGCGCCGGTTCCCGCAGGCTTTATCACCGCCCGCAGGCCAAGCGGTATAACATCGACATCCACTTCGCCCCCCTCCCCGCTGTTTACTGTTGCCATCCGAAAGACATGCTGCTGGAATCCAAGCCGTCCGGGCTGCTCTACACCCGCAACTCGATCGAGTACCGCTCGCAGTCCGTGCGCGTCGCCCGGCACACCTCCGTCGCGGTCCCCGCATACTCCGCCTACGCACCCGAGGTTCCAACCGACCTCCCGCCGCCGTCCTACAACGAGATCATCGCCTCCTTCGCGCGCGAGCGCGAGCGCGACCTCCCGCCCCCTCCGACCGACAAAGACGTCTCCGCCTCCTTTTCTTCTTCCCCGCTCCCTTCACCCGGCCCGAAAGACGTCGCGGCCAGCGGGCCCAGCCGACGCGCTGCCGCCCTCCCGGTAGTCCGCGTGCACGAGGTACCCGAAGAAGAGGAGGAGGACACTAGGAGCGTGCTCGACCTCTCTCCGAACGGGATCGCGGAACCCGTGGGCTTCGGCCGCATGCCGAGCCCCGCCTTCAGCTACGAGCCGTTCGAGACCGTCTGGTTGTACGCGAAGGAGAAGACGCTCGAGCACGGCTGGCCGTTGACCGCGCCCAAGTCGCTCGCGGCACGCCAGACCGCGCACCCGTTCTCGACGCACGACGTGCGCGAGACGGACTGGCGGAGGTTCGTCGATCGCTTCTGCTGGCTGCACCTACGAACGAACCGGGCTGACGACACCATCGCAGATTCTTGGGCGATCTGGAATTCGGCGCGCGGGGCGCGTGGGTGCCCATGCCCGAAACGAGCAAGGGCAAAGGCTGGCAGCTCTTCGGGAGCAAGCCGACCAAGGAGCGCGAGCGTCTGCTAAAGCAAGAGCAAGAGCGGCTCGTCATGCAGATCATCCTCACGTGGAACCACGTACGTGTTCTTCTCCACGCCCTCGTTCATGACACATCCTCATCCAGTTACTCATCCACCAGCGCTTCTTTGGTCTACGCCGGATGGAAGTCTACCTCTTCAAAGGCTCCGAGCGACTCAAACCCGGCTCCGCCCACCTCTCTTCCACCGCCGCAGCTTCCTCGCATTCGCAAGTGCACCTGGACTCGCCCTCCTCGACGTCCGCCTCTCCAGGCGAACTCGCCCCGCCCGCCCCAGTACTACGCCACCGTGCCTCCTCGTTCGCCTCCTCCTCCTCCAGCTCCGACTCCGACTCTGACGATTCCTCCGACTCGGATTCCGATTCGGACGACGACCGATCGATCGCCTCTTCCTCCGCCTCCACCCATCCTACAAACAACGGCAATAACAGCAACTCCGCATCGAAGAAGGCGGCTCGGAAGGAACAGCGCGAATGCGCGCGGGCGGCGAAGCACGAGCGGCGGATGGAACAGCGGGCGAGGAAGGAGGAGCGACGGCGGCACAAGCGCGAGCGCCGGCACGCGCGCGAGCAGAAGCGGGCGGAGAGGCGCGAAGCCGGACGTGCGTTCAAGGACGGCTACAGCCTCGTCATCGTCGCGCTGAAGGGCAGCGTATGATGATGCTGGGACTGAAATAGGGTATCGCGTCGCTTTTCGTGGTTGATGTTATCCATACTGACGCGGACGCTTCGCGCTCTGTACTTATATTTGATTCTACCTTTGTATACCTTTGTATAACACCCACTTGAGCGGTACAACAACATCCCGGGACACTGGCATGAACGAGCACCGCCTGCCCGCCAGGCCGCAGAGAAGAGCAATGGAAGGCTTCAGAAAAAATCGTATTGCCGTGACGAACAACGTAAGAATTCTGTACAGGGCCCACCAACATGCCACAATCCCAGCCGACCATACCTTCAATCATGAGAAGAGCTTGTTGACGGACGTATTGCTGTCCTGGTTCTTCTTGAGAACCTGCGAAGTGCATCAGTAATGCCTTCGAATGTACGCGCGTGGTAATGACTCTGACCTTGGCGATGGCGAACTCGAAGTCCTCCTGCGTGACGTGCTGTCTCCGTTCTCGAAGGGCGTACATGCCTTCAACAGTTTTCTCAGTTATCTGTAGGATGGAAAACAAGTGCGATTGTGCGTACCGGCCTCCGTGCATATACCGCGGACTTCCGCACCGGAACATTGGCCCATCTTCTCCGCCAAAGATCGCAGGTCGATTCCGCGTTGTAATGACATCTTCACAGTTCCCCAGTTAGCTTGCATAAGGAGTGATATAAGCAACGCAGTTCGCACCTTCCGTGAATGGATGCGCAGGATAGCCACGCGGGCTTCGGGGCCTGGTGGCGGGAACTCGATCTTTCGGTCGATACGACCTGGTCGGAGGAGTGCAGAGTCCAGGATGTCTGGCGGACGGAAGAGAGAGAGCGTCAGTAGGTGCCCTCCCGACTTTTTCAAGTCTCGGTGCACGCACCTATCCGGTTGGTGGCCATGATGACCTTGATGTTCTTCGACGGCTCGAACCCGTCAAGCTGGTTCAGCAGCTCGAGCATCGTCCGCTGCACCTCCGAGTCGCCGCTGCTCGACCCGCCGTCCCCTCTCGAACTGCCGATCGAGTCGATCTCGTCCATGAAGATGATACTCGGCGCGTGCTCGCGCGCCATCACGAACAGCTCGCGGACCATCCGGCTTCCCTCTCCGATATACTTCTGCACGAGCTCCGAGCCGGACACGCGGATGAAGCGGCAGTCGGTGTGGTGCGCGACCGCACGCGCGAGGAGGGTCTTGCCCGTCCCGGGCGGGCCGTACAGCAGCACGCCTTTGGGCTGCGCGATACCGAGCGCCTCGAACAGCTCCGGGTGCTTGACGGGGAGCTCGATGACCTCCTTGATCTCCTTGATCTGCTTGTCGAGCCCGCCGACCATCTCGTACGTGCTGTCCGGCACCTTCTCGACCATCATCAGCGACACGAGCGGGTCCACCTTGTTCGGAAGGACTTTGTGCAGCGTGTACGAGTCGGACCGGAGCGCGACGCGCAGGGTCGGCGTCAGCGTCGCCTGGTCGATCTCGGAGTCGATGTCGACGACTACGGGCGACCGCTGTTCAGCTCTGGGGTGCAAGCTATAGGCAACGTGGTGTATACGCACTGTATTTGCCTTCGGGTTGCACCTTCACGAGCACCTTGTTCTTGCCCATAACCTTCACCACCTCCCCGACGTAACTCCCCGGTTCATGGAGCAGCTGCAGCTCCTCCCGCAACAATCGCACTGACATCCTTCGTCAGCCCCAGCCCCGGGCATCAAGTCTCGGCGCAACACACCTCTCGCGTTCAAGGCATTCCGTTGAGCTTCTAACCGCCGCAGGTTCTGCGTCTTTTGGTTGATGGTGATCTCGGCGGCCTCGATCTTCGCTTGGTAGTAGGCCCTGATCCCTGCGGGCGTCGTGTGTGTTTGTGCCGCTACAGACATGACCAGAGCGAGCAGCCAATGGAAGTATGTGAGATCAGTAAGGTGCTGGTGGTAGCGGAAGCACTTACGCGACCCCAAGGACGCGTATGCCAGCGCTGACGTAATATACGCGCTCGCGTTCTCCTCTTCCCCGGGCCAGTGCTACGGACCTGCATCCGTCGCCCTGAAGCCTGCACCGCCGAACTAGAGCGGAACGTTTAATAATACTTCTAGCACATACATGCAATATCCCCCCATCAACAACCACGGTGTAAGTGGATTAGTAGTTGGACGGATCGTCGTTGAAAGGTGACGTCAAATGTGGATGAATACAGAATGATGAGCGGCACGTATATAGCTACAGTTGAGACATGGGACAGAGCGGCGTCAGTATCATTAAACTACAGCTAAGGTAAACAGACATTCGAGGAACTGCCTGTAGTGGTGACAGACATCTCATGATGCCCTCTTGCACACAGGTTTGTGGGCTTTCCAGTGGTTCTTCTGACACGACGAATCGCAATCTGCAGTCGCAAGTGTAGAATATGAGCCTATCAGGTCCAAAATAACGCTTCAATCATTACTTACACCTGGCGGTACTGCAGCCCCCACACTTCTTAAGCACGGCACTCGGGTGTCCGCAGTTGCTGCATCGGTACAACGTGACAGAGTTGCCCATAACCTCCTGAGGCCGCACACGCGTTGGAACCTGCCTTGGGTCGAAATCAGGGTCTTCGTCCTCGAGCTGCAGCTTCTCGTCAAGCCACGACGTGAGCTCGTGCGTTACACCCTGTGGATCTATGAGCCCCCGTTCATCGATGCCGGCACCTTTCTCCGAGATGGCGTCGAAATGCCGTATAAGGTCACCCCATTCTTTCTGGGCGGCAACGTAGTCTCGGAAGACCGTCATTCGCGTCAGGCGCAATTTCGAATTGGGTTCCGACGTCCCTATATAACGCATCACATCCTCGTTGAGTCGGAGCCTTTCGAGTATGTCCTGGGTGTGCGTGAGCTGATATTCCATAATCTGAATTGAGAGCTCACATCAAAGTCTTTCAAATCTGACCTCGCCTCCTTCCCCATAAGCGCAAGCGTCAGGAGGATATACCAATCCACAACAGTCCCAAAATTCGTGGCATCGGGGGGCGAGTCGGTCAAAAACGTCTTGGCATCCTCCGACGCGCTCGCGAGATAGGCGATCCCTTCCTTCCATCTGTCCGTGTGCGTATGTGACAGACTCAGCACTGACAGGGCCATGTTACCGGCGAGCCGGATGCTACGTTCTAGTAGACCAAGCTTGACCGATCGAGTTAGCGACTTCGTGCATCGCAGGCCCTTCTTCGCGTAGCGCAAGCCGATTTCCCGCTCAGCGGCGAAGCTGGCAATGTAGTAAAAGAAGGCGACGTCTGGATGCCGCGAAATGGCGTCTCGAGCTCGGGAGAAGAACTTAAGGACATCCTGGCGTAGGAAGGAGTACTGGACTTCGAGAATATCCGCCAAGTACGCTTCGTTTCGTTTCCCCTTCTCTCGGATGGCTTTTGCGGCGATGAGCTGGCTCCGACAATATCCTGTCAGGTAGTATCAGATAAACAACGAGCTCGTCGCACATACCAGAACGTCCGACCACATTTTGAACGGTGGCGACCACGTCCCGTCATCCTCCAGTTCCGCATCCGAGTCGAGATCAGTAGCTAATATGACGTTAACCTATGCAGGTGAGTGTGAGCAAGGACTTTATACACGAGCGAGAATGAGATCGTACCAGCTTTTTACCGATTGCGTAGAAATCCGGGGAGTCGCAGAGGGTCTCGTACAGGAGAGCTTGATTCTCGTTCATGGCATTGAACATGATAAAGGTTTCACACTTCGTTGGACCATACCTCATGAAGGCATCGTTGATGTGAGGAGGCCAGGCGCGGGAGGACATCGCGGCTTCGAAAACCTCAGAGTTATGTTTGGGCGCGTCATCTTCACCTGCATGAGCGTGCAAACGTATGAGTGAGCCGAGGGCTCCAGCTCGGGCGCTAATATCGTCACTCCGCAAGAATGCGGTGATAAACCTTCTCGCGGATGGATTCTTCTCGTATTCCTGACAAACACGGCCTCAGCTGCGTGCCATAATGCATTATATGCGCCAGTTCTCGCCTTTAGACAGTTCCACGTTGCGTTTTGGATGAGAAGCAACGCATGGCTGATGAGATAGGCGGAACTTTTTGGCTTTCGGGCGGCTTCGAGCAGTACTCGGATTGTCTCCGTGATATCGATATCCTCGAGGATTTCAACCGCGTTGTCTCCATCCAAAGTCACGGTTGATACCACGTGCCCCAAGACGACTATGCATAGCTCTTGTGTCTTCGCGTCATCTGGGCGTGTCTTAACGAGATCAACGAGCCTCCGGGCATAGCAAGCGATCTGGATGTGTGTATGATGACCTGAGAGATGGGTCATGCTGGCCAGCGACAGCAGGACGACGTGCTGATGGTATTTACATTAATAACGTGGCGAGAGTCAGGCAAAGGGGTGGACTAACCCGGCATACGTCGGAATCGAGGAGAGACATCATCCTCAAGAGAAGACTTGAAACATGTGAGTGTTGTAGATTTCAATTCTGCATGTCAGACGTACCTTTCTCAAACAGCTTGTCACGAAGGAGAGCGTCGGAGCACATCTTCGCGAAGATTCCAATAATGCCACCCAGCACCATCTCCTTCCCTTCCTCCTCGTATACCTTGTACACAGCATCAAGGCGGCCATACAGCGTTTCAAAGTTCTCGTGGATCTGCTTGAGTCCCCGTCGCTTTGTCAGCGGCGGGATCTCGAAGTAGGAACAGAGCACGGTGACTATGATGTCCCAGTTTCCGCCCGTGTCGGCTATGATCGTGTAGAACGCGTCCTGTTCGGCCGCACTGACGAAAGGCTTTAACTGCAATGGATCAATATAATGCTTGGACCTTTTCGAGCGTTTGTTATTTCTGGCCATAGCAGATTCCACCAGTGGTTCGAGCAATAGGAAGCGATGAAAGGCGGCCTCGCGTTGGATGGCCCCTATTATCCAAGGCACGGTTGCACGTGATCGCGCCTCCTGCCTCATCCGAGCTTTATCGGAGTCCGCGATCACAGCAATGCGTGGAGGCCCTCTCTCGAGCATGTACCACATTTTTTCTGCACTAATTGCTCCTTCCCTTGCGGCATGTCCGATATGGTGTGCTTCTCCGATGCGCTCGGAGTAGGATCTGCGGGCTCCCTTCATCCTTCACGGCACACTGATCGCGTCTGCGCAAAGGCACTATACCTATAGTTTTGTCATGGCTATATCACCACCGCCACACTCCATCAATGACCGTCGCCCGACCATAAAACTTGAACTGAGCGCGCAGCTTGTGAACTAACCTACAGGATCAAATTCCATGTTGAAACGGAGCGCTCAGCCGACACACACGGACACCCTGGGCGTTCCTCCGGCTTAGATGGCACTGCGCGTATATATAAAGCTCGCAAGCACTGCCAAATCGGCCATGTATGCTATGCAGGCGGCTACTCTCAGCGCACCCAGGAGTCAGCATCAACGGTATTAATCAGTGTCCATAACGTTCCCACTCGGTATACCTACCCGCTCAATGCCTTCAAGCCACGTAAGTGATCCATCGGGCTTTGACTCATCGTAGTTGAAGGTTGCAGCTACTAACAGTGCTGCTCAGAAGATATAAGGTGCGACGCTTTGTATCATTTTCAGATACAGACAGTTCCTGTCCGCCTTTCCATTGTCAGTCGTAACTTCGGTCAGCGACCATTATTCCTGCCGAAATGAACACTGCTCTGTTCACCAGACTTGCGTTCTGGCTGATTGTGATGTAATGCACACTTCGGGAAAGTATTTGTATCGAAAAACTCACCCACTTTTCCAGATGCACGCCTGCTATGGGTATCCCGGCCGGTGAGCGCCGAATCCCACCTCGCTGCAACTCGTGAGTGTTCTCCGTTCATAGTCATCGGTTTCTGATCCACACTTGTCGTCTGATTGTAGGGGCAAAGTAAGGAGTGTTGGTGGTTCCGGATGTGCTGCGCCTCCGTGATTGCCAGTGGGTGGTACTGTGCTGCCGTCACGTCGTGTCGTGTATAACCGCGGGAGTCAAGCAAGCTTCAAAGCACAGGGACATTGATAGTATCCTAGTTTTCCCTCGTTGTTAATGTTCACAGAGAGATCGGTTCCTTAGTCGGCCTCATTGGCAAAAGCTTGATGTGACTGATGTGTGAACTTCGTCGGATCCTGGCTTTTATGCCCTTCGTATACCAGCAAAGAATGGACGGCGCCTGCTTTGAACAAGACGTGGATGTCGCTCAAAGAGTCGCAAGGGCGAAATTACCTACATACTGGCCGCAGGCCACGTGACCACGTGGCTGCGCGGGAGTACTCTCAGAGCTCTGCCCCTCTGTGTCCTTACATGAAGACCTGGATAGGATCGACAGACCCGCCTACGTTCATCCTCGGTGAAGATGCGGCCCCCGGTTTCCTAACCAGTCCTACTCGCCACAAAGCTGGCAGTTCCTCGCGCTTTGAGCGCGATGACGCGACGACTGCCTCCGTGCATTATTTCCGCTGCTGCGTCGAACTCGGATAGACTGACGCGATTTGCCGGGTGCTCAGTTGTGTGGGTAGCATTGCCGCAACACTGCATGCTTCCTCACAGGACGTGTGCGTCACGTCATACTCAGTCAACTTCGAGCTCGGCGAGCTCGGTCTGTCTATTCAAACTGGTTTCCTTCAAAGTTCACGGTACCCAAGCTCCGTTGCAACAGGCTTCGACCTCCCACCTTGGGCAGCGGATCAATGGCGTCACTAGTCGTTGCGGCTCTCATTAGTCTATATACATACCCTGCGAGACAGCCTCCGAGATGACGTCCGTCATTACTCTGCGTACGTGTCTTCATCCTCTGACACGGCCACATGAGCAACGACGGATCTTACAGAGGCGTATCGGCCCACACGACCGGAACCTCGTACGTGTAATGGACAGTTCCCTGCGGCGACGATTTCCCGGGTTTCGTATTCTCAGGCCTGCGTTCGATGTCTTCACTACTTTCTGCGGCCTATCGTTCAGTGTCGTTTGCTCTGCACCAAAGAAAGGATCATCTGCGCCTAGCCTTATCGCTTTTCTTCGGACGAGCACAACTAAAGGACCCCATTCACACGGCTGTCCCTACTTACAAGATTTATATGCACCCTGGTATTCTCCCAATCTTCCTCGGCCGGGCATTGAGGGGAGCTACCCCTGCCGCGAACGTCACCGACGATCTCTCCGCCAGGCAAAGCCTCTTTCGGGCGAAGCATCAGCAAGCCGCCCTGCAAGATGTGCCCCACAGATCGCGCGAACCCTCCTATCAGAGTTTAAGAGTTTCGATGGCACTGACCTGCCGAGTTATAGAAGCTTATTTCAGCCACTGTGGACTGCGGCTCATTCGTATATCGCCAGCTTCCATCTGCGCTATCGGGTTCGCTCCCTGCGGTAGAACTAAGGAATAGCCAACCCTGGTCCCTCTCTTCCGAGCTACCCCCGGAGGCAGATCGCATGGGGTTCGGGACCGAAATAGCATGCATCGACCCGCGTCCGCCCACGCGTTTTTGACTCCATGCAGCTGCTCCCGTTACGCTGGCGACCTTACGCTTTCCTCGGACGCTTCGAAGACAAGGTACGGATCGAAAGGAACCTACTTATCTATAGCAATGGCGATCTGGGGTCGCAACTCTCTAGACCTTCAGGGCTGATGTGGCGAGTAGTGCGGCGAGCTACCCTGAGGAGACCTAGGCCCGCTCAAATAGTCTGTGCTGCGACGCTTGGCCGTGGTGCGTTTGCCTCTGAAATCGCCAACGCGGCGTGCAAAGATAAATGCCGGATGGATAGTTAGAAGGCTACCCCGGCGCTTGTAGCCCGACCCGCTCTCACGCACAGTCCGCTCGTTTTCTCTGGAGCGCGATTTTTGCTACAGTCCGCTGCCGCCGCCAGTATCGTTTATATGGCCAAGATCGTTCTTGCGTCTTCCACGAAGGAGTAAGATCGTACGATAAAGTAACTGCCTGTTTGATCGCGCTTCGTATCACGGAGGTGTGGCGTCCTGAAGCAACGATCTGTCTACGCCGACTTCTGATCATCGATACACAAGCTCGCCAGCTATTCCAAACGTCACCTATGGCTTTTCGGGGCGATGAAGGACGATCTCGGAACGCGGAGGGAGTGCAGCAGGGGAAGAATAGTGCGCACGTACAGGAGCAATTGTTTCACCTGCGCGTGCGAACCGGCGTTCGACGTACGAGGAGAGACACCGCGTTGGCATTCGGTAATAAAGAAAGAACTCGTTAGACTGTTTGGGGGATATATAGTGGTTGGGGGTAACATGGATGAAGCATCGCTTCTTTTCGATACACTTGAATGATAGTCGTGATACGGAAGTTACAAATATACAACCTAGCAGTCGGATAGTGTCGTAGCCGTACCTGGGATGAGTAGTTATACAGTGTGTATCATGGAGGTCCGTGACGAAGGCAATCGCAATAGAGTATTGTCGCGTGGGGATAAAGGGCGTGTGCTATGCCCCATATTTCCGTTTTATAGCAGCCCAAGCGGAGGCCGCGTCCTTGTGAACCCTGATAAAGTCGCGCATGTCTTGTTCAGGTATACGATTGAGATCCACCTGGTTCCAGTAGCGAGCGAGAACGAAGGAGATGTCGGAGGCATCGTGCTCGGAGCGTCGTCTAGTTAGTCGATAAGTTCAGCCGGGGTATGCATATGTGGGATTGCCGACGCTCACAGTGACCACGCCTTAAGCTTCGCCCTAAGGAACTCCGACACCGTCAAGAACGGTGTACCTCGTACGACCATGACAGTGCTCCCGTCCAGGTGTCGCGGCCCTTCTTCCCCGGCAGGCAATATCTCGATCTACGCATGTCGTGTGACACCAATTAGCCTTCTGCCATTTCGAACCTTTAAGCGTCGACTGACCTCGATAGCAGGGATGGGACGGTTGTATCTGACATGCAACCTGCAGGACTATGATCAGCCAGTGCTCGACTACGTGGGGGGCGGAGGGGATCGTACCGGTTGCACCACGGCGAGGAAATCACGGTGAAATACTCATTGCCGGCAAGCGCCTGAGATACTCGGCCGAACGGATGCGTCCCACCGGGGCCAGCAGAGACAAGGCAATACATTTCCTGCGCCGCCGTCAGGATCGTCGCAAAGGACGTCGACCGCGGCCGACTCACATCGCTTGTCGGGCTGCTGGATAGCACCGCGGGCAGGATGCTTCCATGGAAGGCATGGGCGATCCCGCATCGACGGAGTGGACGGGAGAGAGCCGCAGCGGCCTCCAGCAGCCGAGAGGTTTCTTGCATAACTCGGGGCGGGGGAGAGGAGAGGACAGGCGTTTCAGCAATGCATGATACGGACAGTGGGGGTCAGGCCAGAAGTTTAAGTTCCCCGGGAAGGGGCCTCGGTACAGATATGAAATAGTGCCGCGACCTCGAAGCCTGTTCCCAAACGGGACACTCGATCATGGACATGCTACCACGTTGCAATAGTCAGACCCTTACCGTTCCGACGAGTGCGTTGATGGAGGGGCTCCTTCCGGGCCACTGCGAGCATCACATGAGCAGAAGTGACGGATAACCGTGCTCCCATAGACGTAAAGCGAAATTATGTTGCGCCCGTGCTCCGGACGGGCTTGTCATCCGTCTAAGAAACACACAATCGGTTCTCATGCTCGTCCCGGTCGGCCGATTTATCTCTTGCCGGGTTATCGCAAGGACTCGATATCGCGTTCCGTGAGCTCGCAGAGGGACAAAATATGCAGGGCGTTTCCCCTGGACCTGCATATCCGTGGGTACGTCAGCGCCGCAGGGTTGGACCTGAATCCAATCGATCACAGTGGGTGAACTTCATCTGCGGGGTGGGTATCTGTGGGGTAAATAAGTTGGTAACTCAGAAGGAAGTAAGTCCCCTGCCACCGCGTAGTCTAGAAGATGACGGTATATACCTGGACGTTTTCGCCCAGCGTCGGGATTCTTGTAGTCGAAAGGAAGGACAAAGCAACATCAGCATTCAAAGGTGATTGGATATACCCGACCATCTATGACGACAAACCGAGTCGAATTGTTTCCTTGCAGTTTGTATCATTCGCGTCCAGTCATCCACCGTATATATCTGGCGACTGGTAAGTAAGTGACCCAGCAACGAAGATCAATCCGAGATCAGAGCTAGGCTGACAAGGTCGTGAACGAACCGCCAAGAACCAGTACAGGTGACCGGGGTCTCTGAAGGTCATGTGCTGTTACCACGGCCACGTGCGGACCAATTCCCGAAAATCCCGAATATTCACACTTCGTCTGATTCACGCATAAATCACTGGCGTTCCTCCTCTGCGCATGCATACAGGATTGTGCGCGCGCACCTCCAGCCATGTAATGGGACACCTTGGAGCTCGCTACTGGAATGTAGTCGGAGCGAACCCGTTGCGCTATCTTGCGACGTACGCGCCGCTGGCGCAAGGCTTGCGCGCCTCTGGTAGCGCCTTCCAGCGACAGCGAATGCGAGCTAGAATGGACGCGGAACTATGCTGCTACACTACCACTAGGCCCATGTCATACTGGGCAGACAGGTTCGCGAAGAAGCCGGATCTGTCGTTCGACGACAACACTGCCAGCGTGCAGGATCAAGCGGCGAAGGCGGCAATTCTTGACAAAGTGATGAAGGGACGCCAACCGGCAGATCTCATGCTCAGATGTGAGTGACTTGCCACAACTTTGTGGGATGGCAGCTGAATCCACGCTCGTTCAGGCACCGTATTGGACGCCGAGGGTACGTCGCACCCACCCATATGCTCGAAGATCTTCCACCGCGGTGATTAATGCCCTTCGCTCCGCACAGGAAACGTAAAAACGATCTCTGGAGAGTTCAAACGGACTGCACTATGTGCGGAGCACCGGCTAAACGTAAGGCGTCGTTTTGCATCAGACGGTTTCCTCTGTAAAATGTTGATCACTTGTCGATTGATAAAGCCTCGTGATCTCCGCAAAATCGATTCACGGATTCCGAACCTCGTGCCAACCATCCTCGCTCGCAAGGAAGCGTTCTTGGTACGCACATCTGTACGTCAGGTTCGCATCGATCGCTGTACGAGACGATCAGGTCAATATATTGCACATTCGGGCGATGGTCAAAGCCGACACCGTACTTCTCTTTGACACGATTGGGTCAGCGGATTCCCGCCTGCACTCTGCTTTCCTGTACCACCTTGAAGTGCGTCACTGCTTACGTTCACCAGCGAACTGTATTGACACGACGTTGATTTTCCCAGCACAATCTGAAGGCGAAAGGTGCTGGTCTGCCCTACGAATTCAGGTGCGGTCTAACTCCCAGACCATGGGACTGGGTGCTGAAATTCATCTTCTAGAGCGCTCGAATCTATTTTGCTCTCGGTTCTCAGCGCTCTGGAGGCCGAAATAGTGTTCATACGGAATATAGTCGGCGGCTTGCTGGCAGAATTAGAGGACGACATCGACCATGACCGGTTCAAACGTCTCCTTCACTACTCACGGCGTTTGGCCAGTTTCCAGAATCGCGCAAAGCTTGTACGTCACGAGGCGGTTAGCCTTGCCACGTGGAGGCTCATCTGTATCGACAGGTTCAACAAGCCCTAGAGGAGGTTTTGGAGCAAGGTAAGCGCAACCCTCGATGATAGCTATCGACCTTCGCCTATTGGTTCACTCCCCGCAGACGAAGACCTGAACGCAATGTACCTTACCGACAAGAAAAACAACGTCCCACGGGAGATGACAGAGCACGAGGACCTGGAGGTTCTGCTAGAAACGTTCGCAAAGCAAGTAGAGGAAGTTGTCAACGAAGTTGCGGTAATAGAGGTAAATGAACGATATCGGTATTCCCCTCCCGCCGGCTTCTCATACGCACGCCTTCCAGAGCAACGTTCAATCGACGCAGGAAATCGTTGAGCTAATCTTGGACTCAAATCGTAACGCGCTGCTGGCTCTGGACCTCAAGGTATGCGGCGCGAATCTCACCGCTGACTTTCGGAGGATCTCTGAATTTCGTATGGCGATAGATATCTATCGGAACGATGGGTATCGGTGCAGGTGCTCTTATCGCCGGCTTATTTGGTATGAACGTGAGGATTTCATGTGTTCTCTCTGCCCACGGCTATCTCATACTGACAGCTGCTTGGCCAGTTGACTAGCCACTTGGAAGAGACGGAATACGCATTTGCGGCGCTTTCTGCGGTCTCCATGGCCGTGGCGGTCATCATCGCGTGGGGAGGCATGCGGAGGTGCGACTTTTCTCTGTAATCCAGTTTTGCTCCCCCAGTATTTATACATATACGGACCACACAGGCTCGCAAAGATCCGCAAGGTCGGGCTATCTGCGAACCCTCGGAATCGCCGAGCGCGACCGACGGGTCGGAGATGGTTGCCACTGCCGTTGAGACGGCGAGGTTTAGACGGCACGGGTAGCTGGTGGACGTGACACACGCTTTTACCTCTCCCCGACTGGGTCGAACCATCGTGCCATCGAACTCGCCGAACGCGATAAGGGCGTCGAGGATATCTCACGCCGGCTCGGCTGCTTCGCGCCCATCGTAGACGGCGCGTCCGGATACCCATTTTCAACGACCGAGCACCATGCCCGTTCGCAGCCACCACTCGCCACAAGCACGATAACAAGTGACATCACCACGAATAACTTGCCCCTACGATGTCGGTCCTCCTCGGCAGATGCCAAGACGCCGAAAAGAGAGGGAGGGGGCGCGCGCTGGAATAGGCCGTGTAGAATAGAGCATGACGATGCCACAGTATCTCCTGCAATCGTCGCTCAATCCACACATAATTCCCCTTTGCCATCGCCTTTCCGGCTCTCGAACTACCGATGTGCTCGCCTCTCAGGGCCGTGCGCGGCGGCACCACGGCCTTGGACTCAGCTGCACCCTCGCTCCTAATGAGGGCAGCCGGTCTGGTCATGGCAATTTCCGAACTAGACTGCTTAGATTCTATATATCGACCGTACGCACTCGCCGTCGGCAGGTGGGTTATCCCACGGAATGGTGGTCATGAGTATTCTTTATCAGATCATGCAAAACGATTATACACTGAATAGATCCCTCCGTGTCTGTCCGCACTATATATCGCCAGCCGTAGAAAGAAACGGTGGTCTAAAGAGATTCCACCAGCGCTGAGGCCCGATCCAATCGAGAGAGTTCGGCGAAGATGTTCGCGGTAGGCGGGGTCGCGTGCTATGACGAGGGTTTGGGCGTGGAAGGCTCCTCGGGATGTCCCTCCCTGAGCTCTTCCTCGATCGCCTTGCGACCCGCTTCGGTAAGCTGCGGAATACCGGAGTCGATCTCCTTCTCGAAATACACCGGCGCGAACCTGGAGGTGACCGGGACGTCAGCACGTTGTCGCATATCGAGCTTGTGGGGGGTGGGGGGTAGACAAACTCACTCGATGCCCTTACGCTTCCTCTCCGCGGCGTCGTCCCGCTGCTTCTGCTCGATCGCGTGCTTGTGCTTGGTCGCGTCCGAGTACTCCTTGCTGAGCAGCTTGCTCGTCACGTTCTCCCACAGCCGCCGGCTCTCGTTCGGGAGCTGCTTCTCGAGCGGGCGCACGCTCTTCGGCACGACGTGCAGCGTCGAGAGGTCGATGAGCGTCGCCCAGTCCCGGTCCTGGGGCGGGGTCGCCTTGCCCGACTTGGTCGAGGCCGTCGCCCGCCGCCAGCGGACCTTGTGCCGCCACGAGCCGTCGATGTACGCCACCGCGCGATCTTTCGGGACGTGCTTCACCTTCGTCCACTCTTCGACGCCGGGCTCTCCCTCCGTGTAGGTGTGCACGACGCCCTCGACCAGGAAGTGGGCTTTGCCTAGCCAGGACTAGATGTTACGGCGGGCGTCAGATGCGATCGCGCCGCGGGGGGGGGGGGGAGGGGTTGGAAAACCGAAACGCTCACCTCCTCCTTGTACTCGAGGATCGTGCGCAGCTTCTGCCCCGGCGCGCCGCCGGTACAGGTGACGATCGTCGAATCGCCGACGGTGACGTAGAAGCTGCCGCGGAGGATGCCGTTCACCGCCGCGGTCGGGTGCGTGATCTGGTACTGCTCGCCCTCGCCGGGGCCGCCGGTGAGGCGGACGAAGATGCCCTTGTTGAACGAGCCGGGAAAAATCTTGATCGCGGTGCCCGCGACGCGCGCCGAGATCTGGTCGACGCCCGCGAGCTCGACGTGGCGCGGGGGGCAGACGGCGTAGTAGGCCGAGATCGGCGGGTGGTGCGAGACCTGCTCGGTCAGGAAGGCGATCCGGACGCGCTCGGCGGTGGCGTCGGCGGCGGGCGGCGCGCCGGCCTCGAGCACGACGTCCTCGTCCTCGCCGACGCCGAGGCTGAGGGTCGACATCTGCGCGTCGAGGTTGGACTCGACGGACGTCGCGGCGGTGGAGGGCGAGGCGACGCCTTTGGAGAAGGAGCTCGTGCCGCTCTTGCCGCTGCGCACGGAGACGTCGTCGGACGGGCGGACGCGGGGGGACGCGAAGGCGGACGGAGGCGTGCTGCCCGCGGGCGTGGCCGTCGCCGACGTGCCCGGGAGGGAGTACACGGAGGACTCGGCGGCGGCGGGCGCGAGGTAGAGGTGCTGCACGGGCGGGCCTCGGGGGTCCGACGGGTAGGAGACCGGGACGACGTCCCAGTGCGAGCGGAAGTGCTCGCCGAGCACGGAGTTGTAGGGCTTGCAGACTCTGCCGCGCTGCGCACAGACGAGAGGGAACGAACGTGAGTAACGCTCGAATATTAGGCCGGGGCGAGCCAATGGCACCGACGGTCACTCACGATGAACTTGAGATCCTTCGTGAAGGTGAACCGGATTACGGCAAGCATCCGCTCGAACGCATCTTCCGAGTCGTTGATCCTGTTTCGTTTTGCGAGAGCGCCAGGGTCGGTTAGCCTTTCACGATCGGGGCAGATGCATGCGATGCGGACTTACGCCGCGAAAAGGTCGGGGCGATCCAGGTACTGCCAGTATTCTAGGTTCGGGATGGGTTCTAGCAGCGAGGCCGGGAGCGATAGCCGCCTTGGGAGGGGGGGCCGCGACGCTGATGAGCGACGGCGCATCGGGCGAGGGCGGACGGGACGGATACGCACATGGACGCGATGTCCTTCACGCCGAGGCACTTCTTCACGAGCTGGACGATCATCTTGAGCTTGCCGCTCTCGCCCGTGTCCCCGGAGTCGGGCACGGAGATCGGCGCCTCCTCCTCCGCCGGTTCGTGATCGCTCTTGACCTCCGTGGCCATCGTGTCCAGTAGCGAGTAGCGAGTAGAGGTGGTGGTGGTGGTGGGTTGAAGACGAGGCCGATGGGGGTCGCAATGCGACGCTGTTAGAGAGGGACTACTGAGGCGGCCATCATGTTATTACGTCTTTCGTCTGTGAACGTGTCTGCGGAACGGCGCCGCCTCGCCACTCCGCCGATTATGGCTAAACACCCCCTAAGTCATCGGACACAGCCTAACATACACAGGATACACAGCTAACTGCGTAGCCCAAGCGCTTTAGGTCGTCTTTTTGGCCTCCGCAGCGTTCGCTCCAAGCACCTCGCTCACAACCTCCAGATCCACCGCGTCCGGCGTTCCAGGCAACAACAAGCCATCATCCACTCTCCACCCTGCGTCTCGCATCCGGGCCGCGAATCGTTCAAACAACCGCTCAGAGTCGTTTCCTTCATCGTGATCTGTATGCCCGGCCGAGTCAGGCCCGTGGCCATGGTTGAACGTCTGCGGTCCCCGTGCGCCGGACTGCAGGGAAGACTCCGCCCGTCGGTCTTGAACGGCTCGTAAGGCGTGCACCCAAGCCTTGAGCAGATCCTCTGGACCGTATACCCGCTTGAGAAGGATGGTGGCAGTCGGTATGGAGCCTGAGACAGGCCAAATTTAGTGACGGACGTGTTAATCTTCAAAGCACCCGTACCTGGCTTGGAGTCGATTAGAAGCCAGTATCTTGCTGCCTCGATCAGTCGCGACGTCGACACCATAGCGCTGTCCTTCCCCGTCGTCGCGATGAACCCCTGCGAACGAGCGCCGCCAAACGAGCACCGTCCCAGCCGCCGCCCGGTGCCGTCTGCGATCAAAGTCGGGTCCGCGAGGAGCCCTTCGCGCTCGGCGACCTCTTCAGGGGTCGGCGCAGCACCCGCCCCTCTCTCCATCCAGACGCGCCACGCGATGCTAGCCCTTTGGCGCGTGAGCGTGCGCATCGCGACCGCCCTGACGGCGAGATAATTGAGCGCGAGATGCGCGCCGAGCAGCGCGCACAGCGCCGCGTACGTCGCGCCCGGCGTCCCGATGTACGAGAGTAGTATCGTTCCGCTCTAAATTTTTAAAGAACCCGACCCAAAAAGTCAGCACACACACATATACACGCATACGCAGAACAAATCGAAAAACGAAAGGCGGCGGGGGGGGGGATGTCGCCGGGAACGCACCAAGAGCCCGACGAGCCCGATCACGGTCTCGCGACTGCCGTCTTTCGCGTTGAGATCGCCCAGGTCGCCCGCGCTGGCGAAATGCACCGCCAGCGCCGCCTTCGATCCTCCCGCGCACACCCCGCACAGCGCCCTCAAGCACCCGCTCGAGCACAGCGCGAGCACGCGGGCGCCAGCGACGGGGACCGAGGCGTAGAACGGCTGGAAGACGTCGAGGACGATGGAGGCGTCGTTGAAGACGTCGGCCAGGAGCCGGTACGTTTTGGCCTCCGGCGAGAGCGCGGTGCCGAGGTAGTATCCGCCGGCGACGGCTATGTATACGCAGGGAGGGTTTTTGGTCAGCTAGACCCGCAGTTCACGGCGCTGGTACGAGGGTGTTTACTCGTGAGCCGACCGAAGACGTCCTGGAGGACCGTGAGAAGCATGGCGTGCGTGGCCGACGCAGAGGCGTTGCCGACTCCGAAACCTACGTTTGCGAGTTCCGATCTGAGTTCACGTATTTCGTGGTGCGGAAGCAAATGTCTCTAGAACTGACCTTCCAACACGGCTCTCGAAGCGATCAGGTTCGCTAGCGAGCTGCAAAACGCCTGGAAGGCGTTGTAGGTTTGATATCTTAGTTTTTTCACGGTACCGCAGTCTTCAGCGTCCGTATGGGAGCACTGTCGGTTTATACTGACCGGAGATAGTCTGCAAGACCATCTCCGCGTTAGCAGGCACTTCAAATAGCGAACGAGTGGGCGCGACTCGCCAGGAGAGACGCTGCTCGGATATCCTGCCGGCAGGAACACGTCCGTGAGAAGATGCTTTAATCCCCGTGATGTTCCTCCCTGGACAACGGAAGAAGGTGGATGGACGTGTTTGATCTATGCGCAGGTCGTAGTACGCTGGTGAGTCACCGGTTCACCATGGAACATGCGGAAGGGCTATTCACCTGAAGTATCAGTGGGCCCTCGTACTCCATCAGGCTGGCCGTGTCGCCATCGCGTAGATCAGCTTTGAGTCGCTGACCACTCATCGCATGCAGTGTTTGTCGTCAACGTTCGCGCTAACCGCTACTCTTCTGCAAAGTTACGGCATTGTGTTCACGTGACAGAGAGCTAGGGGAACGCGAACAGTCCAAGACGAATAAAGATCTAACATGATACGTGAACTTCACACCAATGCATGCATCCAATAAGAGTTCCGAGAGAGGGGGCCGTACTGTAAAGGGCCCAACGACGATCTCTGGAGATATGTGCAGCCTGTGCTTCCGATGCTCAGCACACGGTCTAAGCCTCTAAGGACGCTCAACCTCGATTCAAACAGCTAACGCCCTCACGCTTCTCTCAAGACGCCGACCCGCTGTACGAAGCTCTCGAACGCGCTGTACGAATCACGGGTCAGCATGCGATCCTTCCCCCATTACCGAGACCTCCGACCTGATCCCATCCCCGTCGTATCCCGTCCAGACTTCGCTCCAACTCGCGCCTTTGTTCCATCATGCGCGCCCTAGCCACATCGGAGCGGGCCGCAAGACCTCTCCTCGTACTCCTCGAGGTGAGTGACCATCTGTCGCGGACAAGCCTGCGCGCACGGGGTCATTGTGAGCCGTCAAGAAGAACGTCCCATAGGTCAAACGCAGTCTCACCTGCGCGCGTTGGGCGCGTCTCCCGCCAGGAGCGATCTCGTGGTGTGCGCTAGGAGCGCTTGGAGGGACGCCGCAAGGGATCCGCCTGTAACTGCCCCATCCCTCTCCGATTCCTCGACTCCAATCCCACCTGGCATGAGCGGCTCTGGCGTACGAGACGTTGGCCGAGATGGACTCAGTGCGGACGCGTGGTTGGTGATTCGAAGGTCAGGGGTAGAGACGGATTGAAGTCCGGATCCACTGGCTGATGAGCGTGCGGGGCCTCCATTTCTGAGCTGCATGTGTGCTACGACCTCGTCGTACGATGGAGGCAAGTCTTCTTCATGCCTGGTATTTGTGCTCGAGTTGTCTATGGAGGCACCATCGCGCAATGTCGATGCAGCAGTCCAAGGCTGTCCTTCGGGTCCTGGTTGAGGACAACCACCCTTGGGAGTTCCAGAAGAAGAGGGCTGAGCGTAGGGCATTGCAACGAGTTGTTGATGAACCAATGTAGTTGGCTGCGTCGCTTACATCTTGCTACCCTAGAGCGTTATATGCAGTGGACATCGGAAGTTAGGCTGCGGAGGGAGCGAGGACTGCGACAAGCTGCGGCTGCGCTGCATGATGTCCGTTGATCGCCTAACGTCCGAGACAGCATCTTGCTCAAGAGTACGCGGAAGATAGGCAGATCCCCTTCAGCAAGACGGGGGTGCAGTGCATCCAGAGCCTCCTTGCTGTATACGAGTGCGATACTTGGAGGTGGAAATCGAATGTTAACGAGCGCCCATGGCCGAATGACTGTGTCGGTGGCACGGGATTTTTTTCCACGACCATCTCTAATTTCTTCCTTGCTTGTTGCGCCATTTGGAGCTACTAAAGAGTGACCAGTGACATGCTGTTCAGTTGGCATGTCGATAGCATTCAAACTTGAATAACTACCGACGTGCCAAACCAGACCCGATCAAAACGACGCAGTCTCCCGCGAACGGATCATTCGAGCTGCATTTGTATGCACGTGTTCATGCGAGAAAGAACGCGTATATGCGTTCCATGCAGGAATCCTCGTATCTCCATATCATGAATGGTTTTAAGGCTCACGAAGAACTATAGCTACTTTTCCCGCCCGTGGTTTGGATAGTCGGCCTTTTCCCTTCGCTCACGCGGAATACTCAGCCTATGGTGCGAGAGGAAGGTGCGTGACCAACCTGATTGTATGCATGCTCGCTCATGTTCGTACAAATCGACATTTAGACTCATCAAATGCTCACGCGGTTGGGTGGTCGCGTCTGTCCGCGTACCTGCGCCGCGATGGCTGTCGGTCCACTTTCTGGCGCACTTCTCGTCTCCCAGAGACGAACCCGTTCCAGGTTTCGGACCCCTCAAGAGGTTCACATGAAGCGTCCAGCGCTTGTTTATCGGCCCTGCACTGTGCCCTTCCGTCCCTGCCGAGGAACGTGGTTGGTCCGGCAGGCGCCGCCGAACGTTCATACGCAGCCCGGGTCATCACCAATTAGTACGCGGGTCTAAGCGCCATACCGTGCTCGATGCCACAGAAATAAGCAACGGATCTATGAGAGTATACGTGAATACACTGATGGATGTCGGTAGGATATTTGCTACGTTCGAAGCAGGAACGCGGGATGTCCTCGGAATCTATGAATGCCGCACTACTTAAGTATATTTGTCGCTATAACCTTATACGTCTGATTGACTCCCGTCTCTTCAAACCCCTTCCAGAAGTTTTAACAGATCCCACAAATGGTATCCCCAACTACGAGTATCACGAACCCGCAACCTTGGAATGCCCTCTTGTGGTTGATACGGCGAACGGCACGGGTGGCGCTGTTCGACCGATGGCTGGTCAGTGGTCATGCCGTCGCTCGCATACGTTATAGCCGGTTTTCACAAGGCAGGGAATGATCTATCAAGGACTCTCCAGTACAGCACAATGCTTGATTAGTTGCCAGCAGCATTCGCTGCTCTTATGGAACCACTCGTTCATCTCCTTGCCTCCACGAGCATTTCAAGTTTGCCTCGTGGGACGATCGATTCTGTGACGGCCGGTCACCAAATTATTCCGCGAAGCAGCATATTCAAACTTCTAGGACCTTGGGACCAGATCCTCATCACTATTCGCCTCAGCATGCGCTGCGCGAAGGGGTCTGTTCGCGTGGGGTCTGACATGCCCTCGGCCTTGGAGACTGACCGTGGTAAAAGCAATGACTCTCGCACGTTCTGTCGTATTTCGCGCGATACTTCGGTTTGTACACAAACAATGACCGAACCGCCCGCCATTTAGCTACCGCCGACGTCGCCCGTCATAGATCGGTGCCGAGCTGTGTTCCCCACCTTCAAGGGACCCGAGACTCGAGCGTCCACAAGATTTCATGTCCCCCGAGGCCGAACCTACCTCAATACTCTTCCTTTATCGTCGCCTGCAACGCGTCAGGTGAGTTCAAACCAACCCAGCTATAGGCGCAGATACCAACAGATCGGCCGCCCTCACCTCAGTTCGGCATGCAGGCCAGCCTTCCTCTGTGCGGTCTGACGGCGTGGAAAGCTGTCTGGCACAGTGTCCCACAGGAGTCGGGGAACCCTGATTACCCGATAAGATTTTCGTTGCTCATGGATCAAACAGGAAAAACGCGCGCTTTATCCGAAGTTGTGCTGGCGTCACACCGTGCGGGACCAATATTATTGTGAATGCAGGGGGGGGACCGATAGGCTCACCCTTGCTGCGCGCCCGTGATGGCGATGGGGCCGGGGCTCACAGCTCGACGCGGTTACCGTCCTTCTGGCGTAAGCCACTGGTCAGTAAAGCCAAGATCCAGTCGAGGGGATCCGGGATCTCGAAACTCTAACCACCCCACAACGCACTCGCTAAACAGGTAACTTAGATCATGACTGCATTTCCCCGCGCCTGATGTGCCACAGGGTAACGGACCGGTCAGGTACCAAAAGTTCGACAGCAAAGAACACGGGATAAGCGACGTCTATTGTCGGGGCCGTAATCCGGCTCTTCGGGCACCTCCCGGTCCGCCATCGCTGGACGAGGGGTTTCCTAAAACCTTCCCTACAAGACGGTTATCGCCATATCTCCAAACATGCGGCGAACGTGCAAAGAATGCGGGTACTGTATACTCTTCCACGTCCTTCTCTCATCGCAACCGTGCGAGCCGTCGAAACGCGCACCTATTACCCCGCACTTCACAGTCTTGCTATTCCTGGGATCTCGCCCCACGATCTTCGGATTAGCCTGGCGGGCCCCGTTCAGCGCGACGACTCTTCCCCTCCTTCTCCCGACGCTCTAGGGCGACCCCACGGCCGTTCAAACTCCGATATTCAAACAAAAAAACATCCCGAGCTTCCTGCGTATCAGACGTTTTTACGTCTTAACCAACGCCTTCTTCTTCGATTCACGCTCGAGGCTGATTCCGATATGCGCAAGGAGGTGGGTGGGATCTATGCACGCGGTCGCGGCGCCCATACCGTGCAACAACACCAATGCAGTGGGGACCATTCAAACGCCAGCCAGCTCAAAGGGGCCGACGTCAGGACAGCCGCCGCGGGGAGGGGAGGCGAAGAAAGAAGGCGAAGGATGCGCCATGCGCCATGCGCCCCCCCCCCCGCCCGACACGT